GTACAGCGATGACTCTTCTTATCCTAACAGGTATGTGATCTACAGAGACAGTATTGTTACAGCAACGTAATGTAGAATTGGTAATTACAGCATTGTACTTCAGGGAATCTATAGGTCGTCACGGGAGTATTGTTCGGTAATGTAATCTACGATGGGTACGTACAGTATTGAGTTAAAGTATCTAGGACGCCATTGGGGTCCTTGACTTATTGTTATTGGGGTCCTTGACTTATTGTTATTGGGGTCCTTGACTTATTGTTATTGGGGTCCTTGACTTATTGCCATTGGGGTCCTTGACTTATTGTCATTGGGGTCCTTGACTTATTGCCATTGGGGTCCTTGACTTATTTCCATTGGGGTCCTTGACTTATTGCCATTGGGGTCCTTGACTTATTGTTACTGGGGTCCTTGACTTATTGTTATTGGGGTCCTTGACTTATTGCCATTGAGGTCCTTGACTTATTGCCATTGGGGTCCTTGACTTATTGCCATTGGGGTCCTTGACTTATTGCCATTGAGGTCCTTGACTTATTGCCATTGAAGTCCTTTCTCAAAGCTTTGAATGTTTTGTGTTGCATCAGGTGCTGTTCTATATCCAGCAGTGTTCTACTAGCCTAGCCTGCTTTACCACATTGTAAGTTAACCCAGTGTTGTGCTCTCACCTCCTTCAGTGTGCTTGCTGACGGGGTGCTGGGTGTCAGGAGCACCCAGTATACCCTACCTGAGGGAGTCCAGACGGCTCTACACTGAGACCATAGCCACCTCCGTCATCAGCAGTGCCCCGCCGGGAGCCAGGCTCTTCAGCGCTAAGGGAGACCTGCCTCCTCTTATTAACAGACTCATCCAGAATGCCACCAACATTAGGAGGAATATCGTTGACACTTTCCGCTGTGATGGAAGGGTAAGTTGCTCTGGGAAGTGCTCTATGTGCCTCACTTTAGGTAGGATAACTCTTAGCCTGTTAATGAACTTCTGTTAAGTGGTTTATTTAATGCTAATACACACTGCAGAGAGTGGTCAGGTCTGCCAGCTAGAGAGTCAAGTAGAGTAGTCAGGTCTGCCAGCTAGAGTCAGGTAGAGTGGTCAGGTCTGCCAGCTATAGAGTCAGGTAGAGTGGTCAGGTCACATGTACCTGTGTAATACATGTATACAACGTGTACCTGTGTACTACATGTATACAACATGTACCTGTGTACTACATGTACCTGTATATATGTACCTGTGTGCTACATGTATACATGCACCTGTGTACATGTACATGTACAACATGTACCTGTGTAGTACTTGTATACAACATGTACCTGTGTACATATATACAACATGTACCTGTGTACATACATACAACATGTACCTGTGTACTACATGTATACATGCACCTGTGTACATGTATACAACATGTGCCTGTGTACTGCATGTATACAACATGTACATGTATACAATATGTCATTTGGTGATGGTGTCCTAGTTAGGTAGGAGCATTCTGGCATGATAGTGATAGTGTCTCAAATTTCCAACACTAAAGCTTCTAAGCACCAGCTTCTAAGCACTAGAAGCTAGTGCTTAAGCTTTACAAGAGAGCTTACAGTAGTTGTGTTACAGTTATTTTACATAAAAGAATAAGTGCTAGATGTGTGCAGTTTATATAATCAAAACTAAGCACTAAACTACCAGGGGTACAGTACATAGCAGCTGCAGTTGTAACTGCTTCTGTACTTAATTACACTACCAGAGATAATCGATCACATTAACTGTAGAGCAGTGGATGAGTGGAACAGTTTGCCTAGTAGGGTTATTGAAGCTAAAACCTTGAGTAGCTTCAAATTTAGGTTAGATAAATGCACGAGTGAGAGGGGTTGTGCATGAGTTAATAGGATTACCAATGCTTATTCCTTGCTTAGCATTGAAAATGGGTTGGGCAAATATTTTTGTTAGTTTGGGCTTGAGAAGGACTTGCCTAATGTGGGCCAATAGGCCTCCTGCAGCATTCTTCCTTTCTTACATTCATATGTTGATGGATGTCTGGCACCACAGGTGTATGGCTATTATGCCGACCAGGATAACGAGTGCCAAATATTCCATATCTGTGTACCCATGGAGCAGTTGTTTCCGGACCTGTATGATGCCCACGACATCTACCAGTTCTCCTTCATCTGTCCGGCCTACACCATCTTCACACAGGTTGGTGTCTCAGTCGCATCATCTCGGCTAATTGCTATTTTAATAGGGAAGCGCTAAACCTGTAAGTATCAGTCACCACCTGGGAAATGAGTGGTTTGATTTTTGTAATACAGTAGTTGAATGTTGATTAAATATCTATTATGCATCCCATACCCTTCCTATGGGCGGTAGTCGAAAGATTACAGAGGCACCTAATGGGTACAGAAGCTGTGCCTCAACATTACAAAGACATGTAATGGGTCCAGGGACTGCATCTCAACATTACAGAAGCACATAATGGGTCTAGGGACTGGACTGCAAAGTTCTAAAAGCTAGCCTAATGAGAAATATTTGACATTTACTGGGAAGGTTGTCCCATAGCTCAGTGGGTAGTGCACTCAGCTCACACACACTGAAGTATATATGGTTTGATCCCCAGTACAGGTGGAAACATTGGGTCATGTTTCCTTAAGATATCTGCTGTCCATGTACACCTAGCAGTTAATAGGTACCTGGGTATTAGCTGACTGGTGTGATTTGCATCCTGGGGACAAAATTGACCTAATTTGCCGAAATCCTCTGCATAACAAGGGGCTTTCTATATAGTATGTCATTGATGTCAGCTATGGTCTGTATAAGTTGTACATGTAGTTGTAGAAATAAAGATTAGCAATTAGTAAGAGTTAAATGTATCATTCAGTGCCTGGGAATTAATGTGGAAACACTGGATTAATAACGAGGGTATTAGTTAACTCTGTTAGGGAGAGTTTACACCATCACAGATAAGGCTGTGAGCATGTAGTCACCCATCCAGTTACTGGTCAGTCCTGGTAGCTTTAACCTGACAGACCTAGCTTCACACATCCACACTCATACATTTACTTGATAGAAGAATTGAAAAAAAAAAAATTTGACTTGAGGGTCTACACTACAAAACTTATACTTTTTTCCTTCATTTACAATGCAGTACTGCATAAAAAGAGACTTTCTATTAAATAGTCAAAATACTTTGCATTAAAAGGGATTTTCTATAATATATTTTATAGATGTCAATTTTATAGATGTATTCTCCTTTATAAAGTTTATTTATTGTATTAACTATACAGTACCCTTGTATTCACAGTGTACGTATTTTTAAACCACGTGAGACATGCAGTTATTTTCTCAGTACTGTATTGTAATCCTGCACTTTGTATATATCCTGTTTTGTGTAGGATGCCATGGTGTGTGCCTGGGTAGATATGGCGTTCCCATGCTCCGAGGCCCACCTCCTCTACGACCGCAACAATCACTTCTTCGTGGTGCCCGCAGAAGAGGTCTACCGGGAGAATTCCGTAACAACCACAGCATTAGTGTCTACACCTGAGCCGGTGCTGTTGCGGACAGCATCGGTGCCATCGTCGACTCTGTCCACAACAGAGTTACCCAAGCCACTGACACCAGAAACACTACTCCCTGAGGCATTGCCACCTGAAACACCACAGCCTGAAACACAATTGCCACCTAAAACACCACAGCCTGAAACACAATTGCCATCTAAAACACCACAGCCTGAAACACAATTGCCACCTAAAACACCACAGCCTGAAACACTACAACCTGAAACACAATTGCCACCTGAAACACAGCTACAATAACCAAGACAAACAATGTTGCTTTCATTTTCTTGTAGCTTCCATTTCCTTAATTTCTTATTTAACCTGAGTCATTCAGGTCTTTTGGTAACTGCACAAAGTGCAGACCTTTAGTAATAAGAATTATGGGCATTATAGTTATACAGACCTGAGTGTTGCACTCTTGGGGCATTAATCAGTGTGTTTATGCTGAGTAATTTGAGACCATTATTGGCAATGAGTGTTATAGTATTGCAAGTGCCAGTGAATAACATATAAGTGTTAGTATGTACCTGATAACACTTGAGCTTGGGAATGCAGTGTTCCAATCTCTTTACTTATCATAATGCACTTCTTTTACTAATACGTGCCAAAAAACTACATGCGAAGATACTGTATTCGCACACAAAATAAAGTTGTATGGTTTACTAAGATAAAATACTTTATTTCAGCATGATACAATGTTTGTACATTTAGGCGTGTACACAGAAAGCCCCTTAATATGCAGAGCATTTCAAGCAAACTTAAGACTAACTTAAGATTAATAAATTAATGACAAAATGACTAGTTTTATATACAGTCTCATAGGCAGTTGTAAATATAAATTTAGGGGCTACAATGAATACATGAGAACTGAATATCCCATTAGCACATGCTGTATGGCTTTGCACTGCTATATGGCTTTGCTCTGCATTACATTTCTAAATTTATTGCAGTACTAAATAAACCATGCAACTTTAATATTTGTTATATGTTATTTGTTATACCTTGTCTGTTAATGGTTTGAAGAATAATTTTTCCAGTGGCCTAGTTGCAGACCAGGCCTCGTGAATTGGAAAGGCAATATTAGAGGAATAAGAGCTACTAGGAAACATGTACACAAAGATGAAGATATGTGTAAACTGAGTGCTGGTAGAAGTTTGTGAGATTTACCTGTCATCTGAGAAGTTCAGGAGACAGTGCTATTTGAATCTACCTGGAGGGAGGGAGTCTACCTAGCTGGAGGGAGTTCTGGGGGGTCAATGCCCCTGTAGTCCAGTCCATAACCAGGCCTCAGTATTTAATTGGCTTCTATTTCCACACTCATAATGCTTCCCTGAGTGGTGGTTGTTGTCTGCCAATCTGCTGCTGCTGCTGCCGTCTACAGTAAAGCAAAAATAATCAAAATCACACTAAATATATGCACATGTTATTATATTCACAAAGATGTGCCAGATCCATGTGGTCTTTAAAGTGGCAATGTAATGTTGTGTGTCTGTGACAGGCACTTCATATGTGCATGATGTGACAGGCACGTCATGTGTAGACATATGTGACAGGCACATCATGTGTATATGATGTGACATACATGTCATGTGTACAGGTATATGACAGGCACTTCATCATGTATACACATGTGACAGGCACTTTGTCACGTACACTTTTCATTTATAATTTATAGTTATTGTATGTATTAACATAATGTTAATATTGGTTATCATAATAGGAATATAGTGTATGTACCAGTACAGGTCGGCCATCACTAATCTGGCAGTCAGTTATTCGGTTCCATCAGTAATCTGGCATGAATTTCGGCTAGCATAATTTCAAATTTCATCATTACACTGACTCAGAAATTGTGCAGACACTTGTAAATCCACAGCATCAAGCCAGTGGAGGAGAAAGCAGTGATGAAAATGAGGAAGATGTAGCAGAAAAAATCTCTGTTGATAGGCTAATTAAGTGTATTCTAACCTAACCACTCTGTAATCCGGCAAACTCACTAATCCGGCACACTACAGGTCCCAATGATGCCGGATTAGTGATGGCCAACCTGTACTGTATAACTATAAGGATTCTTCTATATTCTCTTTTCTGTGCAAATGCTGTATTATAATTTTAAATTAATTATTATACATGTATTTAGTGGAAAGTGCTAAACCTATGGGTTTCATACAGCACTTGGAGAAATGAGGCAGTCGTGTTTTATCTAAGGAAAAGGACGATAGATTCAATTCCTTGGATGAAGAGCCCCTTGCCTGCATCAAGGAACCTTCCCTGAGGGAAATGGAGGATAAGCATAAAATATGGGGTTATATGTATGAGCCAATTCATTATACAGTACAGTATATGAAAATGGAGTAACAGGCAATGAATAAATTAAGACATATAATAAGAAGTTAGAGCAGAGGTTGTTATATTGCCAAGTGTCTTAAGAGAGATAAGTTGCAGAAAATAAGGCTAAGAAATATAAGTTAACAAACACACTAGGAGCTAAAGATCAGCAATTTAGGTATCCCTGATGTTGTATTGTAACACTGACAAGCAGATATATAAACCACACTGGAGCCTTTCAGATTTAGTGCTTAGTTTGATTATAATATAAACCACACTTGGGCCTTTCTGGTTTAGTGCTTAGTTTGATTTTTTTTTTTTAACACGTCAAGCCGCTTTCCACCAAGGCAGGGTATAATGTATTATGGATAATGTATAATGAATTGTTTATTATAATTCACACTATATGCCTACACACCCTAGGCCTACATATGATCATCTCAGGAAGACGTGCCTGGTGCTGCTGCAGAGATTGCCAGGTCGTGCAGACAAACATTTCATAATTGTTTCATTAATCAAAGAGCATGCCACCTTCACTTCAAAGGCTTCCTTCTATGCTGTGATGCTGACTTTGTCTGCCCTTCTCTGTGGCAATCCAACTTTTAATGCAGATTTACTCTGTAGGTCTTAACTGATGACGATATGTTACATCACTGACAAGTCTTATGTATGGCAGTAGTGTGCCTTGTGTGTATATGTAATTGTGTGTGTATGGCAATAGTAATCACCATAAGAAAAAACTGCAATATCCTCCTAAACGATGCAACAAGTAGAACTGATTATTATAATACTGCATTTGCAAAAAAAATGTTAAACCAACTGGGATAATTCAGTGCTATCAAACAATGTTAAATATACTGTATATGTCGATATATTATTTTAACACTTGGCATCTTCCATGGAAGCAGGGTAGCCTGAAAAAAAAAAAAGAAATGAAAGTTTTTCTTCTTTTTACATTTAGTAATTTATACAAAAGAAGGGGTTACTAGCACCTTGCTCCCAGCATTTTAGTCACCTCTTATGACATACATGGCTTACAGAGGAAGGCTTCTCCACTTCCCTGTGGAGATGTGTTGATATATATATATATATATATTATATGGCTTGACAATTAACAATCTAAAGATATATCAAAGCTTTCATTTTCCACAAACTTCAGTGCTAGATATCTATCTAATTCTTGGCTTACAAGCACAAGATGTATGGCGAGTTGAATATTGCTGTACTGTACACAACACGAGCATGCCAAATGTAAACAAGGAATTATAAAACATCGACACCATTACAAAATATATTTTGCAATATACAGTATATATAAACAACTGGTAAGTGGAAATTACACCCTTGTCTAGCTTAGCTTACATTCATAATTCAATTAAGCTTTGTTTCTTTAAATACAGTAATGTAATTAATTTTAATAAAAGAATAACACAAAAACATAAAAATACTGAGTGTCCCCTATCAGATCCAGGAGAGGTAGCACACAAGTGACAATTTGTATTATATTACATCTTTAGTAGTGTATATACCAAAAACAGTAGATTATCAGTCGCACGGGTCATTGTAACCCTTTAGATGGTTATAACCACAAGTGCCACTGTAACACTGACTGGCACCAGTGTCAGTGGTTACTGTTTGGCTAAACTCTGTGTCCTAAGTGCAGCTAATAATTAAATCATGGGGAGTGAAGAATGTAAAACAATGAACAATGTTCTTACATACACTATGACAATAGTATATAATAATCAGCTCAGTAAGACATAATGAATCTGAATTTTCAAAAAAAAAAAAATAATCCAGGAAAAAATCCCAGAATAATATTTACTGTGGCTCACAATTCTTGAAAGTTGCCCTATAATTTACACTTATGGAATACAGAAATTAACATGGAAATAAGTAAATCAACTGAAGTAGATGACATTAAATTACTTTGACAGTATTTATATAGTATAGTATAAATACATTTACATGCTCTTTTAACTTGGGCCCCTCAAGGAAGGTTTCTTGATGCTGGTGAGGGGCTCTTGATCCAAAGATCTGGACTTTTTGTACCCTTGGAATGAATACAGTGGTCTTCCATTTCCTAGGTGCTGTTACCCCTATGGGTTTAGTGCTCCCTCCCAAATATAATAATTTTTTTTTTTCAACAAGTTGGCCGTCTCCCACCGAGGCAGGGTGACCCAAAAAAGAAAGAAAATCCCCAAAAAGAAAATACTTTCATCATCATTCAACACTTTCACGCTGTATAGCCCTTGTGGCTTAGCGCTTCTTTTTTATTATAATAATAATCAACACTTTCACCACACTCACACATTATCACTGTTTTTGCAGAGGTGCTCAGAATACAACAGTTCAGAAGCATACACATATAAAGATACACAACATATCCCTCCAAACTGCCAATATCCCAAACCCCTCCTTTAAAGTGCAGGCATTGTACTTCCCATTTCCAGGACTCGAGTCTGACTATATGAAAATAACCGGTTTCCCTGATTTTTTTTTTTTTTTTTTTTTTCAACAAGTCGGCCGTCTCCCACCAAGGCAGGGTGACCCAAAAAAGAAAGAAAATCCCCAAAAAGAAAATACTTTCATCATCATTCAACACTTTCACCACACTCGCACATTATCACTGTTTTTGCAGAGGTGCTCAGAATACAACAGTTCAGAAGCATACACATATAAAGATACACAACATATCCCTCCAAACTGCCAATATCCCAAGCCCCTCCTTTAAAGTGCAGGCACTGTACTTCCCATTTCCAGGACTCGAGTCCGACTATATGAAAATAACCGGTTTCCCTGAATCCCTTCACTAAATATTACCCTGCTCACACTCCAACAGATCGTCAAGTCCCAAGTACCATTCGTCTCCACTCACTCCTATCTAACACGCTCACGCACGCTTGCTGGAAGTCCAAGCCCCTTGCCCACAAAACCTCCTTTACCCCCTCTCTCCAACCCTTTCGAGGACGACCCCTACCCCGCCTTCCTTCCCCTATAGATTTATATGCTTTCCATGTCATTCTACTTTGATCCATTCTTTCTAAATGACCAAACCACCTCAACAACCCCTCTTCTGCCCTCTGACTAATACTTTTATTAACTCCACACCTTTTCCTAATTTCCACACTCCGAATTTTCTGCATAATATTTACACCACACATTGCCCTTAGACAGGAAATCTCCACTGCCTCCAACCGTCTCCTCGCTGCTGCATTTACCACCCAAGCTTCACACCCATATAAGAGTGTTGGTACTACTATACTTCATACATTCCCTTCTTTGCCTCCATAGATAACGTTTTTTGACTCCACATATACCTCAACGCACCACTCACCTTTTTTCCCTCATCTATATTTGGAGTTTCAAAAATTCCAGGCCTTATCCTTGGCCACATTGGATATGTGGTGCTCTACAATGGCCCTAGAATTTTGTTTATATATTAGGACATTTAAAGCATAGCAAATAATGCTGCAACACATGTAGTGCTACCACTTTAAGCAGAATATCATTTGTAAAGCAAAAGGACACAAGTGCAACTAATGTGACATTTTATTGTGGCAACGTTTCACTCTCCAGGAGCTTTGTCAAAGCTCCTGGAGAGCGAAATGTTGCCACAATAAAATGTCACATTAGTTGCACTTGTGTCCTTTTACTTTACATATTGTCGGTAATTCTACCAAATATATACAGAATATCATTTAAGAGAATAAGATCTTTATTAAGGGTTTTGTTAAATCAGTCACTGTGACATCTTGCGTGATAGGAGTCCAGCAACTTGGTCTTTCCAGTCCTCATCGGATAAGTTCTGAGCCCAGGCAGGAATGGCAGACTGGGGCAAAATGAAAGATGCCATAACAGACTTTATCTCCTCCACCTTATTACCATCAAGTACAAGACGATCTGGCATGGGAGAAGAGTTCCACACAGCTGCTCTCTCATCCATCAATTCTTGGCGTCGTTGTCTGTCGGACTAAAAATATTAAAAGCTATCAGATGCACTTTTAGAGCTAGCATCATAAATTATACACGTCTCATACCTCACAACTTGTGATCAACTAATTTACGTACCTCCTCGGTCAACGCTTCAGTCTGGGAAAGCATACTAGTGCCACCTATGTCTCTTATTCTCTCGTGTTCTCCAGTGACTTCACTGGTTTCTTCGTCCTCTTGCACAACATTTGGGCCATTGGCGGCAAGAGCGGACATCAAGCCAGAGAGAGAAGTGTAATCAATCTCAGAATCATCTTGGTCTTCATCCTGCACAGGTAATAACTTCTATTACAATGACTCATCACTCATTAGTAATATTCTTAAAACTTTTCTCTCAGTTAAGTATCTTTAAAATACAGACAAACCTCATTTAATATCAAGGGTAGATGTGACAAGTAGACATCATATCTGGGATCCAATATTACCCATGAGAGACTTGAGAAATCACTCTTGTCAATAGTAAGAAATAATGCCTCTCATCACGTGATAACTTGAAGAGATTATTAGCATCACAATAATGAATTCTTACATAAACAGAAAATAGCATTAGTATTTACAATATGGTGACTAAGACTACTCATTTTTTATAAATTGCCTGCTGTATAACCCTTACAGGTTTAGCACTTGGTTATGATGATAATATTACCAAATTTACTGTTTTCTACCAAGGTTCAGTGACCCAAAGCAAGAAGCTTATTCAGTGTCATTCAAAAGCTGTCTTGCCAAAAATGCATGGACACCACAATTCAAATGATCCTCTGAACTGTAACATTCTGAAGGAAGGAGGAACTCAAGTCTAGCTAACTGGTTTCCTTGAATCCCTTCATAAATGTTACCTTCCTCACACTCAAACAGAACATAAAATTTCAAAAACCATTTGCTGTTCCTTGCTTTGCTTGAACATGGTCACAAATACCTGCTGGATACTCAACCCTTGCCACTAAAAGCCTCTCTCACTCCTCTTCTCCAACCTTTCCTGGGACAACCCCTACCCCTTCTTCCATTTACTCTGGATGTATACACTCTCTTGGTCAAATTATTCTACTTCATCCTTCCTAAATTACCAAACCATCTCAACACTTCCTCTGATTTCTCCATTATTTCCTTGAAATTACTGGTAGGTGACTATATGGTAAATTAGATACATGTATACTAATTTTGCAGCTACCTTGTAGCTGCAAAAAAGATAAAACAGATAATTGCTGTGTCCAGCTAGATAATGATGGCTGTGTAGTTCTGCAGGCTGTTCGCAGTAACACTAGTTGACCAGGCAGTCAGGAATTAAGTTCAGCCTCACACTGGGCTTCAAAAGTAGTAAAACTCTCAAACTTTTCACAGGTGTATGTTACTTTAAAATAAATGTTACCACACTTCTTTGCAAACAGAGCATTAACCTGTGTCAATATCAATGAGAAACAGCTACATAACCAACATGCGTTGCTGCCTTACAGGTCAACTCACCACATCATTGTCCTGTGAGAGAGGCTGGTATCCAGAAGGGTAAGGGTCATTCAGATCAACTTGCTCAGGTTCCTCATCACTGGATGACAATGGAGGTCCAACAGACAAACCAGTGGGTGGATTTAACTCTTCGTCTTCGGTGTCACCTGGACCAACACGCCCACCTTGTGTGGGCTCAGGTACCGGAGACATACTCGAACCTACACTGAAAATTCAATATATTGCAGACTGACACATCTGCATTGAAGAATATTCTGTTGTATGTAGTAAAATGATACTTGGGAATGTCAACCTCCTTTTTTTTAACAAATAAATGAAATCTTACAGTAAAAAAATATATTTTCATAATACAATACATACTGTTAGGTATGAGAACATGTGTAACTAATGCGACATTTTTATTGTGGTAACGTTTTGCTCTCCAGGAGGTCTGTCAAGCTGTTGTAATAGCCTGACAAAGCTCCTGGAGAGCAAAATGTTGCCACTTGTCTTTTTACTTAACATATTGTTGGTAATTCTACCTACATTATCACAATACATACTGTAATATTGACTCTGTTACAACTAACATATTTCTCTCACCTCAGAAAGGAAATATCAGACAATAAAAAAAATTATATACGCATAGACACCCCAGGAAACAAAAACTTACAGCGACTTACCAGTAATAAACCTAGACAAAATGTGTATAAAATGAAGTTTTTAAACGGAAAAATATTAAACTGAAAGGTTAATAAAAAACATTTATGATTATTATAATATTGACAAGAGAGCACTAAACTCACATGGGGTAATATAGGAGATTCATATAATGAACATGTACAGTGTACAGCATATACAGTACAGAATATACAGTGTATATAGAGTACAGGTTGTGTATATATATACATACAGTACAGGTCTGATTATTATTATATTATAATCAAAAAGAAGCGCTAAGCCACAAGGACTACACAGAGTACAGGTCTGAGCTATGTTCACACCTGTAAGTTTATTCTGGTATACATCAATACAGTTACATACATTATCATACATAGCAGTATGTATTATTATAATCATGGGGAGCGCTAAACCCGTAGGATTATACAGTGCACGCTGTATAGCCCTTGTGGTTTAGCGCTTCTTTTTGATTATAATAATAATTTATTATTATCACACTGGCCGATTCCAGTGATAATAATAATAATTATACAGTGCACATAGGGGGGGGGGGTGGAAAGTATTCAGACTCAACTCAGGGAACTGGAGCACAGATCCAATTCCCTAGATCAAGAGCCCCTCACTAGCATCAAGGAACCTTCCTTCAGGAATCCACTGAAGGTTTAAAATCCCACCAAAAAACTTACCTCACCTCAGGACATTACGTATGATAACTGTACTTATGTGTACCTTCACCTAATAAACCTATTTACTTACTAAGTCGACCAAAATTATCAACAAAAGTCTTCGTATTAAGCAGGACATTAATCACCTGATCAATGTTGTTTATATCATCAGCTGGTGTCAGGCAGTTCAACTACCTATCCTATGACCTATTACCATCCCATTAAAAAATGAAAAATATTTTTTTATTTCCAAAAGCAGCAGTTTATAAGTATTAAAAATAAAGCAACGTATTTTTAAAAACTGGTAGAAGCAATGTATTTTACAAACTTAGTGGAATTGTTACTTTCCGGTAACGCAACTACCTATCTTATACCCATCTAAATTGATTTTTTGACGTTCGATCAAGTGAATGTTCATTAAATGATGTTTCCACGTACAAGAATGTTTATTATAATAAATATTTGTCTAGAGCCACGCATAATTGAAAGAAAAATTTGGAATATTAGATTGATGTCACGTGGAGCTTGTTTGTTCATTTGTATTTAAGACAGCTGAGGGCGACACTGTCTACGAGAAACGTGCTTTGGCCTCGGAGGTATGTGTAGACGTTTCGCCCTTGCCCTGTCTTGAATATCAGTGTAATGTTCTGTGATTCCTCTCCCCGGGGACATTTCTCACGTTTTGGCCGAGTGGTCGGGCCGCCATACCTTATGCTCCCGAAAAGCCTGTTGTTGTTGCCCCAGAAAGAAGTTACTTTTGATAATTATAATAATAATAAGACACCTAACAATCTGGAGACAGGGTTTAATAAGACACCTGACTCCCAGGAGACAGGGTTCAACAAGACACCTGACTCCCAGGAGACAGGGTTCAACAAGACACCTGACTCCCAGGAGACAGTGTTCAACAAGACACCTGACTCTCAGGAGACAGTGTTCAACAAGACACCTGACTCCCAGGAGACAGTGTTCAACAAGACACCTGACTCCCAGGAGACAGGGTTCAACAAGACACCTGACTCCCAGGAGACAAGGTTCAACAAGACACCTGACTCCCAGGAGACAGGGTTCAACAAGACACCTGACTCCCAGGAGACAGTGTTCAACAAGACACCTGAAAGGCGTAGGGAGACACTGGTCAGAGAAATAGCAAGCATCGAACTTAAGCTAAAGGAATCTTATAGGAGTCAGGAATCGCGGGAAGAACTAAAAGCCATAAATGAAATCGAAAGAAACCCAAAGTATTTCTTCTCCTATGCCAAATCAAAGTCGAGAACAACGTCCAGTATTGGGCCCTTACTTAAACAAGATGGGTCCTACACAGATGACAGCAAGGAAATGAGTGAGCTACTCAAGTCCCAATATGACTCAGTTTTTAGCAAGCCGCTAACCAGACTGAGAGTCGAAGATCAAAATGAATTTTTTATGAGAGAGCCACAGAATTTGATTAACACAAGCCTATCCGATGTTATCCTGACGCCAAATGACTTCGAACAGGCGATAAATGACATGCCCATGCACTCGGCCCCAGGGCCAGACTCATGGAACTCCGTGTTCATCAAGAACTGCAAGAAGCCCCTATCACGAGCCTTTTCCATCCTATGGAGAGGGAGCATGGACACGGGGGTCGTCCCACAGTTACTAAAAACAACAGACATAGCCCCACTCCACAAAGGGGGCAGTAAAGCAACAGCAAATTTCTTTTTAGTATGATAATAAGATGTTATCATTGTAGAATAATAAGAAAATATTATAACCTTTATATTATAATAATAAGGTAAAAGGACCCCAATGGAAATAAGTCACTCTGTCTGACTTTTTTGGGTTATCCTAGGTTCTCTACACATGTGCTGCTATGTATGATAATTCTATGTAACTGTATTTGTGTATACCTGAATAAACTTACTTACTTACTTACTTACTAACAGCAAATAACTACAGACCGATAGCACTAACATCCCATATCATAAAAATCTTTGAAAGGGTCCTAAGAAGCAAGATCACCACCCATCTAGAAACCCATCAGTTACACAACCCAGGGCAACATGGGTTTAGAACAGGTCACTCCTGTCTGTCTCAACTATTGGATCACTACGACAAGGTCCTAGATGCACCAGAAGACAAAAAGAATGCAGATGTAATATATACAGACTTTGCAAAAGCCTTCGACAAGTGTGACCATGGCGTAATAGCGCACAAAATGCGTGCTAAAGGAATAACAGGAAAAGTCGGTCGATGGATCTATAATTTCCTCACAAACAGAACACAGAGAGTAGTCAACAGAGTAAAGTCCGAGGCAGCTACGGTGAAAAGCTCTGTTCCACAAGGCACAGTACTCGCTCCCATCTTGTTCCTCATCCTCATATCTGACATAGACAAGGATGTCAGCCACAGCACCGTGTCTTCCTTTGCAGATGACACCCGAATCTGCATGACAGTGTCTTCCATTGCAGACACTGCAAGGCTCCAGGCGGACATCAACCAAATCTTTCAGTGGGCTGCAGAGAACAATATGAAGTTCAACGATGAGAAATTTCAATTACTCAGATATGGTAAACATGAGGAAATTAAATCTTCATCAGAGTACAAAACAAATTCTGGCCACAAAATAGAGCGAAACACCAACGTCAAAGACCTGGGAGTGATCATGTCGGAGGATCTCACCTTCAAGGACCATAACATTGTATCAATCGCATCTGCTAAAAAAATGACAGGATGGATAATGAGAACCTTCAAAACTAGGGATGCCAAGCCCATGATGACACTCTTCAAGTCACTTGTTTTATCTAGGCTGGAATATTGCTGCACACTAACAGCACCTTTCAAGGCAGGTGAAATTGCTGACCTAGAAAATGTACAGAGAACCTTCACGGCGCGCATAACGGAGATAAAACACCTCAATTACTGGGAGCGCTTGAGGTTCCTGAACCTGTATTCCCTGGAACGCAGGCGGGAGAGATACATGATTATATACACCTGGAAAATCCTTGAGGGACTAGTACCGAACTTGCACACGAAAATCACTCACTACGAAGGCAAAAGACTTGGCAGACGATGCAACATCCCCCCCAATGAAAAGCAGGGGTGTCACTAGCGCGTTAAGAGATCATACAATAAGTGTCAGGGGCCCGAGACTGTTCAACTGCCTCCCAGCATACATAGGGGGATTACCAACAGACCCCTGGCAGTCTTCAAGCTGGCACTGGACAAGCACCTAAAGTCGGTTCTTGACCAGCCGGGCTGTGGCTCGGACGTTGGTTTGCTTGCAGCCAGCAGTAACAGCCTGGTTGATCAGGCTCTGATCTACCAGGAGGCCTGGTCACAGACCGGGACTCGGGGGCGTTGACCCCCGAACTCTCTCCAGGTATACTTCAGGTAAACTCCCAGGAGACAGGGTTCAACAAGACACCTGATTCCCAGGAGACAGGGTTCAACAAGACACCTGACTCCCAGGACACAGTGTTCAACAAGAAACCTGACTCCCAGGAGACAGGGTTCAACAAGACACCTGACTCAAAGGAGATAGGGTTCAACAAGACACCTGACTCCCAGGAAACTGGGTTCAACAAGACACCTGACTCCCAGGAGACAGTGTTCAACAAGAAACCTGACTCCCAGGAGAAAGGGTTCAACAAGGCACCTGACTCCCAGGAGACAGTGTTCAACAAGAAACCTGACTCCCAGGAGACAGGGTTCAACAAGACACCTGACTCAAAGGAGATAGGGTTCAACAAGACACCTGACTCCCAGGAAACTGGGTTCAACAAGACACCTGACTCCCAGGAGACAGTGTTCAACAAGAAACCTGACTCCCAGGAGAAAGGGTTCAACAAGACACCTGACTCCCAGGAGACAAGGTTCAACAAGACACCTGACTCCCAGGAGAAAGGGTTCAACAAGACACCTGACTCCCAGGAGACAAGGTTCAACAAGACACCTGACTCCCAGGAGAAAGGGTTCAACAAGACACCTGACTCCCAGGAGACAAGGTTCAACAAGACACCTGACTCCCAGGAGACAAGGTTCAACAAGACACCTGACTCCCAGGAGACAAGGTTCAACAAGACACCTGACTCCCAGGAGACAGGTTCAATAAAGCATGAGTTTTAGTGGCTCTTAACAACCTTAATAACAGAAGCTGGGGGCGTCTTGTTACCTGGAATATGTTGGTGACCTGAGCTGCTGTTATTCTGTTGTTTCCCTGAGCACCTGGTGCTCTCAGGACCTGATATTGTTGTGTTGGTGCCCTGAGGACCTGATATCACTCTGATGTTGCCCTAAACACAGGATATTGTTATGCTGCTGACCAGAGGACCTGACTCTTCTGCTGAGGACCTGAGGTTTCTGTTGCTGCCTCCAGGACCTCATATTTGGCTGCTGACCTGAGAGCCTGGCGCTCTTTTTCTGCTGTGCTTAGAACCTGACGTAACTTTACTGCTGTTTCTGAGAACCTGACGTAACTTTACTGCTGTTTCTGAGAACCTGTCGTAACTTTACTGCTGTTTCTGAGAACCTGTCGTAACTTTACTGCTGTTTCTGAGAACCTGTCGTAACTTTACTGCTGTTTCTGAGAACCTGACGTAACTTTACTGCTGTTTCTGAGAACCTGACGTAACTTTACTGCTGTTTCTAAGAACCTGACGTAACTTTACTGCTGTTTCTGAGAACCTGACGTAACTTTACTGTTGTTTCTGAGAACCTGACGTAACTTTACTGTTGTTTCTGAGAACCTGACGTAACTTTACTGCTGTTTCTGAGAACCTGACGTAACTTTACTCTTGTTTCTGAGAACCTGACGCAACTTTACTGCTGTTTCTGAGAACCTGACGTAACTTTACTGCTGTTTCTGAGAACCTGACGTAACTTTACTGCTGTTTCTGAGAACCTGACGCTGTGAAGATCCGACATTCTCCCGCTGTTCTTAAACAAGACATGAACTGCTGCCCCTGAAACACCTGTCACATCCCCCCTGCCTGACGTACTGCTGCAGAGACCACATATCTGACTTATTTTCATCGCTGCCGCCGCCACCATGAACAGGCGGCCAATTGTCACGTGTAAGAACTTTATTTATGAATGAGATATTTGTGCAGTGCTTGAGTACCTTTATTTTGCATATTTTTGCCAACTATTGGCAAAACTGAAAAAAGTTTACACAATAAAGATACTGAAATGTTGTTCACGTATCTCATTCAAGAACATTTTTGTTGCTGTTATTAATAAACAAAACAGTCATGTTTCTTGTGTATTATTACAATAACTGGTAAGTATTGTGCAACGCTGTATGACCCTTGTGGGTTTAGTTCTTGGTTATGATGATAATAATAATGGTAGGTATTGTATGACAATTGACCACTGTATTGCGTGATATGTTACATGCTACAGTATTATCGTCTTTTCAAATACTGTATTATACTTGGGATAAATTTTCATGTAAAAATGCATGTACGATATTACCCCTCAAGGGAGGTTCCTTGACACTGGTGGGGGCTCTTGATCTAGGGTATTGGATCTGTGCTCTAGTTCCCAGAATTGAGCCTAAATACCTTCCATCTCCCCCTACCAACACTATAATCCTATGGGTTTAGCACTCCCCCATGATTATAATAATAATGTGTGATATTAACCTGACATAAGTATCTTTCTCTTCTATCTAATCTGTCTGGTTTTTGCAGATGCTGGAGACAACAGTGTGTTCTGTGGACTGCAAGCTGGGCTGGCTACTGGCCTCCCTCAGGAAACAGTGGAGTGGAGACGCTCTTATGGCCGACCCTCCAGGTGGGCAGCGATCTCTTGTCATTTATAATAAAAAGATTCATCCACGTCGAGTCCAGACTTGCCCTGCTCCAGCGTGGCTGAGAGTAGCATGTGTGTAACATGATTAGTAGTCGGAGGATCAAGTCTCCGGCACTCCATGTGCTGAATGACACATATGGGTTTAGGGCCTCATGTGTTTACAGTACGTATTTAAAAATTTATTTATCCAAGTGAGTGGAGAGTGGAGGCATTTTATGGTCAACCCTCCAGGTGAGTATGGGGGTGAGATGTTCTCAGGGTTAACCCTCCAGTTGAGTATGGGGTGAAATATTCTTACGGTTGACCCTCCAGGTGAGATGGGGTGAGATATTCTTACAATTGACCTTCTAGGTGAGTATGGGGTGAGATATTCTTACAGTTGACCTTCTAGGCGAGTATGGGGTGAGATATTCTTACGGTTGTACTTCTAGGTGAGTATGGGGTGAGATATTCTTACGGTTGTCCTTCTAGGTGAGTATGGGGTGAGATATTCTTACGGTTGTCCTTCTAGGTGAGTATGGGGTGAGATATTCTTACAGTTGTCCTAGGTGAGTATGGGGTGAGATATTCTTACAGTTGTCCTTCTAGGTGAGTATGGGGTGAGATATTCTTATGGTTGTCCTTCTAGGTGAGTATGGGGTGAGATATTCTTACAGTTGTCCTTCTAGGTGAGTATGGGGTGAGATATTCTTACGGTTGTCCTTCTAGGTGAGTATGGGGTGAGATATTCGTACGGTTGTCCTTCTAGGTGAGTATGGGGTGAGATAGGCCTCCAGATATGCTGTTCATTCACTCATGGACATAACACCCTGCTTTTATATTTTGCAATTATTTTTCGGTAAAAAGTAAGTTTGTCAGAGCATCTAATCTTGTTTCCATGATAGCTAACAGATGCTATATTTTTTTTTAATATAGGCCATCTCCCAATATTGTAGGTGACCCAAGAAAGAAAGAAAAATATTCACTAATATTCTGTAACTGTCTTGTCAGAAGTGTGCGGCCATCATAATTCAGATTACCCACCAAATAGTAACATCCTTTAGAGTGTAGGCACTATTTTATTCTATGAATATTTTTAATTTCTTTGTATACATTCATGTAAAATGTTTATTCTCCTTTTAGTCTTATGTTAGATTTTAGCTTGTCTGAGATGCTCTGCATAGCCAGGGGCTTCCCATGTGCAGTATTAAATGCCATCCAGTTTTGTAAAAGAAACTGTATCATGTGAAAATGAAGTATTATTATTATTATTATTATTATTATTATTATTATTATTATTATTATTATTATTATTATTCGCTGAATCTCTTCATAAATATACCTTGTTTACACTCGGGCAGCGTGTCAAGTCTTTAAAAAAAAAACTTGTCTCCATTTTCTATGATCTAACATGTTCACATTCCTATTGGATGCTCAATCCTCTATCACTTAGAATGTCCTTTACACCATCCTACCAACTTTTCTTGGGATGACCCCTATGCCTACTCTCCACCCCAGAGTTATACACCCTTATTGCTATCCTGTTTTGTTCTCTGCTTTCTGAAGGACCAAACCACCTCAACAACCCCTCCTCCACCCTTTGAATTATGGAATACCTCTATATTCTACTCTCCTAATTCTCTCCCTAATATAAAAGTGTTGGTACTTCTATTCTATGGTACATTCCCTTTTTGCTTCATGGAAAAAGTTATTTTCACAGTTGCCTCAACAAACCACCTGCCTTTTTTTCCTCTCATCTATTCTGTGGCTTACTTTGTCTTTCAAAGACCCATCTGCCTACATTCACATCCTCCCTACACCATACTCTCGTCACCTTCCTCTCTTCTATGTTCAAGTTTAATGATCGGTTGCACGAAATGCATTGCATAATTAGCGGCTTTCTTTTGTGCCTACCAATGTTTTATTACATGTCAACTACATTATTTGTACTGCATAAAGAAATAAAAATTATATTGTATTTCCTTTTATATATTCTCTCAAACTCCTTTGTAATTTCTTTTCAAACTCCCCCCATAGAGCAGTCATTGACAAAGTGTGACTGTGACAGTTCCCTATTTGCATCACTCTATATCTGAGTATAATAAAAAAAATTAAATTTTAACTATTCATTGTCAAATAAGCTATCATATGTTTTATCTTATACTGTATTAACAGTTATGTTTGTACTTTTTAAGAGATTAATATTTGCATTTGAATTTATGCAGAAAATTAATATTGCACATAGTGAATAACTAAAGTATAATGAACGCTTGTTAATAATCAATAATAACCCACAAGGCGACAGAAACACTGGAGATTAATTGATCTATGTATTTTGATACCTTCTTCTGGGGTCTTCTTCAGCAGATCTGCTGAAGAGGACCCCAGAAGGGGGTTAATCTCCTAAGTTTGTCTCCACATGGGTTATTATTGAGCACTGTACATAGTACATATTACAGTCCCTAGAATCATTCCTTGATGAATTAACACTTTCAGGTGTGTCCATGTTGAGGTGGATTTTGTTCCATTCTCTGAGGAATACCTGGGTAAGGATGCACCCCGCACTATCCTAGGCCAACCTATCTTTCACACCTATTGGACAGACTGTGCTGTAAGTGACTTCTTTGTATGTCAGTCATTCATACTGTGCATGAAAACAATCTGAAGTGTGCATTGTAGATTCAATAAATGTGTTAAATTGCAGAGATTGTGCTTGTACAGTAACTAGTGGACAGCTACAGGGATGAATGACTGTAGTCTCTTCATTTTAAGTAAGTTTTAGTTGGAAATAGATACAATTCAATTTTTTTCTGTCTCCCAGACATGCAAGATTTCAGGTATGTCTTGCTTCTTCTACTTACAATTAGGTCACACTACACATGCATGTACAAGCATATATACATACACACCCCTCTGGGTTTTCTTTTATTTTTCTTACTAGTTCTTGCTCTTGTTTATTTCCTCTTATCTCCTGGAGACCTGGAGTTTACCTGGAGAGAATTCTGGGGGTCAGTGTCCCTGTGGCCCAGTCTGTGACCAGGCCTCATGGTGGATCAGGAACTGATCATCCAGGCTGTTTCTGCTGGCTGCATGTAATCCAACATACAAACCACAGCCCAGCTGGTCAGGTACAGCCTTTAGGTGCCTGTCCAGTGCCTGCTTGAAGACAGCCAGGGGTCTATCGGTAATCCTTATGTATGCTGGGAGGCAGTTGAACAGTCTTGGGCCCCTGACACTTATTGTGTTGTCTCTTAACGTGCTAGTAGCACCCCTGCTTTTCATTGGGGGGATGTTGCATCATCTGCCGATTCTTTTGCTTTCGTAAGGAATGACTTTCGCGTGCAAGTTTGGTACTAAACCCTCTAGGATTTTCCAGATGTATATAGTCATGTATCTCTCCCACCTACATTCCATGGGCAAGTGGAACAGAATTCTTCCTCCGTAAGCCATGAGTGTCGTAAGAGGCAACTAAAATGCCAGGAGCAAGGGGCTAGTAACCCCTTCTCCTGTATACATTACTAAATTTAAATAGAGAAACTTTCATTTTTCTTTTTAGGTCACCTGCCTCGGTGGGATATGGCCAGTTTGTTGAAAAAAAAAAAAAGATAAATTTCAAATTTAGCTGTCTATTGTTTATTAATAGAATACAATACAGTATACACACAGAAAGTGTTTCAGGTTGAAAATACTCAGCCATTATTTTAGAAAAAAAACTTGTATGTGACATTACCATCATTAGTTTTTTAATTGGTAAACACCAAGAATGTAACGTGTTTATTACTTGAGAAAATATTCAAATTAGACAAATTTTCAAAGAAAAAAAGTAGACTATAGGATGATTTTTAGAGTTCAGTATATTTCATAGGGAGTCTTCCCAGTTTTTCAGAAATGGTTCTTTATTTTACTATACATGTACTATCTTTTTTTCCACCATCATGTATTATTTTCTTTTGCATTTACTTTGTGTGAGATTGTAACTATGCAATTCTTGAGATGTCATATTGGTGTAGTACAAGTGTTGTGTTGTACAGGATGTGGAGGCTTACAAGAATCTGGCACGAGACAGCTTGCAGGCGTGGGTCATGTCTCTCAAGCAGCAAGGTATCACAGACTGGATGGTCATACTTCTTGAAACTCCTGACACCCGCAAGGGCAACAAACTGCTTCCTCGCACAACTGTGCTGGACAAAATCAAGAATGATTTTGGTGGAAAACAGGCAGAGAGGTAAGTGACAGTGCTTTATGTAAATGAAAATAAAGATTTATTGTGCAAATGGGTTATGTACATATACAATATTACATATAATGTATCAGGTGTCCCTCATGTTACTTTGTAGATGTGTTCCAATTCCTTGGCAGCTATAGCAGTCTGCCAGGTCATCAACACTTAATTTTTCAGTATGGGGATTTTCATTACATTTTGAGAACCTCACTTGTCATATAGGGTGAATTTATATACTTATCACATAGGGATTCATGGTAAAAATGAGAAATTGCATAAAAATGAGTTCTCTTGTAGCAAACTTACATAAAATGAAGGGTTACTGTATTGTTATACAAATAATACATTACTTCAGTAGCATGTTATTCACAAAATTGGTGCAAATAACACTAAAAGAAATGGATCATGGGAGGTAGACATAAACTGTATAACTTCAGCAGCGTATGTACGACTAGCCAAGCTCATACATGTATAGTATAGTATTTGTTTTATCATCTTGTATGCAATCAGTTACAGCTTGGAGTCCCCTCATGGAAGGTTCCTTGATGTTGGTGAGGGGCTCTTGATTTAGGGAATTGGAACTGTGCTCCAGTTCCCCGAATTAAGCCTGAATGCCTTCCACATCCCCCCCCCCCCCGGGCGCTGTATAATCCTACGGGTTTAGCGCTTCCCCTTTGATTATAATAATAATAATACAGCTTGGAGTCTTCACCCGGTCAAAAACATTAATATCATATTGTCTAACAGATGTATGTCAGTGATTGACCCTCTAAAGTCTGACTCAAGGTCGATGGAGTCATGGCAGACTCTCCTTACTAAGATGAGGCATTTGCTGATGGTGGCCTACAACCGAGCCCTTAACAGGTGTGTTGTGTGTGTGATGATGATGATGATGAAAACAGTTGTGCTTTTAACATGTTTGTGTGTAATGGTCACAAACAGCTGAATCCAAAGAGGTTTGTGTGTGATGGGTGTACACAACTGTGCCTTGAGCAAGCATCTTTAGTGTGATGTACACCTGAGCTCATAACAGGTGTGTTATACATGATGGTATAACACACCTGTTAGGGTGTGTTATACCATCATGTAGTGCACTGTAAAGAGATACTTTACAGTGCATTTGGTATGTTGAGAAAATGACAGATCATTTATTTCAATAAATACAAAATAGCAAGTATATAGCAAAGCGTTGTTAGTATGTTCTAAGAAATATGTGCTAAAATGTGATTTTCTTGCATATTTTAGTGTTTCAGAATAGTTTCAGGCATTTTTTGGCATACTTCATTTTTTAGCTAAAAATACGTAAATTATCAATCTTTTAATCGAAAATGCTGCTACTCGTTATGTTATCGGATAGAACAGCTGAGAGCTTTATTATTAAGTGTAAAAATATGACTGATGTAGAGGGACCTAAGTGAGTTAAGTTATGGTTGAAATACAGGCTAATAACAGTGAGTATTGGATATTACACATGAGTGTGTGGGGAGGTACTTGCTGCAGTATCACAATGCAGGAAATGCTACTATAAATTTTCCTCTAGGTTTGAGGAAAGCATGAGAGCAGAGCGGGAACGTCGGACAGAGAAATCCTGGTCCTTCTGCTCATATTTTTTGCTGCAAGAAGAACTGGCACAGGTGTTCCAGCTCTTGGCTCTGTATGACGAGGCACTTGTCCAGTACGACGAGCTGGATGCTCTCTTCACTCAGTTTATCTTGAATTCGGCAGCTGGAGGTATAGTGGTAATTTTTTCCATTCTTTGTGGCATAAAGTACAGTGGAACCTTGGTGTGCGACCTTAATTCCATTCCAGAAGGCTGTTCGAGTGCTGCTCTGTTTGAATATTGAACAAGTTCTTCCCAACCAATTTTCCATTTGGTTAGCTGTTATCACTAATCTTTGTAGGCTCCATGGTGATTTATACAAATAATACAAAAAGAAAAAAATGCCAAAAAATGCGAAGAAACACAAAATAGTTTACAGCGAAGTTCTGGCAGGTCGTATTTGCTTGGTCGAGTGCTAAGCTTTGTTTGAGTAGGGAGCTGGTCATATACTGAGGTTCCACTGTACTGCATTAATGTGAATAAAATTTAAGTTTTTCCTTTTATGTACGGCACATTCATATACTGTACAGTACATGTAAGTATATAAAGTATGATCCACATTATATAATTAAGCCACATTCAGTTTTATAAGTAATCAAGATCTTTTATATATTGTAATTTGTTAGGACATAGGAAGATGTTCCATGATATTTGAGGTTTGACCAGACTGGCTTTGGATTAGTTAGATGATTAAGAATATTCATTTAAACTTAAAAACAAAAAGAGAAAGTTTTAGCATCATATATTTTTTTTTTTTTTTTGCCTCAGATTTTTCATTATCTGAGGTGCCTTTCACAGGTCACTTATCAAAACTCTTACAACCTTCCATGAAAGCTATATATACAGGATTTTTTCATATTTTTGAGGAGTAATTTATCCAACAGTGTCATCATCCTCTTTTTCCATTTTTAGAGAAAAAGTTTTTCACCTAAAAAGATCATAGAACTATAGTTCATTGTTTTTAGTAATTTTTGGGCGGATTTTCCAAATTATTTAAAATCACACCAGGGGTACTATTTTTAATGCTAAATAAGAATACATGTATACAGTGAAAAAGGTAAAATCCGATCATTTTAGCATCATACGAGGCCCTGTTTTCCTAGGAAACCTTATTAGATGTTGTCATTCTTTTCATTAAAGCTATTCAAACCTTCAAAAATGTATTTTAATTTATTTATTGCAGATAACTGATCAAAGAAACAGTTCCATGATGAATATATTACTTTTTATATTTTTTGCACCCTATCCCCCTACCTTCCCCAGTCACTGGACAAGCACTCAGCATTTTTACACTGTCAGCTGGATTGAAAAAATGCTTAAAATCACAGTTGAACTTTTTTTTTATCCTATTATAGAATATGCAGTTTAAAATATCGCATTTTTAGCCATTTTCAGGCAGATTTTCAAAATTGCTTAAAATCACACCAGATTAAGAATATTCACTTAGAAGCATACAAAGAGAAAGTTGTAGCATGATACAATGCTGTTTTTTTCCCTCTGATTTTTTGTCTGAAGTTCCTTTTAAAGGTCACTTGTGTTATCAAAACATGTACAGTATTCTTATTATAAGACTGCTGCACTCTAATACATTAAAGTATATTGTTTTGAAACTACTCGTGTAGCTGTAAGAATACTGTATTCTATTTTAAGACCATGTAAGTACAGAATTTCATGTACAATATATTTGAATAAGTTTCATGTCCCTAGGTAGTAGGTTGGTAAACAGCAACCGCCCAGGGAGGTACTACCGTCCTGCCAAGTGAGTGTACAACGAAAACCTGTAATTGTTTTACATGATGGTAGGATTGCTGGTGTCTTTTGTCTGTCTCATAAACATGCAAGATTTCAGGTATGTCTTGTTACTTCTACTTACACTTAGGTCACACTACACATACATGTACAAGCATATATATACACACACCCCTCTAGGTATTCTTCTATTTTCTTTCTAGTTCTTGTTCTTGTTTATTTCCTCTTATCTCCATGCGGAAGTGGAACAGAATTCTTCCTCCGTAAGCCATACATGTTGTAAGAGGCGACTAAAATGCCGGGAGCAAGGGGCTAGTAACCCCTTCTCCCGTATAAATTACTAAATTTAAAAGAGAAACTTTCGTTTTTTCTTTTTGGGTCACCCTGCCTTGGTGGGATATGGCCGGTGTGTTGAAAGAAAGAAGTTTCGTGTCATAATTATCATACAATATAGCACTCATTATGTCTTATCGCTCTTAGTTTATCTCCCAGTAAGTAATGTAGAATAGACTTAGTATCAGATGGACTTATTCTGTTCGTAATGTTAAGGGTGAATGAAGATTTTCCAATTTCTCGTATTTCCCAATGAATTACACATCCATGAACATACAACAGATTCTCCACCATGGCTGAACATCTTCAGCCAGCCATGTGAAAAGTGGGAGGGACTACACCTGACATCGGAGCTGGACACAGTCGTTCAAGGCAAGATCCAGAGCAAGGAGGTCACTCTGCTGGAGTTTCGCAATTATCTCTTCCAGCGACAGTGTGCACTGCTCTTCCAGCTCAACAAACCTTGGGAGGCATGTATAGTCATGTTTATGTGTGGCCTTATTACTGATGTACTGTAGTTAAGCATCCTAGGTGATGTATCACAATGATTTTCTCTTAAAAATGTTAGTTTGCTTAACATTAGAGAAATACTGGTACGTACTATTTTTATACACAGTCGCAGAGTTTTGTAAGGAGAGGATTTTCCTGTTAATCTAGTACAGTACTTGTATTTTTATTAGCAGAGCCATGTTGAATGTGGTTGTCATGTTTGACATTACAGGTGGCAGTGCGGGCACTGACATTTTTACAGAACACGGTAGGAGAGTTGAAGATTCTGGAAATCGGATTAGCCCCTGGTGGAGTGGCTTGCTGGGGAGTGTTGTCATGTTTGGAGGTGATAGATGCCTTGCACTGCTTCAAAGAGCCCACAACAACTGATGCCCACGCACTACATACTGCTCCACTTTGGGCCTATGCTAGAGACAAGGTATGTAGGTGAACTTCAGCCTCAATCATAGTTAAGAGGTTTTCCTGACCTAATCTCCAGTCTCTCATATAAAGTATAGGCTAACATTTAATGTTTCTCCAGACAAGAAGTATTTATGGCTTGATATACTGTTGGTGTATGAGTAAGGTAATATTTCTGAAGGAATTCAGGGAAACTGGTTAGCAGGACAGTAATCTGAACTGTGATTTCAGCACATTTCATACAAGGCAGTGATTGAATGATACATTGTATTTCCTCTTTTATTTTATGGGTCACCCTACTTTGGTGTGAGACTGCCAGTGTGTTAAAAAATTAGTACAGTACTACAGATCCCATTCCCTGTGCACTATGTAATTATATGTACTCCTGCATATAAATGTATAATCTACATTGAGCTTTTAACATAAAGGAGCAGTAAAAATCTATCACTTATGCATTGTTCATATTCTTCTGTACATTTCAGTTCATAAATAAAATTTTTAAATCCTTATTAGAAATAAATATTTGTATAGCTGCAGGAACTAGGATCACTCTGCGGGCTGATGCCAGGCAGTGAGACAAGTAGTGCACAGCTGCACACAGTTATCTCCCTAGTGTGTGGCATGGGTAATGACCCACACACCCACGACCAGCCGCAGGAGCACTCATCGTTATCTCAGGACACACCCATGACGCGGCTAAAAGATTCTTTGTCTTCCCCTCAGGCATTCAAGAAGCATTTTTTGGTAAGGGTGATGTGCCACTTATTTTCCCAAGTATAAGTCAGTGTTTACAAGGACATTGCTACCCCATGTACTAGCAATTTGGAGTGCAGTATGCATCTTAGCATGCAGGAAAAACTGATCAATAAATCATTGTCTAGACCTCCATTCACAACTAATCCACAAATTAGAGAGGAGATTGTGAGTTAGTTGTGAATTGCTCTAGCGATGGTATTGTGGGTTAGTTGTGAATTACTTCAGCCACACTTGCTTAGTGTGCCCATGTAGTCAGTCAGTTGTAAATAATAAGGGCATTTGTGTATAGTGTAAGTGATGGTAGGTACTTGAGTGTATATTCATATTTTTGGGGAATTGAAAATGGGTTAGGAACTGGGGAGCTGCTTTTGTACAAGTTGACAGTGGAAAATAAGGTACACAGTAAGCAAACTGGTTAATTTTGTAGCTTTTAACAAGTATACCATTAATTTAATTTATTGTGTATCTGTAGGCATAGAAATTTTGACTTGCTTTCTTACTATTTATGTATTACAGTGGACCTCCGCCTTACGATATTATTTCATTCCAGAGGTCTGTTCGGGTGCTGTTATAGACCGAATTTGTCCCCATAAGGAATATTGTGAATTAGATTAGTCCGTTTCAGGCCCCCAAAAATACATGTACAAAAGCACTTACAAAAATACGCTTACATAATTGGTCGAGTCGGGAGCTGATCGTAAGGTGGGGGTCCACTGTATTTATTTTGAGATTTTTTGTGTTGAATGACTTTTTTCCAAATTTGTATGAATGGGAAGTAATGAGCTTTTTTTTGTTTACATTCAGTGTGCAACTGTTGGAAAACATTACATAATACAGTAGGACCACTGTTCCGCGGGTCCAATTTCTGCGGTTTGTTATTCGCCGTTTACCCTGGCTTGAAAATAACCCTTAATTTTGCTAAATAATGACACCAAAATGCAAAAGTAGTGATAGTTCTTCAAAGCCTGAGAGAAGTCGTGAAGTGCTTCCCGTCAGTGAAAAAGTGCTAATTTTTTTACTTCTTGTATGTAATTTATCAATTAAACTTTATCATAGATATGTATGTAAATGAAAAATGACTTCAATATAGGGTTCGCTACTATCTGCAGTAGGTCTTGAAACATACCCCCGCAGATATAGGGGTTCTACTGCTTTTCAAGCTGATTGTTTTTAGCAGGGAATTAACTTTGTTTTTAATCTTTAACAAAATAACTAAATCCTCTTCAGGATCTTTCTGAAGTTGCAATAAGCACATACAAGCACATTGGCCGTATCCGCTCAGCCCGTCTCATAGGCCGAGATTTGGCCACGTTTTACATGGCGCAAGGTGAACCCCAGAAGGCAGCAACATTTTTGACAGACCAGCTGACCATGTTCCTGGAGGAAGGGTGGTTGCTCCTGGCTGCTCAGACACACCTCGACCTTGCCAAGTGTTATCTGGCCATCAACGACCTGGAGAGGTGAGATGCCAAAAATACAACATTACTGAATTTATGATGATTAGGTTCTTCAGGGAGAGAGTCCTGCTTTCCACATCTAGTCTGTGATCACTGTACACATTGTAGCTTATGGAGCAGAGCTATGCTTGTGGTATCCTGTCATCGGTTATGAATTACGTATTATGAATTTATATATTTATACTGTCAGATCACTATTTAAGAAAATACAACCATGTGAACTTTTGGCATGGCATGCACTACTTAGCATTAGAACTACTTGACTGTTCTGTGTTGACAGATACATCAGGACATGTGCTCAATTGGCTGGCAGCGTGGCTCTCAGTGCTGATGTGAGGAAACAGCATTTTGTCAAGATGATGAGTGCTATACAGGATGTGAATCAGGGTAAGAGTTCTTGCTGCTTGAGAACTAGTTTTTCAGCTATTGCATTACTTTGTATTTAGTGTACATTCTTTCAGAATGTTGTGAGACTTGTGGTCAGTCTTCTCCACACCATACTCGCACATACACAAGCATGCAAAGAACAATGTACAGTAAATATAAAAATGGCTAAAATATTTTGCTGAGGAAGGATTGGGAAATTGTGTAGAAATTTTATAGACTAACAATAGGAAAAATTTTATTTTAGAGTTAATTCATATAATAATTTTGTTTTTCAATTCTGTAAGAAGTTGATCTTACAGACACACCACTGCTCATCCCAAGCGACCGGATTTTTGAAGTAGGTGGTCTAAAGTTGGTGTCAGAGGGCCGCATCATTCTCGAGTCAGAAGTTAAGGTGGAACTTTCAGTGCTTAGCAAACTACCAGATGATGTGAGGTATGTTAAAAGTTTTACATGATAAAGTTTAATATTCTTTGCAAGACTGTCACAATCATATGCGGAAAATAGTTTGTACCAGTTAATTATTTTAGTTGCATTAGATAGTCCATTATACCTTCTAATACAGTTTTAATATTTGTAATAATTCTGTAACATCGAACATCTATAATAGTATAATTCAAGGGAAAGATACACAGAATTTGATTTTACAGGCAGTTAAAGTTGATTTTATTTATACCTCACAGTTTCAATGTCCTTAATATAAATCAGATGTACATTATTTATACACGCTTATAAAATCTTCATGCTGGTATACATAATAAAAGTGATGTATAAAATTCAGACAAAATACACACACACATGAGTACAGTTGTGGAGACCATAGTATGCATCTGATACCTACCAATTATTAAGTATAGTTATTCCCTTCAGTGTGGTATTGATGTTGGTGAGTTATTATAATCATGGGCAGAAGGGGCACTAAACCCATAGGAGTCATACTGCACAAGTTAGATCCAAGGAAAAGGACAATAGGTTCAATTCCTTGGATCAAGAGCTCTGCATTAGCATCAAGACACCTCTCTCGAAGGGTTGATCCTTGTAAAGGGCTTTATGATCCAAGGAATGGAGCTATACTTTTCCTTGTATGGTATCACACCTTATTACCTCCCATTCCCTTTGCTTGGTTTCCTTCTCCTATTACCTTCATTATCTTACATATACTTGGGCTAAACCCTAAGTCATTTTTTTTTTCAAAATGCTTGCTGTCTCCCACCGAGGCAGGGTGTCCCAAAAAGGAAGTCATTTATCTGGCCAGTTTATTTTTCTATCCTGTCCAGAGCTTCCTGAGATTTATCTTATCTACCACTTTATTTTTCTCATTAGTTTCATGTCAGTATCAAACCACACACAATTCAGTCACATCAGTTAGACTATGTATATCAAAAATGGTAGGGGCCCTAGTACAACTTTGTGGTATCTCTTCCATTCTTACACTTTCTCCCTCGCTGTTACTCTTATCTTTCTTTCACAGTTGTGGAACCATATATGTCATGTTGCAGCACTCTCAGGAAGACGATATAATGAGTGTCAAACGAAGTAGTGAAATAGACCGCAAAACTGGTTGTTCCACTGGCTCATCGCAACCAGCTGGCAGCAAGTCTCAGTCCTCGGCTATGGTACACAGGTTAGTCTGCCTCTGTTGCTTTTGCATTTATTTTATTGTTTTCATTATTCATTACATATGGTGAAGGGGTAAACATGCATACATACATACATGCATGCACATGACTTGTTCCAGAGACTTGAAATTGGAGGACAGAAGAACCAGGGGAAAGACATGATAACAACATACAAAACACTCAGGAAAATTGATATGGTAGACAGGGATAAGTTGTTTGAGAATTGAGAAGCAGGAATCTGGGGACATCATTGAAAGTTAAAGGCACAGATGAGTCACATGGATGTTTAGAAGTATTTCTTCAGTCCCAGAGTGGCCAGGAAGTAGAATGATCTTAGTGAGGAAGTGGTGGAGGCAGACTCCATATATAGTTTGAAGATTAGGTACACTAGAGTCCTTGAGGGAGTGAATCTGAGAGTGGCAAGTTAAGAGGCAGGGCCAGGTTCTGAGAACTGACCTCTGCAATCACAAATAGGTGAGTACACCGAGGAAAACATCCATCCCAATACTATTAACTTCTGTAATTGAGTTTTTTTTTTTTTTTTTCAACAAGTCGGTCGTCTCCCACCGAGGCAGGGTGACCCAAAAAAGAAAGAAAATCCCCAAAAAGAAAATACTTTCATCATCATTCAACACTTTCACCACACTCACACATTATCACTGCTTTTGCAGAGGTGCTCAGAATACAACAGATTAGAAGCATATACATATAAAGATACACAACATATCCCTCCAAACTGCCAATATCCCAAACCCCTCCTTTAAAGTGCAGGCATTGTACTTCCCATTTCCAGGACTCAAGTCCAACTATATGAAAATAACCGGTTTCCCTGAATCCCTTCACTAAATATTACCCTGCTCACACTCCAACAGATCATCAGGTCCCAAGTATCATTCGTCTCCATTCACTCCTATCTAACACGCTCATGCACGCTTGCTGGAAGTCCAAGCCCCTCGCCCACAAAACCTCCTTTACCCCCTCTTTCCAACCCTTTCGAGGACGACTCCTACCCCTCTTTCCTTCCCCTATAGATTTATATGCTTTCCATGTCATTCTACTTTGATCCATTCTCTCTAAATGACCAAACCACCTCAACAACCCCTCTTCTGCCCTCTGACTAATGCTTTTATTAACTCCACACCTTCTCCTAATTTCCACACTCCGAATTTTCTGCATAATATTTACACCACACATTGCCCTTAGACAGGACATCTCCACTGCCTCCAACCGTCTCCTCACTGCTGCATTTACCAACCAAGCTTCACATCCATATAAGAGTGTTGGTACTACTATACTTTCATACATTCCCTTCTTTGCCTCCATAGATAACGTTTTTTGACTCCACATATACCTCAACGCACCACTCGCCTTTTTTCCCTCATCAATTCTATGATTAACCTCATCCTTCATAAATCCATCCGCCGACACGTCAACTCCCAAGTATCTGAAAACATTCACTTCTTCCATACTCCTCCTCCCCAATTTGATATCCAATTTTTCTTTATCTAAATCATTTGATACCCTCATCACCTTACTCTTTTCTATGTTCACTTTCAACTTTCTACCTTTACACACATTCTCAAACTCATCCACTAACCTTTGCAATTTTTCTTTAGAATCTCCCATAAGCACAGTATCATCAGCAAAAAGTAACTGTGTCAATTCCCATTTTAAATTTGATTCCCCATAATTTATTCCCACCCCTCTCCCGAACATCCTAGCATTTACTTCTTTTACAACCCCATCTATAAATATATTAAACAACCATGGTGACATTACACATCCCTGTCTAAGACCTACTTTTACCAGGAAGTATTCTCCCTCTCTTCTACACACCCTAACCTGAGCCTCACTATCCTCATAAAAGCTCTTTACAGCATTTAGTAACTTACCACCTATTCCATATACTTGCAACATCTGCCACGTTGCTCCTCTATCCACTCTATCATATGCCTTTTCTAAATCCATAAATGCAATAAAAACTTCCCTACCTTTATCTAAATACTGTTCACATATATGCTTCAATGTAAACACTTGATCTACACATCCCCTGCCCACTCTGAAGCCTCCTTGCTCATCCGCAATTCTACATTCTGTCTTACCTCTAATTCTTTCAATTATAACTCTACCGTATACTTTTCCTGGTATACTCAGTAAACTTATTCCTCTATAATTTTTACAATCTCTTTTGTCCCCTTTCCCTTTATATAAAGGGACTATACATGCTCTCTGCCAATCCCTAGGTACCTTCCCCTCTTTCATACATTTATTAAACAAAAGTACCAACCACTCCAACAGTATATCCCCCCCTGCTTTTAACATTTGTCATGATCCCATCAGTTCCAGCTGCTTTACCCCCTTTCATTCTACGTAATGCCTCATGTACCTCCACCACACTTACATTCTGCTCTTCTTCATTCCTAAAAGATGGTATACCTCCCTGGCCAGTGCATGAAATTACCGCCTCCCTTTCTTCCTCAACATTTAAAAGTTCCTCAAAATATTCTTGCCATCTACCTAATACCTCCCTCTCCCCATCTACTAACTCCCCTACTCTGTTTTTAATGGACAAATCCATACTTTCCCTAGGCTTTCTTAACTTGTTTAACTCACTCCAAAATTTTTTCTTATTTTCATTAAAATTTCTTGACAGTGCCTCTCCCACTCTTTCATCTGCTCTCCTTTTGCACTCTCTCACCACTCTCTTCACCTTTCTTTTACTCTCCATATACTCTGCTCTTCTTATAACACTTCTGCTTTGTAAAAACCTCTCGTAAGCTACCTTTTTCTCTTTTATCACACCCTTTACTTCATCATTCCACCAATCACTCCTCTTTCCTCCTGCCCCCACCCTCCTATAACCACAAACTTCTGCCCCACATTCTAATACTGCATTTTTAAAACTATTCCAACCCTCTTCAACCTCCCCCCACTACTCATCTTTGCACTAGCCCACCTTTCTGCCAATAGTCGCTTATATCTCGCCCGAACTTCCTGGAACCTCCCTTAGTTTATACACTTTCACCTCCCTCTTACTTGTTGTTGCCACCTTCGTCTTTTCCCATCTACCTCTTACTCTAACTGTAGCTACAACTAAATAATGATCCGATATATCAGTTGCCCCTCTATAAACATGTACATCCTGGAGCCTACCCATCAACCTTTTATCCACCAATACATAATCTAACAAACTACTTTCATTACGTGCTACATCATACCTTGTATATTTATTTATCCTCTTTTTCATAACATATGTATTACTTATTACCAAATTTCTTTCTACACATAGCTCAATTAAAGGCTCCCCATTTACATTTACCCCTGGCACCCCAAATTTACCTACTACTCCCTCCATAACATTTTTACCCACTTTAGCATTGAGATCCCCAACCACCATTACTCTCACACTTGATTCAAAACTCCCCACGCATTCACTCAACATTTCCCAGAATATCTCTCTCTCCTCTACACTTCTCTTCTCCAGGTGCATACACGCTTACTATAACCCACTTTTCACATCCAATCTTTATTTTACTCCACATAATCCTTGAATTTATACATTTGTAGTCCCTCTTTTCCTGCCATAGCTTATCCTTCAACATTGTTGCCTGTGGTAATACAGTACTGTACTATGTTACCTCATCTTTTTTTCCTTCTTTAACAGATAATTTTGGATCAAATTACCATCCTGACTTGCCAAGGAATACTTCCTGCCACATTCTGCATTTGTTAGTAGTTGGGTTGTTATTAAATGTTAGAGTCTTATGTAGTAGTTGGTTCTTCCACTAACCATTATTTCTATTTACATATTGAGGACTTTATTAGCTATTACTCCTTAAATTTCTATACTTATTTGTATACAGTGTTTGTAATATGACATGTTCACTTCAATAGAAGTGGGAGTGGCAGCACAGAGTCAGATCGCAGTAGTGTGCCTTCAGACACAACTGACTTGGAGAGCAGCAGCATCAACCCCATGACTCAGCCACTTCACATGAGCCTTCATCTGGAATACAAGCAAGACAAAGCCCTTTCCTCTGCTGCTGTCACTTGCTCCAACTCTCATAAAGTTCTCAGGTAACACAACACTTCTTTTTATCGATCTAACTAGCTGCTGGTGTCACCATGATCACTCATATTCTAGTTATTATTATTATTATAATAAAAAAGAAGCGCTAAGCCACAAGGGCTATACAGCAATCATATTCTAGTTAGTGCTTCTGTATCTGATCAAGAACAACAAAAATATCTATGCTTCAACACCCCCATTAAAATAAGGAACAGTGTGCTCATGATGTCTACAAGTGACACACTAATAGGATGTTTTTATCCATCCTAGACCATTATTAGGTCCTGAGTAAGAAGAAAAAGGAAGAAAAACAAGTGTTAGGTCATGGCAGAGTGAGGTGAGGGGACAGTCAAGGTTGGATGAAGTCGTAGTTTTCATTTACAATTTATGGGTTAGTTGGCAATTGTTCCAGCCATGGTATTGTAACTTTTATTCAATGATGATGTCATTAAAAATTAACTGATTAATCTGATTTTCTCCTTGTGTAGGCGACGAGACAGTCAGGGTGGACTTTACAAGGTGGATCGTAACATAATAAAGGAGGACCTCAAAGACAAGCTTACTGCTGACGACGTGATCATCAGGCCCGGCTCAAACACCATCATCCTCTCCACCAAGGTATGACCAAAGGACCCGAGTTTGATTCTGGGGCAAGTAATGTTGAGCATGTTTCTTTACACTGGTATCCAAGTTCAGTTAGCAGTAAATAGTGTTAGCTAACTGTTGGTGTTTGACATCCTATGGGGGTGGTAGTAGATCTTGGATAGAGCTAGGCCTTAAAATATACTAAGGTAGGATAACAGCTTTTAGAATGTAAATTTAATGGTGGAAAAAAAAAAAAAGTCATGTTGGAGAGAGGGGGTAAAGGAGGTTTTGTGGGCAAGGGGCTTGGACTTCCAGCAAGTGTGCGTGAGCGTGTTAGATAGGAGTGAATGGAGACGAATGGTACTTGGGACCTGACGATCTGTTGGAGTGTGAGCAGGGTAATATTTAGTGAAGGGATTCAGGGAAACCGGTTATTTTCATATAGTTGGACTTGAGTCCTGGAAATGGGAAGTACAATGCCTGCACGTTAAAGGAGGGGTTTGGGATATTGGCAGTTTGGAGGGATATGTTGTGCATCTTTATACGTATATGCTTCTAAACTGTTGTATTCTGAGCACCTCTGCAAAAACAGTGATAATGTGTGAGTGTGGTGAAAGTGTTGAATGATGATGAAAGTATTTTCTTTTTGAGGATTTTCTTTCTTTTTTGGGTCACCCTGCCTCGGTGGGAGACGGCTGACTTGTTGAAAAAAAAAAATTCTTTTTTTTTTACATAAGTATTCTTTTTCACTCTAAATCAATGAGGATGACTAAAGATTATTAACCTAGGTCAGTTTAAGAAAGAAAATCAGTATGATTTATTTTCACTGGAATCCTACAGTTCTTTTCCCCAGGATCTAATTACTGTATATACAGTACCAGGTGGACATGTATGGTAGGTATCAAGTAAATTTGCTCATATGCTTTGTCTTATCTGGGAACTTAATCTATGCAAACCAGACTATTTATAAGTTCTTTTTATTCATGGTGCTCGTTGAAAGACAATAGCAAATGCTGACAAGTGGTAGAAGAGGATCCTTTTAATAAACATTTTGCTGCTCTGCAGTGTGTCTTTCTTCAATATTGTCAATAGTACAGCATTCAGAGCCAAGGTCAGTTTCGTTTCTTAATCCCTGTGGCGAGTGATACTAATTGGTATCATGAACAGAGAGTAGATTGCAAGACCTGCAACTAAAATATTTGATTATATCATTCTGAATTATTTTTATTTTTCTGTCTCTCTAAATTCTATTGTTATACCATTTGTGGCTAAGAGCAGCATGTTTCACAGGTTACAAAAAAAGGTCGTTATAGTGCGAGCCAGGTAGTGCTGGCCCTGGACAAGGTGGAGTTCATCTGCAGCAAGACTAGTGTTAGTGGTCCTTCCCTCTCCCTAGAGGTGGTCAGTGAGAACCCACGCATATTTTTGGGTCGTCGTGATCGGGATCTCTTAGCTGGAATGCATCAGCCGATGGTGCTCACAGTACACAGTGGAAGCTGGCATATTGCAAAGGTAAAAAAAAAAAAAAAAAAAAATTCAAGAAAAAACTTATCTTAATTAAGAATACAGTGGACCCCCGGGTAACGATATTTTTTCACTCCAGAAGTATGTTCAGGTGCCAGTACTGACCGAATTTGTTCCCATAAGGAATATTGTGAAGTAGATTAGTCCATTTCAGACCCCCAAACATACATGTACAAACGCACTTACATAAATACACTTACATAATTGGTTGCATTCGGAGGTAATCGTTATGCGGGGGTCCACTGTATATAATATTTATCCTGTTCTGTAGATGATTTTAAGATGTGCATTATTATCATGCTTTTATACAAATTATTATTATTATAATCAAAAAGAAGCACTAAGCCACAAGGGCTATACAGCGCTGCAGGGTAGGGAAGGAAGTGAGGGTATTGGGCGGCAGAAGGGAGGAGGGATGATCAGTAGGTTACAGAAAACAGCGGGGCACGGGATAGTACGGGGGTAGAGGGTAGCAAGAGATTGAGGTAGAAAGGGCTGAAGGTATCAGAATTTGTGAAGTAAGTCAGTTGTTGTCAAAAAGCCAATGAGAGAGTCCTGATGAAAGGTGGGCTCATCAGCGAGAAGGGAAGGTAAAGAGAGAGCAGCGGAGCGAAGACGATGACGGAGGTAAATTCTGCGTGCTCGTTGATAAAGTGGGCAGTCCAACAGAATGTGGCTGACTGATAATGGAGCCTGGCAATTCTCACAGAGGAGCAGGGCGCCTCTCCACGAGATATCCATGAGTAAGACGAGTATGGCCAATGCGAAGACGGGAGAGAGTAGTCTCCCAACCTCGACACTGGTGATAAGAAGACGGCCGGTAACCTATACTCGGTTTAATAGATTGAAGTTTGTTACTGAGCATAGTAGACCAACGTTGTTGCCAATGGGTGTGAAGGTGGGAAGATATTGCAGCAAAATAGTCCGTAAATGGAATACCTCTATATGAAACTGGTAGGTCATGTACTGCTGACCGCGCAGCAGTGTCTGTCTGTTCATTGCCCTGTACGTCAACATGACCAGGGACCCAACAAAAAACAATATCTTTATGCTTGGTAAAGATGCGGTGTAGCCAAAGTTGGATACAGAGGACTAAGGGGTGAGGTGTATCAAATTTCTGTATAGCCTGTAAAGCGCTAAGGGAGTCTGAGACTACCACAAATGATGACACAGGCATAGATGCGATACGGATAAGTGCTGCAAGGATGGCATACAATTCAGCAGTAAAAATACTAGCCAAAGATAGTAAATGCCCCCGTACGACGCTGTCCGGAAACACTGCTGCTTTTATACAAAGTGATTAAATATTTACCAGAATAAAATACCAGATTTAGTGGTCTTAAATCTTTATATTTATTAACTATTATAAAGATTGTCATCAACATTAAATGTAGCAAGAGGTAAAATTTGCGTTATGTATAGGAGACTACAGAATATGAAATAATTATTATTATTATAATCAAAAAGAAGCGCTAAGCCACAAGGGCTATACAGAAATATGAAATAAAATCTTGGCATCTTGAAGATGGCTGAGCCGAAAATTTGCTATCCTGCAATGAACACTTAAAAATGAATGTACTGTAATTTTCCCTTTCAGATAAAACCATAAAAAAAAAGTTGTTGTTATAACTTTTTCTATAAGACAGATTGTGCATTCTTCTCTCAGGATACTTTGGTTAAACTTCGCACATCCCGCGGCCTGTCTGTGAAATGTGAAAATAATGAGAGTAATAATGATACACTGGAGAGAGACTTAGAAGTAGTGCTGCCAGAAGTGTGTCCTTTCTCTTCCATTGCTGTTCCACTGACTGTCTTGGCTGACCTGGGACCACAGAGAGATGCTGCAACTGTTGAGCATACTGTATGTATCTCTGTCCTCTCTACAATATAGTGTACTGTGTCTTTACTCATCTTTCAATGCATCGGCTGTATCCCACAAGGAAAAACGAGTTTCTTTTTAAATTTAGTAGTATATACAGGAAAAGGGGGGTTACTAGCCCCTTGATCTTTACTCGTATACATGTATTGGATAGAAGAAAAAATATGCATGATAATTGTTGACTATATATAATTCAATAAGTGGAGTTTGACTTTATAATCTGGTGCTTCATATTCAAACATCAGTGACTTAAAGTAGATGTTTTGGTAGCTGTTTACCATAATTTAATTCTCTAATGAAGAATGAATATTTAACATTCTTAAAAAGTATATTAATTTTTAAATTGTTGATCTCTTCCTTTTTATTTTGTCATTCAAGGTAGCCATCAGCAGCCCCTTAATTGACCACCGATTAGATATTGATGTCCACTTCATACCTCCCTTCATGTCTTCACACAAGTTGCACACAGCCAACACCTCCAAGTTTGTCCAAGTGAGAATTTGTACAACGGTCTTTGTGGCACAAATAATTTGCTTGCTGAAAGTACTTATTATATAATCAGATTTAATTACAACAAATGAACATATATTAATAGGGAACAGCAGCTAAACCTGCGAGTCGTATGGTTCGTGGGGAATGGGAGGTATGAGGGGTATCCAGCTTAGATTTGAGGAAGGGTAAAGTATATCTGATTCCTTGAATCAAGAGCCTGTTCTCAGCAGCTAAGCACCTCCATACAAGGAATTAAACTGAAATAACAGTGTAAAAGAAAGATTGAGCTGTTATAAATTATATTCCCATGTAATGTTTTGGTTGTGAAGCATGATTCACTGCTGACAGGTGACAGTAACTGGCCTGGTGAGCCGAGCAGTGGAACTGTCCTGTCCATCACTGACTCTAATGGACCCAGAACAACACTTCAAGCTAATACCACTCCACCCTCCCACACAGACTCTGGTAAGACATATACAGTCATTAATATTTTAACTTCATCTTCTTAACACTAAGTGTTCTCCCAGGTGTCACATGGAATTTAGACAATCATATTACCTGTGCCCACATTAAATGTTTTTCATGCAGCAGGCATGTGTTAGCATGTATATTTAATAAAAAGAAAATGCCCTTTGGACTGTAGGTGGTCTGCACAGATCAAGCTGCTAGTTACATGTGGGGAATGGAAGTAGACTACACACGGGATGAAACACCAGTGATCAAGATGGGGTTCACACTTCGCTATCGTCCACTGGATGAAAACTCTCAACCACTCCCAGAGGACTTTAAAACCTACACCTATACATTTGAACTTCAGGATTATAAGGCAAGTGCTGACATCATGCTTTGTGCTGTAGCGTATAAATACATTTTAAATGCTAGTATGGTATATACAAGTTGTGTATATATATATTAATTGTACTCCATATGAAAGCATTACAAGTATAATTACAGGGCAGCTTCTTTCTTCTTCAACAAGTTGGCCGTCTCTTACCGAAGCAGGGTGACCCAAAAAGAAAATACTTTCATCATTCAACACTTTCACCTCACTCACACACAATCATTGTTTTTGCAGAGGTGCTCAGAATACAACAGTTTAGAAGCATATACGTATAAAGATACATAACATATCCCTCCAAACTGCCAATATCCCAAACCCCTCCTTTAAAGTGCAGGCATTGTATTTCCCATTTCCAGGACTCAAGTCCGGCTATATAAAAATAACCGGTTTCCCTGAATCCCTTCACTAAATATTACCCTGCTCACACATTAACAGCCTGTCAGGTCCCCAAAACCATTTGTCTTCATTGACTCCTACCTAACACAAAATATAAAACTTAATGGTGTCATAGTTCAGTAATGTTGCACATTACCCACAGACCCTGTACACCATTCGTGCACGGGTGGAGCCCAGCAAGGGGTCTGAGCTGTGTCGTGCAGGAAACATGTGCCACCTGCACATTGCCTTACAGCAAGTATCCTCAAAGCTTCCATCCACTGAGACAGATGGGACTGGTGCATCACAGGCATCACAACACTCCATCATGTATGAGGTGCTGGCTGACCAGACTATGTGGGCAGTGTGTGGCAGGACTGCAGGTAAATGAAGTGTGTGTCAGGATTGCAACAACCGCTGTTGATTTGACATGCTTATTATGTTATGCCTTCTGTTACTAGGTTTGGAACTATACCTTTTGCAGGGGTCCTGACATTGGAGGGTGGGCTACGGCAGAGTGTCACCATGGATGTGATGCCTCTCACTGGAGGGTTTTTGCCATTACCGTCTGTACGATTATCAAAATATATCCCAGCAGACGCCAAACACACTACCAGCAAAGGTAACTTTTTGTGTTTACTTGTACAAGATGTATGGATGGCTGCATTTTCAGGAAAACTAGTTTCTTTTTTTTTCATAAGGTCCATAGTGCTTAGTTGTGATAATACAAACAATAAGGCTCATACAGGCTTGTAGCTATAGGCACTGATCTCTAGCAGTTATAGGAAGATGAAAGCAGAGGGAAAGGGGTCTATTAACAATTTTGATATCTCATAAGCTATGGGAAAGCCTTTGGCCTTAGATGCTTATGTAGCCCTATCTTTATGCATTTACTTCAGCTGTACATCTCACTTGAAATACTTTCACATTCTACTGTGCCTCCTGCTCTAATAGAGAATTATTTTGTCCAAAATTTGGCATCTATGCATGCAGTGAAGGTTCTCTACATTTTCTAGGTCAGTGGTTTATACACCTTTGAATGGCGAGTGTAATAACATATACACATACACTAAAGTAATAGTCTAGAAAGCATAAATGCCTTAGGATACATCACCTAGTTTCTACTCAGGTATTCTAACTGCTAACACTTCTTTAATTATAATTATTGTATTAACTAATGTATGGTGTGAGTATCTAGCAGAGAATTTAGAGCTTAGAAACTTAAAGGTGATGTGGACTCACTGCAGGTATAATTCAGAGGGTTATAAGCTAGGCAAGAGGAAAAAATCTATAAATATAAGATGTACGACGATGAAATATTCTGCTATGTGAACATGAAATGGGCAGCCGCTGCACGCTGCTCATGCAACTGTCATATTTCTAGTGACATTTAAGGCTTTGTTAACAACCACCTATTTGACTGTTTTTACAACAATGCCTGTTGTCTGTGGTTTAGAGGATGGGCTAAATTCGGTGGAATGTACAAGGTAATTTTTATGAAAGGATTAAGGGGAAACTGATTAGCCAGACACGAGTTCTGGAGGTGGGTAGGGCTGTAACTGCATCTTGAAGGAGGAGTGGGGAATGTTGTGGATTATTAGTCATGACAGGAGCACTAAACCCATAGGGGTCAGATCTGGAAAGAGCAGTTGAATGAGTTTTGTTCTATTGAGTCATCCTGCCTTGGCAGGCAATGGAGATTTTTTTTTTTACTTCAAATTCATTCTTGTTTATAGATCATTTAGAGATTATATTATTCATGGAAGTCCTCAACCCATAGGAGTCCTTTAGGGACAGGGAATCTGGTTTGATCAGAGAGAAAAAAAAAAGCATCTCCAATTCCTTGGATCAAGAGCCCTTCATTATCATTAAGGCAACTCCACTATACTAGGGTGGGTAAGAAGAGGTACAACCACTGTACTTTAAAGTTGTAGGAGTCACGATGGTCATCCCACCACAGTACCAGAGGAAAATTACGTATTTGGGTCAGTCTGACTCTTAGCAAAATGACACAAAAACATGCCTAATAATTTTTTTTAACATTAGCATTCATGTCTTGCATACGAGTTACATCTTTCAATGAAGCTCGTACTGTATGTTAACTCCTCAATGGCAAGACAATATTTACAATATATAGAGGGTATTTTTTTAAGTCTGCTGTCAGTCAGGATATACAAGTAATTTTGCACAAAGAAAGTAGTGGTCTCCTGCAGATGAAGTGGTGGGGGTGTAGGGTAGAGCAGTAAAAAATTTTTTACCTACAAAATCTTATAGCAGTGTGAGTGTGGAGGTTATATTAGTTTACTTTAACATTTAATGCCCAGTACAACTTTTGCAGTGTAGTAATATCAAAGCTTGTAAATAAAAACTTTTTACCAACAGATGGCGGGAGGAAGATGGAGTATGTAGGGACTGCATCGTCGGTACCACGCCTCCAGCCATTTACTCCAGGACAAGTTTACAATTTCAGCAAAGCTCAGCAAGTTCACGTGCTCCCGGCATCCAATACACTCCAGGGGGACCTATCCCTCACATAAATATGGCAGTATATTGTAACAAAAATTCAGCTGTTCCAGACCTAATGGCTTATTCTGACTTCATGTACACGGCAGTGTTCTGGTGTATACAAGTCACTTTATTTGTAATACAGTATACATAGGCTTGTGACAAGCCTTATCAATGTTCATTAATTAGGGGTAATATACTCTAGTTTGTAAAAAATATTGGGTAATGGCCAACACCTAATTTGTAAAAATTTACACAATATCCTATAATGCACCAGGCCAGGATGTTGGAGGCTATAGTCATTGTTGTAATAGCATTTATTTTTTAATAAGCACAGCCAAAAACACATTGATGGTGTTGTGTCCATAATACTGAGAGTTGTGCTGATAGACTACAGCTACTTATCATTCCTCTATTCCTATAAATGTTGCTGTTGTATTATTATGATGTTTATTAAAATTATTTATAGCATAATTGTTTTGCCAGTTATTTACTGTATATATTTATAGATATATTGTTATATATTTTAGAATTTACATTAAAATAATAAAACAATTATTTTCAAGCAACACCTAAAATCTATATATTGACATTTGTGGCTAGCATGATGAATAACTGTGCTAGCCTTGCTTTACTAATTGAGAACATTAAGCTCATAGGAAGCATACAGTGCTTCTCTTGAGGCAAATGGGCTTTGATCCAAGGAAAAGAATAGCTTAGTTCCTTAGATCAAGAACCCTTCACCAGAATCTAGGAACTCCACTTGAAGTGTGTGTGTTTTATTTGCAAAGAACTAAAACCATCTGGTTATTCAGTACTTTAAACACTTTCTTACATTAACTTTTTAATGAGTGTTAATTTAATACTGTCATGACACTGATTCCTTAGATCAAGAGATACCCTTTCTTTCCTTGGATCAAATCTGACTACCTTCCATTCCCCAGGTACTGTATAACTATTGCAGGTTTAGCATTTCTGCATGATTACATATTACATTTCATTTATGGGTGAAACACTAAACCCACAGGGGACAGTGCCTAGGGAAATGTATTCACACTAGTCAAGGAATTGGAGCCCAGGTCCAATCAAGTCCCTCACCAGCATCAAGGAACCTCCCATGAAGGGTCATGATTATACCATGGGGAGGTGATGAACTCATTAATGAAAAGTATAAAAACAAAGTATAGTATACCACTATAACTAGTACTATGTTATTACTTTCATAGGGGAGTGTTAAACCCACAGGGGTCACACTGCCTGCAAAAATGGGAGGTGTTCAGGTTAAATCCAAGGGGGAGGAAAGTCCAATTCCTTGTATGAAGAGTCCATTCACTAGCATCAAAGAACCTCCTTTGATAGGAACTGGTACTGCAATATTAAACGTGGCGAGAATATCAGCTGTTAAACAAATCCCTTATTGGAGGTGCCTTGATGCCACTGAGGGGATTTGATCCAATGAAATGGACTAATCTTTTTTTGGGGGCTCAAACCTGATTACCTCCCAGTCTTCCAGGTGCTGCATGATCCCTATGGGTTTAGCACTCATCCCCCATTAATGAAATAACAGCAACACAAGTTAATCAAGGTGCTAATTTATTATTAAATATACTGTACTAATGACTGACACTTCTTCTTTGTGCAGGCAATATCTTAATCTATTTTACTACCAGCTTTCAACACGTTTACTGATAACCTAAAATAAGTGCTGTATCTAGATGAATGCTTAATGGGTAGGGCATCTTAGAGAAACACCTACAGTTCACTGTGAATATCTGAAGAGGAATCCCCAGCAGGTGAATTGTCGTCAAGCCAACGAGCAAACGCTTGCATTGGCTCCAGCATCCAATATCTGTGAAATGATACAGGCAACTCTCCTTCCAGCAGCTCCTCTGGATAATCCACAGGCCGACCCTAGAAGAATAGAGAACAGTTATACAGATGCAGACTGATTACCGGTCCTAACCTCCCATGAAATTCAATATACATACCATGTGAACAGGGGATTACATTAATGGAAGAACAAGCCTCTGTTATAACTTAACTGTGTGTATAATTATGAACTGAAACATAACCTATCGTTTAATTTATAATTAGAAATACTGGCAATGCAACACCATTTCTCACTAATCTATATTGCTATCAATGTCATCAGTGCAAAGGTTTGCAACAAGACTAGTCCCAGAGCTAAGGGGATTGTCCTATGAAGAAAGGTTAAAGGAAAGCGGCCTGACGACACTGGAGGACAGGAGGGTCAGGGAAGACATGATAACGACATAAAATACTGCGAGGAATTGACGAGGTGGACAAAGACAGGATGATCCAGATATGGGACACAGAAACAAGGGGTCACAATTGGAAGTTGAAGACTCCTATGAGTCAAAGGAATGTTAGGAAGTATTTCTTCAGCCACAGAGTTGTCAGGAAGTGGAATAGCCTAGAAAGTGACGTAGTGGAGGCACGAACTATACACAGTTTTAAGACTAGGTTTGATAAAGCTCATGAAGCAGGGAGAGAGAGGACCTAGTAGCAATCAGTGAAGAGGCGGGGCCAGGAGCTATGGATCAACCCCGGCAACCACAAATAGGCGAGCGCACACCTCTCAAAACTCTCTCGCATACTCACTCTTCAAGGACTGCAGAGTTATTACACTGTATATAGGTTTAAAAATTTACCTGATGGAATAATGAAGAATGGATGATAGGAACCGAGGCATGCTTGAGACACATTCCAAGGAACATGTCATCTGGAATGTCATTGCTGGGACATTCACACATGCCAGGCTTTGCAAGCTGCTCCACCTGTGCCAATCGCATCAATTATAGCATTATTTTATGTGCAAATAAGAAAATTACTTGGAAATTCTCCATGTATTTTATAGACCAAAATTTTTTTTATTTTAATAACGTACCAAAGTTTTGCTGAAGATCATGCCTCCTCCGCCTGTAATGTAGCTGTATCCTCGCGCGGTTGTTGCCCCATAACCGTATTTCTCGCCTAAAGCTACGAGGTCTTTTGAATTATAACATGACAACAGAGTACGAAGACGAGAAACACTGAAAGAGATTAATTACTTTTTTTGTTGTTGTTTTTTTTTGGATATCCTAAAGGGTTTAGAGCTTCTTACACAAAATAACTAGCAGATATTAAAAGAAATATTTATACATCAGCATGGCAAACAGCTGACTGGAGTCACATGAATGCAAACATTCTGTACAACTCGACATTCATTATAACAGTGATGTAGACAAACTGGAGCCAAGTCACACCACTTACTTATTTTAAATGCAAAAGACAAATGTACCCTTGGCAAGTGCTATTCCAGTGCAGTGCAACATCACATCTCAAGAAGAAAGTATTTAATTCAGGAATCTGCATCTCTCCCTAGAGCTAAATACGGATTACAGTGGTGAAAAATTCAATTAAGAACATACAAGACATTCATGGATGAAAACGACAGTATCAAACTGACCTGATAAGGGTGTCATCATCTACCACAGCCAGCCACTGGACAGAGGTAAGTTGTGCCACCCGACGGATGATAGCCATAGTTTTGCCACAGTGACCTCTCTCAGTGTTTGGGATCCCCAGTGACACTGTCCCAAAAGCTGCATCTGTTAATAAGGTGCAATCAAGTCTCTTGGTTGTCTCGAGTCACTTCTGTAATATATATTAAACACAACTTGATTCTGACAATGCGCTATTCAAAAATTTGTCAGAGCTGGAAATTTTTATAAGAAAACTTTAAAATAAATAAGTATAAATGATACAGGGTGTGTTAAGAAAGTTGAAAGTGAACATAGATAAGAGCAAGGTGATGAATGTATCAAATGAGTTAGGTAAAGAAAAATTGGATATCACATTGGAGGCAGTATGGAAGAAGTGAACGTGTTTAGAAGATCTGTCAGCAGATGGGTTTATGAAGGACGAGGTTAACCATAAAAATGAAGGAAAAAAGGCGAGTGGCGCATTGAGGTATCTGGAGAAAAAAAAAAAAAGTTATCCAAGGAGACAAAGAAGTGAATGTATACAAGGTACAGTGGTACCAACACTTATATGGATGTGAAGAATGGGTTGTGAATGCTGCAGCAAGAAAGAGGCTGGAGGCAGTGGAGATGCCATGTCTAAGGGCAATTTGTAGTGTAAATATTATGCAGAGAATTTGTAGTGTGAAAATTAGGTGGTGTGGAGTTACTAAAAGTATTATTCAGAGGGCTGAAGAGGGATTATTGAGGTTGTTTGGTCATTTAGAGAGGTTGGAGCAAAATAGGGTGACTTGGAGTGTGTATAAATCTGTAGTGGAGGGGTAGGGGTCGTCGTCCTAGGAAAGGATGGAGGGAGGGAGTAAAAGAGGTTTTGTGTGCAAGGGGCATGGATATGCAGCAGGCATGTGTGAGCGTGTTAGATAGGAGTGAATGGAGAAGAATGATTTTTGGGACCTGACAAGCTGCTGGAGCTTGAGCAAGGTAATATTTTATGAAGGAATTTGGGGAAACTGGTTAGCTGAACTCGAGTCCTGGAGGCGAGAAGTACAATGCCTTCACTTTCAAGGAAGGGCTTGGGATATTAGCTATTTGGAGTGACATCTAAACTGTCGTATCTGGGCGCCTCTACAAAGACAGTGATATTGTGTGAACGATGGTGAAAGTGTTTGTTTTGGGTCACCCTGGCTTGGTGGGAGTCTGCTGTCATGAAAAAAAAAAAAATACAGCAGGTGTGTAAGAGCATGTTAAGAGTGGAATGGAGGCAAATGGTTTTTGGAACTTGACGAGTTGTTGGAGTGTGAGCAAGGTAACATTTGTGAAGAGACCGAGGGAAACCTGTTAATCGGACTCGAGTCCTGAAGGTGGAAAGTACAGTGCCTACACTGAGATATTTGTAGTTTGGAGGGCATCTGAACTGTAGTATCAGCGGGCCTCTGGTGAAAGTGTTTCTTCTTTTTCAATTCGCCCTACCTCAGTGGGAGATGGCCAGTTAAAAAGTAAAAATAATGTAATCATACTGGAATATAAATATAAACCTACTTCCATTACACATTATTACTGTGAAGGACTGGGAAAAAAAATCACAACCCTTGCAAATCAGTTGTGAATTGTAGGTTAACTGAATTGTTCCAGCTACAATATTGACTTTCTTCAGTACTGCAAGATGTGGAATGGTGAAATCAGCACATAACATTTAGCAAGGCTCTGATTAGGGTATGCAGGAGAGAAGAGGACTATTTTTAAATACAAATAGACATTACGGTATACTAACATTTTTAGATGGATGTGGGGTAACGTGTCTTTTAGTGTTGCAGCGAGGACTCTGGAGGCAATGGAGATATCATATCTGAGAGCAATTAAATGTTGTGGAGTTTCAAATTGTATAATTCAGAAAGTGGATAAGAGGTTACAAGAGTGGTCTGGCCATTTAGAAAGGATGAAGTCAAACAGGACAACAGGGCACATAAATCCAGGGTGGAAGGAGGGGTATAGGTCATCACAGGAAGGACTTGGAGGGAGGTGGTGAAAGTTTGAAGTGATCGAGGATTGAGCATCCAGTAAGCATGCGAGCGTTGGAACTGAATGGTGACAAGCTGTTTCTTCGGCTAAGTATATTAATAACCCATAACCTCCAATTGAGTATGCAGTGTGCTTTTTTCTGCATTACATTAAAAATACACCAACTGTTGTAACAAACCTTCAACATCACTATAGATGGCATAGTTGGTGGCATCCTTCAACCAGGTGGCTTGAATAATGGGCAGACGCTCTGCATGAAATTGTGTGCAACTCTTCACAGCAAAATGAATATCATGTGCTTGTACCACTTCTTCCTGTAATACAGAAATGAGATGAATATCCGTTTACAATAAACTGTTTATGGCGTGTAGAGCAGCACCAGTGTCTAATATGAAATGGAAAATGAGCATATTGTATCTTCAATACATGTTCTATTTCACTCACACACTTTCTGGTTGGGTTAAACACCACAGCACATCCTGGCTTTTCTTGCATACAAAAACCTTCATGGTGGCTCAGCTCAGTTTCACATGACTGGACAAATTTTGCAAACTCATACTGGGCATCTATTGTGAAGTCTGAGCTAATCTGCATGGAAGTGTTGGACCATCTTTGAGCAAGCCTGCATTCAAAATGAGAAAAATTCAATTTTACCTGATAACTAATTCTTAAAATATCGAACATTATGCTATTACTTCAGTAAAATAGTACAAAAAGATCATTCTTTCTTAGTCAATAAGTGTTGGGCTATTTATAATAAAAATAATGAAACATCTGAAGTGCACAAGTGGGTGTAGATCAGTTAACCCCTTTAAGCATCATGGCCTTATCTTTACTGTATATTTATGTAAAGTGCTAAACCTGTGAAGGTCAATCAGTGGAGGAGTTATGGAGGCTTGATCCTCTGTGTACCGAGTGCAAGACAGGTGCTCTACCCAACTGTAATCAGCCTGATGCTGAAATGTGATATGGTCTCTGCATCATGGGGAAGGTGGTACATAAATGTCAACTTAGTTGGAGATGCATGTTAAAATCGTGTCAAAATGTAATAAGAAATCTCCACTGACTTTTTTTATAATTCAGGACTAGTTTAGGGTGGGATTTTTACCCTATAGGTCACCTTGGTTAACTTTTCGAAGGCCCATGGAAATAGAGATACTTGGCAGAAGGATTATTACATTTATGGATCAAGATCCCCTCACCAGCATCAAGGAGCCTCCTTGAGGGGTTGGCAGGAGGAAAATTCTAGGGAGCTCGAATTGGAAAGTTGGAAGAGCCTAATCAAGTTACATCAAGAATGAGTTTTTGTATCGGTCAAATTTTACCTAAAGACTGGCAGCAGGTTGGTTATACAGTAAGTCCTCACTTAATGTCATTACATTCAATGTCGTTTTATTATAACAATGAGAAAAAATCTATTCCCAGCCAGGGTCACTGTGTGCGTGGAGTTTGCACATTCTCTCCATGTTTGCATGGGTTTTCTCTGGGTACTCTGGTTTCCTCCCACTTGCACACACCAATTAATGTTAGGTTAACTGGCGTGTCTAAATTGTCCCAGTATGAATGAGTGTGGGTGTGTGCACATGTGCCCTACAGTGGAATGGCATCCTGTCCAGGGTTGGTTCCTGCCTTGTGCCCTGAGATGCCAGGATAGGCTCCCGCCACCTGCGACCCTGAACTGCAGTAAGCGAGTTGGAAAATGAATGAATACAATTTATTGAAAAATAAAAATTTGTAAAGTACATAACCATACAAATCAACGACAAACGATGTGGTACGAAAGCACTTGGCGAGCCCGCCATATCTGTTATTGTTTGTTTTTGAACTGCATGGTGGTAGGCGGTGTTCCTTACAATTTTCACTCTGCAAATATTTATTCCTTGATTTAACCCTGTTGCAATGAGTGCTAAAGGTACACTGTGCACCTTTAATGTCTACATCAACTAGCCTATGGTAAAACTGGTTTCATTATACATCATTTCGCTTAACCCTTAAACTGTCCAAATGTAGATCTATGTGCAAGTAGCACTCCGACCTTGATTTTCTCCATAAGAAAGCACGTAAAAAAACGTAGATCTACATTCGGAGCACTACGCGAGCAAACGTAGCTCTACGTCTGGACAGTTTAAGGGTTAAGTGAGGACTTACTGTAATGTGTACATGCATAAGTAAACAAAATAATGTTGGAAACTGTAAAGAGAAAACTACCTGTTAAGCAGTGGTACAGATAGGACCATTCCTGCTCGTGAGTCTGGGTAGAGGAAGGGATGATCATGGTCCACACGTGCAAAATGGTGAATTATGGTCTCCTCTCGGTCTTTCACTGCTCGCCCAATAAACAGAGGCTGTAAAAAGTCATATATACAAAGATGTATTTTGAAGCAAACCTGAAGAAATAATTCAAGAAATGGATCCTAGTTATTGTAACAGATGGCTTGAACAATTTGGTAGGCAAAAGATAAGAATGACTGGCAGTTACAGAGTTTTGCAAAATATGTTGAAAAGATAAGAGATGATACAAGAGCATTATTAATATTTAGGGGCAACACAAGTGAGCAATGTACTACATCCTCTATTTTTGTTAGAAGAAAAAAATTATATTTAAAATACAGAGGCCGTTAAGTAAATAGGTCATTTCTTATGTCATATGATATAGTATACAGACATACTAAATATATTTTTATTAATATTATAGTAAACCACTATAAAAGTGTAGAGTTAAGAACGAAAAGAATAAAATATTAAACATTTAAAACTAAATCAAGAGGAAATCTTGTAAGAGGAATCATTATTAGAGGATTATAAACAATCAATCAATCCTTAGTTTTAAATCCATGTACTGTAATTCAACATCCTTTAAATTAACATGATGCACAATTCCACAATGTTCTTAACACTGAGAAACTACAAAAGTCACTATAGTAAGTACAGTGGACCCCCGGTTAACGATATTTTTTCACTCCAGAAGCATGTTCAGGTGCCAGTACTGACCGAATTTGTTCCCATAAGAAATATTGTGAAGTGGATTAGTCCATTTCAGACCCCCAAACATACACGTACAAACGCACTTACATAAATACACTTACATAATTGGTCACATTTGGAGGTAATCGTTATGCGGGGGTCCACTGTACTATCTTATGATTCCAATCACTGCAAGAAGAGAATTAAACTTCAGAGTATACATAAGTACTTACTAGGGTGGGAGAATAATGCTGGAGGATGCCTAGGAGTTTCTCCAACCTGACTGTGGTCCATTCCTCCAACAGCACCACCCATGAGCTATTACTACCATGCTGGTCACTCAGCCTGGTAACAAAGTTTGTCAATATTGAGCATAACAATGACCTTTAACCAATACACAAATTATTATTTTATGGAAATAATGTGTTGGCACCATGCATTTCATAAGGGGTGACTAAAATGGCAGGAAAAGGGTCTAGTTTACCTGGAGAGAGTTTCGGGGGTCAATGCCCCCGCGGCCCGGTCTGTGACCAGGCCTCCTGGTGGATCAGCGCCTGATCAACCAGGCTGTTGCTGCTGGCTGCACGCAAACCAACGTACGAGCCACAGCCCGGCTGATCAGGAACTGACTTTAGGTGCTTGTCCAGTGCCAGCTTGAAGACTGCCAGGGGTCTGTTGGTAATCCCCCTTATGTGTGCTGGGAGGCAGTTGAACAGTCTCGGGCCCCTGACACTTATTGTATGGTCTCTTAACGTGCTAGTGACACCCCTGCTTTTCATTGGGGGGATGGTGCATCGTCTGCCAAGTCTTTTGCTTTCGTAGCGAGTGATTTTCGTGTGCAAGTTCGGTACTAGTCCCTCTAGGATTTTCCAGGTGTATATAATCATGTATCTCTCCCTCCTGCGTTCCAGGGAATACAGGTTTAGAAACCTCAAGCGCTCCCAGTAATTGAGGTGTTTAATCTCCGTTATGCGCGCCGTGAAAGTTCTCTGTACATTTTCTAGGTCGGCAATTTCACCTGCCTTGAAAGGTGCTGTTAGAGTGCAGCAATATTCCAGCATAGATAGAACAAGTGACCTGAAGAGTGTCATCATGGGCTTGGCCTCCCTAGTTTTGAAGGTTCTCATTATCCATCCTGTCATTTTTCTAGCAGATGCGATTGATACAATGTTATGGTCCTTGAAGGTGAGATCCTGTATAAATTACTAAATGTAAAAAGTTTTTTTTTTTTTTTTGGTCACCCTGCCTTGGTGGGAGACAGTCAGTGTGTAGGGAAAACAAAAAAAATGCATCATCAAGATAACTATTTATCTTGCACAGCTACTAACAGCGTTATAAAAATTGTGCAGAAATTAATCCATGGGCTGAATGTATTTACTGGATTTTAAAATATCTGTTTATACGAGTGCCTTATGACTAATTTAGAAGCCCACAAACCTAGGTAATAATATAAAAGGTAAACTACAGTATATGAGATTTAATTTTTTCATATGAAAATTCTAACAGTGAAGAAAAATTCATCATTATTAGTCACAACAGTCTTTGAAATTTATAAAAACTACTTGTTTGGTGTGTTTGAAGATGATGTAAAAATCTTAATAAACTAAAAATGCAGTCTGTCCTCTGAGTATTTAAGTAGATTCTTCATGTATGGTTTGCAGCAAATTTCTACATTAGGTTAGGTTGTCCTCTTTCTATAAAAAAAATTATAACAAACCACTATGGAAAAAACCACTATATAAATACATAAGCTAAAAGACTAAAAATGATTGGCATGAACAAAATATGGGCACCCATTGCATGCAGCCAGAGCAACTGTTAAAGGCACCTTCAACAGTCACCCATTTGAGTGCTTTTACAAGAGACAAGATGTCTGTAGTTAAGAGGATAGCATGCAAAATGGCAGGGAAGAATAATCCTGTATAAATGAGAACAAAACTACATAGGTCAAAGATTTTCTACCAATGTTGGCACAGGGGAAACCAAAGAAAAACTGGCTAGGATGTGAAAGTGCTGAAAGGTTTGGGCAGGAATGTGTGTTAGTGTGTTAAGAACATATGGGCAGCAAGCAGTCTATAAGATTTGCCAGGTTAGCTTAAGTGTGAGCAGGTCAACAGCAAAGAAGGAAGCCATATAGCACAATTCAACAGGTCAATACTGGACAACAGTCTGCACCCTTCTGAAGAGAAAGCTATTTTGGTTAAGGGAAATACATTTCTTCTTGAGTCAACCTGTCCTGATGAGAGAACTGACAATTTATCGTAATACAGGCAAAAAAGTTAGAAGTTTATAGTCTAAAATGACAAAAATACATGTGGCTTTTGTACTATGGAATTTCATTGGTGTATGAAATGGCAGGGTTATGAAGGGTAAAACTGGTACCATCTGGAGTCTGACTAACCTCTCCAGGAGAGGAAAATATGTCCAGGTAGCCAGGGTGGGCCAGTCTTCTGACGATACATGGACTACGCACGGCTGCAATAAACCAACACATTGTAATCATAAATGGTAATTTCATACACAAATGTACGTACTGAGCAATTCCAGTCAGGAAATAATTTCACTTGGACATCTTGTTCTATACAACTGTAATGTCAGGAAATAGCTCTTTAGACAATGGTGCATTATGTAGAGAGCAAAATAATAAATGAGGTACAGACAGGTGTACAGTATGTCCAAACTGGAAAATAATGTACCACTATATGGTTAATTTAATTTTTACTTCACTGATTATCCAAGGCAGGGTGACCCAGAAAAAGAAACATTCACCATCATTCATTTAATTTCTGTCTTGCCAGAAGTGTGGTGACATCACAATTCGGATTACTCTGACTGCAATATCCCCACCCCTCCTTCAGAATGCAGGTACTGTATGTACGTACCTCCCACCTCCAGGATTCAAATCCAGCTAACCAGTTTTCCTGAATCCTTTCATATTACCTTGCTCATAATCCAACAGCCCATCCATTAAAAACCACTTGTCTCCATTCATTTTAATCTAACATGCTTATACAAGCCTGCTGGATGCTTAAGCCCCTGAAAGTTAAAACCTCCTTTACTCCTTCCTTCCAACCATTCTTGGGCTAACCCCTACCATCCATCACCACATCCATCTTCAACCACTCCACATGACCAAACCACCTTAATTACCCCTCCTAAGCCCTTTGAATTATTATACCCTTCGTGATCTAACACCATTTTAATTTCTATGCTCAGAATTCTCTTCATGATGCTGTATTCTCACACTGTTCTCAAACCATAACACTCACATTACCTTTAGCCACCACCTCACTACAATGTTCAAAACCCATGCCTCATGAATTTTCAAGGACCTTCATACTTCAAACAATACGCTGTTTGGAAATGTTATCTTAAATTCTCTTGGGAAATCACAAGTAAGAGAGAATAGGGTGAGAAAGCCAGGTCAGGGAAGAGAGGTTAGAAAACCAAGGCCCAGGATGGACCAAACTTTGTCTAGATTTCTCAAGTTTGAGAGTTAGTTTTGATTAACATATATTTTGCATTATCATTCAAAGTCCAACAAAATTAATTATGACATACTACACCAAGCTGCTTGGACTGTAAACTAATGTTGGAGGCCAACTGTTGAGCAGCATTGTAATGCAAAGACGACTCTTGGTTCAGAATCACAAAGACGAAATTATCTGTGGGAGAACAAATGTAATTCACTAAACTTATTAAGTTCCATAGAATACCTTACTACTTATTCAAGTTCAACTAAAAATCACCAAAGTTCTACAGAAAAATTACTGACAAATCATCTAATCAGTTTTTTTGAGATCTCTAATGTAATTTTTCAGCTATTATAATACTAAACTATATAAAATGCTAAATGTGCAAGTCATTTAGCACTGTAGTAATTACAGAAAAAAAAAATTACTGAATTGTATCCATTGCTACTGCCATAAGAAATATTTATCTACACAGTAAGTTAAATAAGTTTATTCAGGTATACACAAATACAGTTACATAGATTATCATACATAGCATGTGTGTAGAGAACCTGGGATAACCCAAAAAAGTCAGTGACTTACTTCCATTGGGGTCCTTTTACCTTATTATAATATAAAGGTTATAATATCTTATTATTATTCTATAATGGAGATAACATATTATCGTACTAAAAAGACGATCTACAATACGAGGGTCATTAGTAGGAATAAGGTAAAATTACACACGTGTTAGCTAAAAAATAAAAAATCATTCCCCTCCCTTTCTGTAGCTACATTCATCAGACACCTTTTGGCATTCTTCTGTTCTGAACTGGTTCATGCTATGACTGGCTTTGACATGTGCGGGTAGTCTGTTCCATTCCTCTATTACTGTACAATAAAAGGTGTGAAGCCTGGCCACTGACTGTGGGTACTACAAAGTTGTGCTCTCTCCCCCTAGTACTATGATTACTTTGGTTCTCAACCTTGACAAAATTGACACCAAGATATTCTGGACATTGTTTGTGAGCAATTTTATAAACATGATTTAACTTCAGTTATTTTACTCTGTCTTCAACATTCAGCATATCCAACTGTTGTAATTCATCCTGGCCTACATGTTCTCTTGGTCCCAGGTCCAGGATGAATCTTACTATTTTGTTCTGGGTGATTTGCAGTCTATCTTTCAGTTTTTTTTGTCAAGGCAGAGTACCATGAAGAGCAAGCGTAATCCATATGACACTATATAAGGGCTAGACATAGGGTCCCGCATTATCTTAACTCTTTCACCATCTGGGTCTCTATTAATAAGTTTTCCCAGCACAGATTTTTTAATCTAAAATTCAGCTGACTGGAGGAAATGGAAAGGTAATTTGCTCATTCTCTTAGTCTTAATCTATCAAAGATAAAACAAGGTCATAGGACTGAAAACCTATCAAAGCTAAGAAACTGAACACTTATTCCAGGTGCCTCTACTAGATTAAAAAAAACGTGTTGTGCTCAAGAAATGTTTTACCAATACAGATAACCAGGTGTTGTACATGTGACTTATTCATAAAAGACACAACTAACCTTCTTCTTGTCCTGTGCAGAACATTGACTGAGCAAGAAGCCACACAACAAGAACATCTGAAAAATAACTCAAGCCATACATGTACTGTATTTATGGAAATAAAATAATTGATACTGTATATGGTAAATACAGTATATACAGCAATTTAAATAATTTTAGCAATAAGTGAAAACTACATTTGCTTGTATTGGCAAATATAATGATGCTTCCACTTACCTCTGAGAAAATCCATTGCATCCGGAAGAACTCACAGCTTCAATATACAGTATATTACTAGTGTGGTGTTGTAACCTTATGGAGTCTTTGTTAATAATAACTTCACTCACTAAACCTCAAGGGTTGGAGTGACACGGTGCATTTGTCACAGCTTGTGTATGGTGACTTAGACATTGTTACCTTCTTCATGTTACTAGTGTCTAGATTATTATAATTATTATAATTTTGGGGGAGTGCTAAACCCGTAGGATTATACGGTGCATGTGGGGGGAAGGGGGGATGGTAAGTATTCAGGCTTAATTCAGGGAACTGGAGCACAGATCCAATTCCCCTGGATCAAGAGCCCCTCACCAGCTATTTTTGTCCTGTCAAGGGAGGTTCCTTGATGCTGGTGAAGGGCTCTTGATCTAGGGACTTGGATCCCTGAATTAAGCCTGAATACATTCCATCCACCCCCCACAGGTGCTGTATACTCATACAGGTTTAGCGCCTCCAGAAGATTATAATAACAATCTGGTGTCATGCATCTTCTGTGGACATTAGTGAGGATCAAGTTGCATCTTAATTACTAACTAGATTAGTGTTAATTACTAACTAGCTAGATTACAGTTAATTATTAACAAACTAGATTAGTGTTAATTACTAACTAGTGTTAATTACTAACTAGTGTTAATTACTAACTAGTGTTAATTACTAACTAGCAAGATTACAGTTAATTATTAACAAACTAGATTAATGTTAATTACTAACTAGATTAGTGTTAATTAAAATGAGTTGTAACTACTCTAGTTTGAAGAAAGTTTGTATTACTATAACTTGCTTAAGAAAGTTGAATGTTGCAAGACACTTAACACTAATCTAGTTAGTAATTAACACTAATCTAGTTAGTAATTAACACTAATCTAGTTAGTAATTAACACTAGTTAGTAATTAACACTAGTTAGTAATTAACACTAATCTTGTTAGTAATTAACACTAATCTAGTTAGTAATTAACACTAGTTAGTAATTAACACTAGTTAGTAATTAACACTAATCTAGTTAGTAATTAACACTAATCTAATTAGTAATTAACACTAATCTAGTTAGTAATTAACACTAATCTAGTTAGTAATTAACACTAGTTAGTAATTAACACTAATCTTGTTAGTAATTAACAGTAATCTAGTTAGTAATTAACAGTAATCTAGTTAGTAATTAACACTAATATAGTTAGTAATTAACACTAGTTAGTAATTAACACTAGTTAGTAATTAACAGTAATCTAGTTAGTAATTAACACTAATATAGTTAGTAATTAACACTAATATAGTTAGTAATTAACACTAATATAGTTAGTAATTAACACTAATATAGTTAGTAATTAACACTAGTTAGTAATTAACAGTAATCTAGTTAGTAATTAACACTAAAACATTTCCTAGTAACTAACATAATACCTAAGATAATTTAGGTTAATATTTCTCAAAGTATAAATGCACATGAAATATTTAGGTATTATGAGGTAGTACCTAAGTTATGTCAAGTGTGAAGTAATAACTGTTTTATAGTTGGTAATTATGACCAAAATACAAGTTAGAAGTTAATTTAATATTAGATTTTTAGGAATAAATTCTCGTCAAACTGACACAAGGACAGTGTCTCCATAACTGTTCAATGTATCACTGAATTCCTCGGATCAAACCCTCAATCAGCACCAGGATTGGTGGAATATGCCAAAGAGAAAATAAAAAATACATAATCAAAAAGGAAAAAAAAAATTGTATAGGAATGCCATGGTGAGAGGAGACGACACGTCCTCCCTCACTGACACTCACCACAACACTGTCTATCCTTCCTTCATCTCATTGGTCCAAGACCCAGCTCATCACTCATAGCTTCTGACTGACTGTGATTCGTTGAAACCTCTCCGGGCCAGCCAATGAGCTTCTGGTGTCATCCTGCTGTTAGCTGCAGCCAATGAGGGAGAGGTTGTTGCCAGTATGGCAACCAATGAGGGTGAAGGAGTGATCCTGCAGGAAGTGAGGTGGGTCTATCTTGTTTACATCTGCAGGAGGAGTGCCACAGCTGCAGGAGGAGGGCCATAACTGCAGGAGTGCCACAGGAGGGCCATAACGGCAGGAGTGCAGGGGTGGTGCTACAGTTACAGGAGGAGGGCCATAACTGCAGGAGTAGTGCCACAACTGCAGGAGGAGGGCCATAACTGCAGGAGTGCCACAACTGCAGGAGAAGTGCCACAACTGCAGGAAGAGGGGGGTCACAACTGCAGTAGGAGGGCCACAACTGCAGGAGAATCACTACAGCTGCAGAAGGAGTGCCATAGCTGCAGCAGTGCTACAACTGCAGCAGGAGTACCACAGCTGCATTAGTGCCACAGCTGCAGGACTGCTACAGCTGCAGGAAGACCACACTGCAGGAGGGCCACAGCTGCAGGAGGGCCACAGCTGCAGGAAGAGGGTCACAGCTGCAGGAGGGCCACAGCTGCAGGAGGGCCACAGCTGCAGGAAGAGGGTCACAGCTGCACGAGGCACTCTCTCACACACTAGGTGCCACCTTCCAGGATTTATGGTCTCCAGGTGAGTCTTTCCACTGCATGCACTCTCTTCCCTCTATTTTGGCACTTGTGGTGGAAACTAACCTGGCACTCACCCTCACCCTCCTACCCTGGCACTCACCCCTCATCCTTCGTACACTGGCACTCACCCCTCATCCTTCCTACCCTGGCACTCACCCCTTACCCTCCTACCCTGGCACTCACCCCTCATCCTTCCTACCCTGGCACTCGCCCTCACCCTCCTACCCTGGCACTCACTCTCCTACTCTGGCACTTACCCTCACCCCCCTAACCTGGCACTCACCCTCACCCTCCTACCCTGGCACTCACCCATCATCCTTCCTACCCTGGCACTCGCCCTCACCCTCCTACCCTGGCACTCACTCTCCTACTCTGGCACTTACCCTCACCCTCCTAACCTGGCACTCACCCTCACCCTCCTACTCTGGCACTTACCCTCACCCTCCTAACCTGGCACTCACCCTCACCCTCCTACTCTGGCACTTACCCTCACCCTTCTGCCATGGCACTCTCTATCACCCTCCTACCCTGCCACTCACACTTCTACCTCTGGCACTTACTTCTGCCGCTGGTACTTGCACTTCTGCCCCTGGCACTCACACTTCTGCCCCTGGCACTCACACTTCTGCCCCTGGCACTTGCACTTCTGCCCCTGGCACTCACACTTCTGCCCCTGGTACTTACACTTCTGCCCCTGGTACTCGCACTTCTGCCCCTGGTACTCGCACTTCTGCCCCTGGTACTCGCACTTCTGCCCCTGGTACTCGCACTTCTGCCCCTGGTACTTGCACTTCTGTCCCTGGTACTTGCACTTCTGCCCCTGGTACTAGCACTTCTGTCCCTGGTACTCACACTTCTGCCCCTGGTACTTACACTTCTGCCCCTGGTACTTGCACTTCTGCCCCTGGTACTTGCACTTCTGTCCCTGGTACTTGCACTTCTGCCCCTGGTACTTGCACTTCTGCCCCTGGTACTAGCACTTCTGTCCCTGGTACTTGCACTTCTGCCCCTGGTACTTGCACTTCTGTCCCTGGTACTTAAACTTCTGCCCCTGGTACTTGCACTTCTGTCCCTGGTACTTGCACTTCTGCCCCTGGTACTAGCACTTCTGTCCCTGGTGAGAGAGAGAGAGAGAGAGATTTCGTTCGGATTTTTAACCCCGGAGGGTTAGCCACCCAGGATAACCCAAGAAAGTCAGTGCGTCATCGAGGACTGTCTAACTTATTTCCATTGGGGTCCTTAATCTTGTCCCCCAGGATGCGACCCACACCAGTCGACTAACACCCAGGTACCTATTTGCTGCTAGGTGAACAGGACAATAGGTGTAAGGAAACGTGTCGGAATTTCCACCCGCCGGGAATCGAACCCGGGCCCTCCGTGTGTGAAGCGGAAGCTTTAGCCACCAGGCCACCGGGCCACATCTCCTAGTATATCTCCTGGTACTCACACTTCTGCCCCTGGTACTTACACTTCTGCCCCTGGTACTTGCACTTCTGTCCCTGGTACTTGCACTTCTGCCCCTGGTACTAGCACTTCTGTCCCTGGTACTCACACTTCTGCCCCTGGTACTTACACTTCTGCCCCTGGTACTTGCACTTCTGCCCCTGGTACTTGCACTTCTGTCCCTGGTACTTGTACTTCTGCCCCTGGTACTTGCACTTCTGCCCCTGGTACTAGCACTTCTGTCCCTGGTACTTGCACTTCTGTCCCTGGTACTTAAACTTCTGTCCCTGGTACTCGCACTTCTGCCCCTGGTACTTGCACTTCTGTCCCTGGTACTTGCACTTCTGTCCCTGGTACTTGCACTTCTGTCCCTGGTACTTGCACTTCTGCCCCTTGTACTTACACTTCTGTCCCTGGTACTTACACTTCTGTCCCTGGTACTTGCACTTCTGTCCCTGGTAGTTGCACTTCTGCCCCTGGTACTTACACTTCTGTCCCTGGTACTTGCACTTCTGTCCCTGGTACTTACACTTCTGCACCTGGTACTCGCACTTCTGCCCCTGGTACTTGCACTTCTGTCCCTGGTACTTACACTTCTGTCACTGGTACTTGCACTTCTGCCCCTGGTACTTGCACTTCTGCCCCTGGTACTTGCACTTCTGTCCCTGGTACTCGCACTTCTGCCCCTGGTACTTGCACTTCTGCCCCTAGTACTTGCACTTCTGCCCCTGGTACTTGCACTTCTGCCCCTGGTGCTTGTACTTTTACCCCTGGTACTTACACTTCTGCCCCCGGTACTCACACTTCTGTCCCTGGTACTTGTACTTCTGCCCCTGGTACTTGCACTTCTGTCCCTGGTACTCACACTTCTGCCCCTGGTACTTACACTTCTGCCACTGGTACTTGCACTTCTGCCCCTGGTACTTGCACTTCTGCCCCTGGTACTTACACTTCTGCCCCTGGTACTTGCACTTCTGTCCCTGGTACTTGCACTTCTGTCCCTGGTACTTGCACTTCTGCCCCTGATACTTGCACTTCTGTCCCTGGTACTTGCACTTCTGCCCCTGGTACTTGCACTTCTGTCCCTGGTACTTGCACTTCTGTCCCTGGTACTCGCACTTCTGTCCCTGGTACTTACACTTCTGCCCCTGGTACTTGCACTTCTGCCCCTGGTACTTGCACTTCTGTCCCTGGTACCTTCGCTATCTTCTGCCCCGGGTACTCTCACTGTTCTGCCCCGGTACTTGCACTTCTGCCCCTGGTACTCGCACTTTTGCCCATGGTACTCACACTTCTGCCCCGGGTACTTGCACTTCTGTCCCTGGTACTCACACTTCTGTCCCTGGTACTCACACTTATGCCCCTGGTACTTGCACTTCTGCCCCTGGTACTCGCACTTTTGCCCATGGTACTCACACTTCTGCCCCGGGTACTTGCACTTCTGTCCCTGGTACTCACACTTCTGTCCCTGGTACTCACACTTCTGCCCCTGGTACTTGCACTTCTGCCCCTGGTACTCGCACTTTTGCCCATGGTACTCACACTTCTGCCCCGGGTACTTGCACTTCTGTCCCTGGTACTCACACTTCTGTCCCTGGTACTCACACTTCTGTCCCCTGGTACTTACACTTTTGCCCGATCCACACTTCTGCCCATGGACTACATACTGTGTTGTAAGTTCTGTGAAACAAAAATACAGTTGACCCGGTATCCACATGGGTATACATTCCATGCGGTACGCAACTTTATCGACACGTATTATCACATAATTGTTTTTCGTTTAACAATGCATACCTATGATAAAATTTATATTGATAATTATGCACATATACATCAAGAATTAACACTTTTTCACTAATGATGCACTTTACAGCTACCTATAAACTTTGAATGAATTACATCATCAAAAATATCTGTTTTGCAAATAATGGGTATATTTAGTCCATGGTAAACATTGGATAATTAACCCACTTAAGCAGACAGTACTTTGTCATAATAAGTCTTTGTCTAATAATAATTACACTACTTGTCTAATGTCTTGAATAATAATACACTACTTTGTCTAATAATAATACACTACTTTGTCTAATAATAATACACTACTTTGTCTAATAATAATACACTACTTTGTCTAATAATAATACACTACTTTGTCTAATAATAATACACTACTTTGTCTAATAATAATACACTACTTTGTCTAATAATAATACTACTTGTTATAATATAACATTTGTCTAAAATAATACACTACTGTTTAACTATACACTTTTGTCTAATAATAACACTACTTTGCTAATATTCTATTGTTATAATAATACACTACTTTGTCTAATAATAATAACATACTTTGTCTAATAATAATACACTACTTTGTCTAATAATAATACAGTACTTTGTCTAATAATAATACACTACTTTGTCTAATAATAATACACTACTTTGTCTAATAATAATACATACACTACTTTGTCTAATAATAATACACTACTTTGTCTAATAATAATACATACACTACTTTGTCTAATAATAATACACTACTTTGTCTAATAATAATACACTACTTTGTCTAATAATAATACAGTACTTTGTCTGATAAAGTATGTATTATAGATATTTTGCTGATATGACCCTGGACTGTTTAACTCGGGTGTTTTATCCATTTTTCTCTATTTTTTCAAGAATTTCCTCAATGCTGTTAGTGAGAAAGCCCTTTGTTTATATTAATGGAAAACAGTTTGTGGTTTTATTAGCATAAATAAAATGTGTGTGTAGCTCTTTGTGTTTCCTGTTACTCAATATGCTGATAAAGTATATAACAGTTTAACCGCTTGATGTAATAGCTTGTCGATTTGATACACTTTTACGTTTTGGGCTGATTCTTTATTAGTGTAACAGGTATATGGGGGAGCTTTTATTTATCTCTTATTAATGTGTGAAAGATTAATTAATTTGACTTAAATATTGTAGTGTTGTGAGTACCAGTTTCATTAATATACAGTGGATTAAGTGAGTAAGTAAGTAAATTTATTTAGGCACAGGTTCACATGTACAGTTGTCATACATAGTGTAATTTACCCTCCAGGATAACCCAAAAAAAGTCAAATTGATTTATTTCCATTGGGGTCTCAGTGCAGAAGATGAGAGGATTTGAAACCTTTTTATTAATCTTTTGCCTTTTTTATACTCGGTATAAACATTAATAATAAAAAAAAATCTTTTCAACTTCCCACTAATACTGTGTATTAGACCTTTAGAAGTAGTTATAAATATATTTTAAGGCTGCCCAAAATACTCTACTTAACTGGGGACTTACTATAAAGTTTGCCAATAATGTCACCAATTTTTGAATCATTTGTAAATTATACTTTATAGAAGGCTTATCATTTATCGCATATTGTACTTGTCATTTATTTTAAATCTTCCTCTGAGAATATTGCCACTAATGTTTAATATCAGTACAGAAGTAGCAGCCCGGGCAAGTGCCCCCTGACAAGATGATACAGACAAATTTGTTCAGGGAAGCAGAGCTGACTTCACAGCAACTAGAGTCTGGCAAAGCTGTGAGACGTTTCTCATACCGACATAGACCAGAAAATGGAAAGTTAAAGATCAGGCGTGAGACCAGTCACATTATCTGGACAGGAGCACAGAATGCCTGTGAAGTTATTAGTAAGTATTTTACAGGTGCATGTGAACAAATTATTAATTCTGTGAGAGAAACAGTGTGGTATGTAAGTACATGTACAATACTCATTATTTTACAGTATGCATTCACTATTGCACAGTTTGTATCATTGAGAAAGAAAATAATGCTGTCCAAGGAAAATAGACATGAAAATATGTTAAGCCACATAACTTTCCACTCACTTCAGCTCTATTAGTTTTTTTTTTTTTTTTTTTTTTTTTAAATCTTCAATATTTACCTACTTTGACAAGATTGTTAAGGCTATTATGATAATCTTAGAAGGAAAGAATATGCTGAAAATTCAGTATTATATATACTGTATTATATTTTACCCTTTAGTGGTTTTTCATTCTGTTCATAAATTTATTTTTCCAAAGTTTAGAATATTAAAATAAGTTCACAATATCTTACAGCCCCTCTATGTGATATCAAGGAAGTTCGTCCAGGAAAAGGGTCCAAGGATTTCGACAAATGGCCCGACGATTCTCGGAAGGAAGACAAGTCCAAGTGCTTCATTGTATTTTATGGGCGAGAGTTCAAGCTGAGAACACTTTCCATTGCAGGTAATAACATTCTTGAGTATATTATGTTCTTTTACTCTGTTATCAGTAGTTGTGTTATATTCAGTTTATCTCCTTGTTTCCTGCCAGTCTTCTTTGTATTTGTCATTTCCTGTGCTCATGGCAGTAGTAATGAAGGCAGAAAATAATTCTTGTATTCAGTAGTATATTAACAAACTTATGAAAATGTGTGTGAGCATATGTAACAGTGTGAGTATTTGTTTTTTTCTCTGGTATTTTTCATATTTGCAGCCACATATTTTGTTGTGATTTCCTGTCATTACAGTATTAGTATATAATTAAATAATTTGTGGAAGTTTTATTTATTTTTTTTTTATTATTTTTTATTAGCACATCGGCCTTCTCCCACCAAGGCAGGGTGGCCTGAAAAAGAAAAACTTTCATCATCATTCACTCCATCACTGTCTTGCCAGAGGTGCACTTACACTACAGTTATAACAGTTATTTGAAATAACTGTTATAAATTGTAAGTTTAGTATAGCATCTTCATAGGCTAGAGATTCCTGAAGCATGTGTACTATAGCCACGCCTAATTAATTCATTGTCTGCATGATCGTGAACTCTGGATTAACAGAACGATTAAGAAGGGTCACCCTGGCCTGGGCAAGCAGTCATACTGCAGTTCTTCTCTATTCTTAGAGTAATATAGAAGCACTACAAGAGAGCTGCTGATCAGTGCTAGTCATGTTCTACTCACACTTGTCCATTCCCACTCATGATTTCTTATATGAATGTTAACATTAACTAGATTGGAGCAATATTTAGAGATGGCCCCTAAAAGAAAATTAGCTTAAACATGGAAAAATTAATTATATAGACAGCATTTAGTAGTATTTGGCCTAATAGCATTTTGTTGATGTTTGGGGGTCAATTTAGAGGGTAAGTTTAGACCTAAATCAGAATTTTTAACTTAAAACATTGAGGTTCATTTGTACAACAGGATTGTGTGTGCTTCAGAATTTATGGTACAACACATTTGCATGGAAATTTTGTTGATTATGTCTTTTCTTTAATTTAATGGTGCTTATATTAAGTCAGATATGAAAAGTTTATTATCACAACTTCTTATGAGTTTTATTGAGCACATTGAGCACTAGACAGCATAAAGTGTACAGGTTGAGAGTGTATATGCTAATAATTTTGTTGTTGACAGCTTTAGGGTCGGATGACTGCAATGAGTGGATCAGTGGACTGAAGTACTTGATGAGGGAGGCTCACGCTGTCTCCTACACCACCAGACTGGAGCGACTCTTACGCACTGAGTTTTACAACATGATGAACACCAGGAGCAAGTTAGTGTTAGCATAATTAAACATTCTTACTCTGTGGAAAATTGGTATGGGATTTCTGGTCTATATTAATTGTTTCCATCCATGAATTATTCATGACAACAGCTTTGTGATTTTGTCATATTGGTTATTTGTTCCTCTTGGCTTCTTTAAGGTGCTCTTGAATAAATAAGTTTTACATTAACTTTTCATTGAAAGAACGTGTATACTTTTTATTGCTTCCACTTCAGTAACAGTTCTTGTTAAATATTACAGTTTCTCAATTCTTTTCTTTCTTTCAACACACTGGCCATATCCCACCAAGGCAGGGTGGCCCAAAAAGATAAACAAAAGTTTCTCTTAAATTTAGTAATTTATACGGGAGAAGGGGTTACTAGCCCCTTGCTCCCGGCATTTTAGTCGCCTCTTACAACACGCATGGCTTACGGAGGAAGAATTCTGTTCTACTTCCCCATGGAGGTAAGAGGAAATAAACAAGAACAAGAACAAGAACTAGAAAGAAAATAGAAGAATACCTAGAGGGGGTGTGTATATATATATGCTTGTACATGTATGTGTAGTGTGACCTAAGTGTAAGTAGAAGTAACAAGACATACCTGAAATCTTGCATGTTTATGAGACAGACAAAAGACACCAGCAATCCTACCATCATGTAAAACAATTATAGGTTTTCGTTGTACACTCACTTGGCAGGACGGTAGTACCTCCCTGGGTGGTTGCTGTCTACCAACCTACTACCTAGGAGTTTCTCAGTTATCTTTTCTTATATACATGTAGTACTTTTTTCTCCTGTGTTTTGTATTACCTCTAAAATTTCAACACTATTTTTTTTATTGAATTTCTCTACCTTTTGGTGTTTTTTTTTTTTTTACCAATATTGCTATATGATCCATAGCAATTTTGTGCTTTATTTTAATATTTTTGTTGTTGAATATATTTATAATAATTTTACAAATATTGCCACTCCACCTTTTCTTCTGTCCATTTTCTATAGTGAGTACTGTAGTCTCTTTTGAATACCTGGAGTTTACCTGGAGAGAGTTCCGGGGGTCAACGCCCCCGCGGCCCGGTCTGTGACCAGGCCTCAAGATTGATGATACCTTGCTACTGGTACCATCAATGTTGAGTATTTCACCGGTAGTCATCATAGCACCTCCTGTTGGAACATCGCTCTGTTCTCTTCTATTGGCTTTCTTCCATTTATTTATTTTTTTAGAAATCCATTTTTTCTTTTCCATTGACCTCCTGACATAGTGTATGTTACAATACTGTTGTATGTAAATAAAGTTACCTTTGATATATTGATATACCTTTGACTGGTTTCAAGAGTTTACTCCCTCCATTCAGCTATTGGCCAGGTTTGTCTGGTGCTTGCCTGGCCAATCAGGCTGTTGGTGTTGGCATCTCACTGGCCCTTTTATCTATTACAACCTGTTTAATTGTAATTTTTAAATTGTAATTATGGTTGGATTTTTTATTTATTTTTTTAACATTTTGGACTTGTTACAAATGATTCATTATAACCATCAATACTGTGGTCACATATTAACAAATTTCATTTGCCAGGCTCCATCCTATTCAAGACTTGCATTTCTTTGCAGGATTTTATGTCTGGACGTCAAGAATTTCCTCCCCAAGATTCACTACAGGATGACCACTACACGACTGAAACAGGTCTTCGAGCTCGTAGATGATACAAAGCGGGGAGAGATAAGCTTCGATCAGTTCTTTGATCTTGTTAAAAAAATCACGTGGGATACCCAAATAGATGTAAGTCATAGTCTGACCATCTTTACAGCCTCTTCTCACTCAGCAACGTACTCGTTTACCAATGACTCGGACTTATGACGACTCTCTGACCTGTATGCATACCTAAATAATGTAGTATATTAGAGCTGATTTCCTCTATTCTGTTTATTACAAAATGCAGTACACTACTGTAAAAACATTTAAAAATATACCAGAAATGTTATAAATGGTGCAGAGGTGACATTAAAACAATATTTAAGATGGTTGACACAAATCCACTACTATTATAGCATGCTCCTCACTTAGTGATGATTTGTTTACCGACATGGTCTTAGGAACAGAACTCTGTCATTAAATGAGGAGGACTATGAGTATGAGGAGGACTATGACTGTTCTGCTATACGTAAAATAATGGCCACTTTGAAGGTTTTATATCTGAATATTTTTTCTTTCATCCTTTCAGAGAATGATGTTCAATAATACAGGGGAGAGCAGCGGCATTACAGTATTGGAGCAGTACAGTGGAGACATGGTGAAAGTAACTCTGCAGGAATTCCAGTCATTTCTTGTTGAGGAACAGAATGAATCTGAACACTTAGCAGCCAGCATCATAAAGGACTTCTTGCAGGACCCACAGAGAGATGTCCAGGAACCGTACTTCCTGCTAGAAGAGGTCCGAGTTCACTCGACTAGTTATGTGATACACAGATAACCCGCACATAGGAGAAACAAACTTTTGATGACATTTTGGTCTGACTGATTAATGTGACTAGTTAATAAATTTCTTTCTCCTATGTGCATATTATTTATGTATTGTTCCAGTCATGGTATTGTGCCTTTTTATTCTTTAGTTATTTGTATTCTCTGATCCTCATATTTGGATATTATAATTTTTTATATTTTCTGAAATAGAAGTAATGTTTTTCATTACAGTATTTACTGTTTAAATATTTTTATTTTAAAATGTACAATAATGTTCTTATTTTCTGAATATGTATAGTACAGTAGAACCCCTAATCAAACCGCATTTGGTCATACTGGGTAATTCCTAGCAGATAGACATTTTTATTTTACTCTCCTCCCAATGACCTTTTTTTTTTATGTAACTCTGAAGAAGACTCAAAACTGGTCAGTATATTTTTACAATAATGTACTAATGGAAGGGAGGGGGGGGGGAAGATATTTACAGATTTGAACATTGTATTACCATTGACTTGAATACAGTAACACTGCCACATTGTTTGAGCTGTCCCACTTCTGTTTCTAAAGACAGTGGTCAGAAATGTGCTTTAATGGGACAAAAAGAGGGAGGGAGGTCAGTGCAGGTGAGTCACACACTGCTCACTTCATACATTTGACATACTTGTGACCAGTCTCTAGGGTTCTTCTACCCTCCAGCTTGGCCTGAGGTCAGGCTTGATTTTTTGTAGCCTGTTCAACCAGGTTGTTTGTGTTAGCAACCTGCTGGCCTACTTGACCATCACATCCTGGTGATCTGGCATGCTGTGGAGGTAGTGGCCCAGTTTCCTCTTATTCCAGACAAGATTTTCAGTTACCTGCTGCTAGCAGATTGAAAAATTAGATTTTTGTTTTCCTAAGTATTCATTATTAGGTAGTAGGTTGGTAGACAGCAACCGCCCAGGGAGGTACTACCGTCCTGCCAAGTGAGTGTAAAACGAAAGCCTGTAATTGTTTTACATGATGGTAGGATTGCTGGTGTCCTTTTTTCTGTCTCATGAACATGCAAGATTTCAGGTACGTCTTGCTACTTCTACTTACACTTAGGTCACACTACACATACATGTACAAGCACATATATACACACCCCTCTGGGTTTTCTTCTATTTTCTTTCTAGTTCTTATTCTTGTTTATTTCCTCTTATCTCCATGGGGAAGTGGAACAGAATTCTTCCTCCGTAAGCCATGCGTGTTGTAAGAGGCGACTAAAATGCCGGGAGCAAGGGGCTAGTAACCTCTTCTCCTGTATATATTACTAAATGGAAAAGGAGAAACTTTCGTTTTTCCTTTTGGGCCACCCTGCCTCGGTGGGATACGGCTGGTGTGTTGAAAGAAAGAAAGAAGTATTCATTAATGAAGGAGATTGTGAACATTGTTTGGATGTACTGTAAAATGTGTTATTTGTGCTTTCTATTGAAATTATCTTGCATTTTGCAGTTTGTGCAATACCTCTTCTCAAAACCAAATGAATTATGGGACAAGCGACAAAATGTGGTGAACCAGGACATGACCAGACCCCTCTCTTACTACTGGATTGCCTCCTCCCATAACACGTAGGTGTGGTCTGTCATTGACCTTCCTGGTTTGTGCCCACAATGGCTGCTGACACGGGCTTCAATATAAAAAAAAATGATTATTTAGTAGTGAGCAGCCAGGTTGTTGCAGCTGGGTACAAGCTGTGAACAGAGAGGTATTGTGTTAATTTTTTAGTGTATGAAGAAAATCTGGGTTGCAAGTTGAATGGCAGGAGAAAATGTTGCTGCTGTATTACAGAGTTCACCATGGAAGGTGAATCTGAATGATATATGAAAGTAAATAAGACTGAATGGTGTAAAAAGGTTTATCATGTGTACTTTTGAATTTTTGTATAGTTGGTTTATGCTGTCATGCTGCATGAATTGTTAAACTTCATTATTTTAACCTGACTTCACCAGCTATCTCCACCAAGGTCTGCCACCCCAAAAAGGAAAAATTCACCATCATTAATTAGCAGCTGTCATGCCAACTGAGCACGATTCAAATTACCCTCCAGATTGCAACATACCCGCCCCTTCACCATTATGCTGATCCTTTATTTTTAATTGCTGTAGCTCATTTTGGTGCATAGTTTTCAGTCATGTTCATTTGTTCTAAATAATTCTCTTGTAAAAATCCTACCTTGTCTATCTTGTCTGTACCCTGTACTATTTTAAGTCATGTCTCTAACTTGCCACAATATAAATCATGGTACAGTGGAACCCCGAGTTTCATGCTTAATCCATTCCCGGAGCTTGTACTAAGTTGAAATGTCCTAAAGCTGAAGCAATATTTCTCATAAGAATTAACGGAAATACAGTTAATCTGTTCCAGGGAGTTGGGAATCCCCCTCCATAAGGACTTCAGGTATCGAAGCCCTCTAGTGTTATTTCCCTTCTTTGTCTTTTACTGCTGCAGTACATTCATTACTTGCCTTAAAATATTTGTAGTCTTAATGTAAGGCGAGAGGTGAGTATCATTTATTTGCAGGAATTCAGTTTAGGTAGCCTGTTGATGTAGGTACACGTATGTAGCCCCCCTGGGCTACACTATACAGCCACATTATTACACTCCACAGCCATGTTATTACATCGACATACCAGGATCGCTGAGATTAATTGTTTCTAACAACTACCTTTAGATGCCATCATAAACAGTGGGAGAAGTAATGAATAATTCATGCTGAAAATTGTAAACAAAAGCCTTATGTATTAAGGGCGGTTACTGGGCGAGACGCCAGATTCAGTTTTCTTTAACGTTGTATCAGAGAAAACATAATGCTTACCTTCCACTCTCCTCCCTCCACCCTCCTTGATATGCCACTACTCACCACTCGATAACATATAAACATTGAATGTTTATATGCTATGTGCTATGTAATTTGTTTCTTACATAATTTTGAAGAAAATATCATAGATGGATTAATGAAAATGCCTATACATGTATTCCCTTGAGGAGAAACAAAGCCACACTGACTCATGACTGCGGGGGCAGGCGGACAGGTCTGGTACATGGGACGAAACACGGGGCACAGTCTGAAACTCGGGACAAAATTGAACCAAAAAAACAGTTCTAAACTCGAAGCGTATGATAGTCAGGGCGTACGAAACTCGGGGTTCCACTGTACATCAGTTTTTGTTGGTCTTTTGTTTGGTTGGTTTTTCTCTGTTACTGGCTTTTACTTACCATACCAGTTAATTTTTTATAAGTAAAGGCACAGAATTTTATAGATAATATAGAAATTTCTTGTAATTAAAGAATTTTTTTGAAGGAAAAACTCTGAAACGTAACTTTAAATTGTAGTTCATAATAAATTATAACGAATATCCAAAATATTTTATATCCAAAATATTTTATATGCTATATAAAAAAAAGGCTGATTTTCATGGATAAATATTACATGAAATTTGAAGGAAAGTTTTTAACAACCTAACAGGTACTTAACTGGGGATCAGCTAGCCAGCGAATCGTCAACGGAAGCCTATGCCCGAGTCCTCCGTCAAGGTTGCCGCTGCATTGAACTAGACTGTTGGGATGGACCTGATGGCATGCCCATTATCTTTCATGGCCATACACTAACCTCCAGAATCTCCTTTCTCGATGTCATCAACACAATAAGAGATCATGCATTTGTAAAGTCAGAGTAAGTATTGTTTTGTTGATAAATGGTTGAGTGAACTAACAAGTTGATAATTTAGGCACATGTGCAACACTTGGTATCTTTATTGTGGAAATGTTTTGCCCCACAGTGGCTTCATCAGTCCAATACAGGGAAGAATGGTGAAGATCAGAAGGAGTTTGAGGTCATCAGTCCCTGAGCCTGGAGTCTATGTAATCAGTCCATTACTCTTGAAAAAAATGAACTGATTACATCGACTCCAGGCTGAGGGACTATTTACCTCAAACTCCTCCTGATCTTCACCACTCTTCTTTGCATTGGACTGATGAAGCCACTGTGTGGCAAAACATCTTCTCAATAAAGATAACCCAAGTGCTGCACATGTGTCTAATTTATCAAGTGTTGTCATGCTACAAGGAAAGTCGCCAAAGATAAGATGTGAATGGGAGTATGATGAGTCACTTGTATTATTGGAATGCAGTGTAATGCCTTCAAATGGGATCATTTGTAATACTGTACCTTGAAAACTGCTAAACTCTTCATGTGGCTGATTAACTGACGATCTGTTGGAGTGTGAGCAGGGTAATATTTAGTGAAGGGATTCAGGGAAACCGGTTATTTTCATATAGTCGGACTTGAGTCCTGGAAATGGGAAGTACAATGCCTGCACTTTAAAGGAGGGGTTTGGGATATTGGCAGTTTGGAGGGATATGTTGTGTATCTTTATATGTTTATGCTTCTAGACTGTTGTATTCTGAGCACCTCTGCAAAAACAGTGATAATGTGCGAGTGTGGTGAAAGTGTTGAATGATGATGAAAGTATTTTCTTTTTGGGGATTTTCTTTCTTTTTTGGGTCACCCTGCCTCGGTGGGAGACGGCCGACTTGTTGAAAAAAAAAAAAAAAAAAAAAAAAAATTTTTAAAGATAAAGTAGCCTTTTTATTTCCATGAAAGTTTTAAATTATTTTGGCTAATATTTTGTGACTATCCCTGACAGATATCCAGTTATTTTGTCTATAGAAGACCACTGCAGCCTTCCACAGCAGCAGGAGATGGCGCGGCGGTTCCGCGAGGTTTTCCGTGATTCCCTTCTTTGTGCTTCAATAGATAACAATGAACAAGTTAGTTTTGGGCCCTTCTTTATAGATTTTACAAAATGCTAGCAAAATGAAATTAAAGTTAAATATATATATATGTCAGTGCTAATGTATAATTTTAGGAAAATATTGAAGCCTTCATGAGATGAAATTTGATGGTTGCAACACAGAATTGCAAGTAGCTGTGGCCTAGGTTTAATATAGGTTAGTAAATACTGTTTATAGTTTACATAATGTTTTACTTGCTATATTCAGGGAAACCAGTTAGCCAGACTTGAGTCCTGGAGGTGGGAGGTACAATGCCTGCACTCTAAAGGAGGGATATCTAAACTGTCGTATCTGTGTGTCTCTGGCAAGAGAGTGAGAGTGTAAATGATGGTGAAAGTGTTTCTTTTTCGAGTCACCTTGCCTTGGTGGGAGATGGCCAGCATGCTAAAAAAATTGAGGATGTAGGCCCATTTGTGTGCTGGGTAGACGTACACTTGGAACACTTCTTTATCATTTATTTTACTTATGTAGCAAGTGTTCTGTTTTCTTTTCCTTGTCTTCTCCTTTCTCTCTCTCTGGTTTAGGGTGCTGCAGTTTGAAGAGTTCTTGAATTATGATGTATACACAATTCTCGCAGGATAGCTATTGAATGAATGATGATGGATGCATTTCCTTCTTTGAGTCACTCTACATTGGTTGGAGATGGCCGATGTGATAAAAAGAAGTAATCCCTAGTGATGTAGGTAATGGCTAGTTAGGCTCAGAAAAAACTGTTCATTCTTGGAATGACATTTCTTCAAGGAATAAAGTATCTGTGAATATAGAAAGGTGGAGAGAGGCAATTAATCTTGGTATCTTTCACACAGACATAGTCTTACCTGTGTTACAGTCATCATGGCAACTTTCAGACAGACATGAAATCTTGCCTATGTTACAATCGTCTTGGTATCTTTCACACAGGCACAGAATCTTGCCTATGTTACAATCATCATGGTATCTTTCACACAGACATGAAATTTTCCTGTTACAGTCATCATGGCATCTTTCACACAGACATGAAATCTTGCCTATGTTACAATCATCTTGGTATCTTTCACACAGGCACAGAATCTTGCCTGTGTTACAATCATCATGGCATCTTTCACACAGGTACAGTCTTGCCTGTGTTACAGTCATCATGGTATTAATACCACCATTCCCTCTTTGCACCAGGTAATGCCATCTCCTGAGCAACTCAAGAGAATGATCATCCTTAAGCACAGAAAACTTCCTGGAGGGACTGATGAGTTCACACCTCTGGCTGCTAATGTGGATGAACGTCAGTGTCGATACATTTCTCATAATGTTTAGTCTAATATTAATGCTGTAGTATATTGTATTTTAGATACCTGAGCTAATTACTTTGGAATACAAGTGTGCTGAATGCAGTTAAAGCTGCATTAATTGCAAGTTTGTACAGCATTTCCAGCAACATTTCAGCAAGCATAACAATAATAAACATAAAAATAGTTATATTATTTGCATATTTATTTTATACAAGGATGAGTGGGATTGTTTATGCTCACAAGGTTATTAAATTGGTAATATTCTTTCACTTCTGGCAAGACAGCTACTGAATGAGTGATGGCGAATGTGTTTTCTTCTTCATTAGGAAATGACCAGTGTCAATAAAAAATAACATGCAGGACTTTTACAGAATTTTTATATTCTTTTAAATATCAGGTTGCAGGTATATATATCATTTATGATATGCAGGACTTTTACAGAATTTTTATATTCTATTAAATATCAGGTCGCAGGTATATATATCATTTATGATAGTCAGCTATGTTTGAATACTTCTGCTGTATACTGTATGATTGTTTGACTTTTGCATAATAATAATAATAAAATATAAATGCAGGAGGCATTAGAGATGTCATGCTTGAGGGCAGTGTGTGCTGTGAATATTATGAAGAGAATTCAGATTTTGGAGATTAGAAGGAGGGAGAAGTTAAGAAAAGTATTATTCAGAGGGCTGAGGAGAGGTTGTTTAGGTGGTTGACATTTAGAGGACGGAGAAAAATAGAATGACTAAGAGGGCATATTAATTTGGGATGGATGGAGAGGGGGTTGTCTTAGGAAATGTTGGAGAGAGAAGGTAAAGGCTTGGGCATCCAGCAGGCTTGTGTGATCATGTTAGAAAGGAGTGGATGGAGGCATGTGTTAGTTTATGATTTGACATGCTGTTAGAGTGTGAGCAAGATAACATTTATGATTTGAGTCCTGGAGATGGGAAGCACATTGTGTACACTCTGCAGGTGGTGATGGTGGTGGTGGTGGTGGTGGTGGTGGCGGGAATACTGCAGTTTGGACAGTTATCTGAACTGTGATACCTGTACACTTCTGGCAAGACAGAGATTGAATGAGTGACAGTGAAAATGTTTTCTTAATATTTATTTATCAAGATTTCCACAAGATATATGGTTTTTACTAAGGTTCCTAGTCATGCAGTGCATTTACATGTGGTGTAAAAACGGGTTCCCATTCTTACACCATATTTAAGAATGGGGAGAGTCTAAGATGTGAAGGTGATATCTGCAGTTAAGATACTTTGAGATAAAACTAATGGATACTTCTTTTTTTTTTTTTTTTTTTTTTTTTTTTTGTGACCACCAGAGGGAGGAGAGTTGGAACTAAGCAAGCTGAGTCTCAAAACAGATCGTCTTTTCCTGAAGAATCCTGTAGACTCGACAGCTTGGCAGGCACACTTTTTTGTTCTCACTCAGGATTGTCTCTATTTTACCGAACTTCAAAATGAACAAGAGGCAGAAACAGATGACCAAGCTTGTGGGTTGAGGATGCAAAATGATGTGAGTAACATAGATGTAGTTGCTTTAGCTAAGTGCATTGCTTAGTAATTTTAGAATAACAAATTTGGAATGCTGTGGCTGGAACAATTCAGAATTTGTCTATGAAACTAGTTGAAATTAGATTAGGGTTTTATCCATCCTGGATCATTATCAAGTTCCAAGTGACTGTAATGGTCCAGAAAGGATTGAAATGCCATTTAATTTCCATTTCCAATTTATTGTAAAGTTGTTTCTTGTGTAGGGTGTGGAAACATTTTGGTATTAGATTTTACTAAAGCTCTTTAAGAAAATTCACTCTATTGAAAGCTAAACCTTAGGGAACGAGTTTGTATAACTTATTGCACAATGGGATTTAGTGAATTTCTAATGTGATTTTGGTTACCGAGCAAGGCATGTTCCTCTTTAGCTAGTAGACAAGTCATTGGTGTAGATTTTCTCCCTATCATTTGTTTTGATATTAGTAGAAATAAAAGAGTGGTTATGAATATATTATTTTGACAAGACACACATTGACCAAGTGATGGTGAATGTGTTCCCTTCTTTGTGTTTTCATACGTTGATGGAAATTGGCTATGTTAAAGTGTTAAATTAAAAGTGTGAAAGTGTGCTTTGAAATAAGCTGTCCAGATTTTGTTTGTTATTGCACTTGAGATATTGTCTTGGTGATTTTCAGTATTCGTAGTACAGTGCCAACTGCTTCATGTAGGGTGCCTTGATGCTTTTGAAAAGCTCTTGATCCAGGAAACTGGAACTGCTTTTCCCTTCAAATCAAACCTAATTATATCCAAATGGCAGATCAGCCAAGCTGTGAAGGATATATGGGGCAGCAGGCCACCAACAGCTACAGGCTAATTGACCAGTTAAGCACTGGAAAAGCCTGGTCCCAGGCTGTGTTGTGGGGTTAAGAAGACCTTCAAAATTGGTGACAGGTATATCCCATCCCCTAGGAGCTGTGAATATAATATCCCATCCCCTAGGAACTGTGAATATAATATCCCATCCCCTAGGAGCTGTGAATATAATATCCCATCCCCTAGGAGCTGTGAATATAATATCCCATCCCCTAGGAGCTGTGAATATAATATCCCATCCCCTAGGAACTGTGAATATAATATCCCATCCCCTAGGAGCTGTGAATATAATATCCCATCCCCTAGGAACTGTGAATATAATATCCCATCCCCTAGGAGCTGTGAATATAATATCCCATCCCCTAGGAGCTGTGAATATAATATCCCATCCCCTAGGAACTGTGAATATAATATCCCATCCCCTAGGAACTGTGAATATAATATCCCATCCCCTAGGAGCTGTGAATATAATATCCCATCCCCTAGGAACTGTGAATATAATATCCCATCCCCTAGGAACTGTGAATATAATATCCCATCCCCTAGGAGCTATGAATATAATATCCTATCCCCTAGGAGCTGTGAATATAATATCCCATCCCCTAGGAGCTGTGAATATAATATCCCATCCCCTAGGAACTGTGAATATAATATCCCATCCCCTAGGAACTGTGAATATAATATCCCATCCCCTAGGAGCTGTGAATATAATATCCCATCCTCTAGGAACTGTGAATATAATATCCCATCCCCTAGGAGCTGTGAATATAATATCCCATCCCCTAGGAGCTGTGAATATAATATCCCATCCTCTAGGAACTGTGAATATAATATCCCATCCCCTAGGAGCTGTGAATATAATATCCCATCCCCTAGGAGCTGTGAATATAATATCCCATCCCTAGGAACTGTGAATATAATATCCCATCCCTAGGAACTGTGAATATAATATCCCATCCCCTAGGAGCTGTGAATATAATATCCCATCCTCTAGGAACTGTGAATATAATATCCCATCTCTTAGGAGCTGTGAATATAATATCTCATTCCCCTGTACTTCTGTGAATTTAATAATCACATGGTGGAGTGCTCAACATGGTGTCAGGCGAGTGTGTAATTTTAACAGTTCTTGTTCAGATTTTTTATTGAATGAACAATTACTTACCCTATAGTGGGTTGGAGTTGACATCTACCACAAACTGAGGCAAAAATGTGGCAACAGGTGGGCGATGAGGAGCAGCACCTTCAGGAGCCTTGGTATCATGGCAAGGTTGTAGGAGGTCGTACGAAAGCTGAGGAACTGCTACAGCAACACAGCCACCTTGGAGATGGGACTTTCCTGGTGCGCCTCTCGGAGAACTTTGTGGGAGATCATACGTTGTCTTTCTGGTGAGTGGTAACTTTATGAAATAACTGCATTACTGAATCCTTCCTCTATATGCCATGAGTGTTGTAAGAGGAAACTACAATGCCAAGAGCAAGGTACTAGTAACCCCTTCTCGTGTATAACTTACTAAGTGTAAATAGAAAAACTTTTGTTCCTTCTTTTTCGGGTCACCCTGCCTTGGTGGGAGATGGCCGATGTATTAAAAAACTGTATTATTTGATCTGTTAAGCTTCAGCTTGTTTCAGAGAGCTTCAGTAAACTCTGGTAGTTCAGCTTACAACAAGGCTCATTGTCATTGAATGCTATGATTAATACTAGGTACATTGAAACTTCCATTATCTTATCACTGGTTACAACACTGGCATAATTGCAATACTTGATAATACCTTCAATTTTTACTTATTTTTCATTACTTTACGTTGTTAAAATGAAGGAACTAACTAGGACAACCAATCTCTGAAAGTTAGATTCCCATGTAGGAAAAATTTGCTGAAAAATGGATGAACTATTCCCTGAATATTTTATTATTTTAATGACGATGGAATAATACACTGACTGTATTGACTTACTGATACACTGAAACCCAAAAGCTGCAGCAGTCAGTCATCAGGAGGGACTGACTGATTTCCATTACCTATTGTGACCAGTGAACACCTGCCTGGCCATGGTCTTAATAACAAAACAGAATCAATGCAGTACCAAGCCACTGTTTATCATTTTTACACTAATTTTTATATTTGCATTTTTTCTTTTCCAGGCACCAGGGAAAAGCCAGCCACTGCCGTATTCGAACTCGCCAGGATGGAGACACCACAAGATACTGGCTCAGAGATAATGATGCTTTTGAGAGTCTTCATGCACTCGTTGAACACTATCGTACCTACCCCATACGTGCTCAGGTGAGTGCGTCTGGCAGACTAGCAGTCTGGGAATTCTTGCACTGCATGCTGTGCCAAATTCGTAATAAATATTAATGTATATTTATTGAGTGTGAAGAAAATTTAAAGTGGTAGGGGATTGAGCATCTAGCAGGCATGTGTGAACATTTTATATTGGAATAAATGGAGACAAGTGATTTTTAGACTTTAGTATTCTGTTTAAGTCTGAGGAAGATAACATTTATGAAAGGATTGAGAGAAACTGTATAAATGAACTTGGTGATGCAGGTTGAAGTACAGTGCCTGTAGTCTAAAGAAGGGTGTTGATATTGCAGTTGGAGGGTAATCTGAATTTTGATATCAGCACACTTCTGGAAACAGCAGTTGAATGAAAGATGGTGAATGTGTTTCCTTGGAGTCAGCCTGCCTTGGTGAGAGAGCTGTTATGGTAAAAAAAAAAAAAGGCAATAAACTTTAAATTATTAGGAAACGTGAGTGAATCTTCTTCATGGTTTGAGGATTCATATCACCTCCTGGAACTTGACCCCCATGAATTACAGAGTTTCACTCTATATCAGCTACTTCTTCTGCATTCTCTATTGACTTGATAAAGCATGCTGTGTGGTCAAAACATTTGTTGTTATTGAAGGTGTCCCATTACTTCTGGGAATAAAGAACCTTTTAAAATAAAACTTAAGCTCCTGTTTTGGTAAAGTTTTTTTTCTTTTATCTTAGAGTAACTGAGATATTTGTTAAATGTTGGCAGGATGTGTCAGTGGTCCTTGATGCAGCGGTACCTCAGCCAAACAGTCATGAACGCATGGAGTGGTATCATGCCAACCTCTCCAGAGAGGAAGCTGAAGATTACCTTGGAAGAATTCAAGAGGATGGAGCATTTCTGGTCAGACCTAGTGGAGAGTCAGGCAGCATATCAATTTCATTTAGGTAAAGTTATGTGCTATTATTCTTCATGGAGAAGTCTAATAGAATTCTTCCTCCATAAGCTGTGAGTGTCATAAGAGGCAACTGGAATGCCAGAAGCAAGGAACTAGTAACCCCTTCTCCTGTATAAAGTGGAGTGGAATAGAATTTTCCCTCAGTATCATGTTTTTCTTTTTAGGTCACCTTTCCTCGGTGGGATACAGCCAGTTCATTGAAAAAAAATAGTATACAGGTGGGAGGTCCAGCTCATTGAAAAAAGAAGAGTAATATGCTATTTTATGTTCACTCTGACATGTCTTTTACAAGTAGATAATATCTGCAACTTATTTATCTACCTCCTTGATTCCCTCTTCATCCTAGTAGTTAATTCTGGTATGACTATTGTGCCTGTCTGTACGTTGTATAAATATACAATTGTTTTATATTTTTTGTTCATTACGTATGAGCTAGGTATTTTTTTTTATGTTACTCTCTTGTTGTGCCTGGTCTTTTAAACCTGAAGCTTCAATATGTGAATGCAGTGCTGTAGTCCAGGTATACCCTTTTTCAAAATTTCATTCATTATACCTTGTCTTGCAATCTACTGAATATGATACCGAGGTTATACCTTTTCTTGCAGTCTGCTGAATATGATGCAGAAGTATTATAGAAAATTGGTTTTTGATATTTTTCGTTTTTGACCTTTGATACTACCTTCCATACACTACAGGGGAGATCACTTAACCATAGCAACAAGGTGACCCACATGAAAGAGCCTAATCCAAGAGAAAAAAACAAACATGTGAAAAATTTAAGTCTACCAGTAATGCTACCTATACATTTATAATAACACAACTTGAGGATGAGACATAAAATCCCACAGGTTACTCAGGAGAGAATCTTTTCACCTACTAAAACTCCAATAGACCAGTCCCTGTTTTTCAAGATTCGACACCAAACAAAATGCTAACAAGTGATAACAGTGTTTTTTTGAGATTTGTCATTCTGTTAGATTAAGGGAAACCTGCTAGCTGAACCTGAGTTCTGGATACATAAAGTTGAGTGTTCACACTGAAGGGTGGATGGGTGACCTGATTTGGTGTGCCTTTGTACATCTGGCAAGATATCTGTAGATTAAGTGATGTGAAAGGTTCCCTTCTTTGGGGTCACTTTACCTTGCTGGGAAACAGATGTTAAAAAGCTTTCCTTCAGAATGACTTAAAAATCACATTGGATAAGCTGAATTTATCACTTGTGTATGATTTTTTTCTTATTTAGTACTATCTATTGCAATATGTCACTGGGTAAAATATTGTTGCAGTTTGATATGAATCTTCTCTTTTATCATTGCAAGCTTTTATTCGACAGAGCTGAAGGGTGTACAAAGCACTGCCGTGTCAAACAGGAGGACCAACTCTTTACCATTGGCACTGCAACATTTGACAGTCTAGTTGACCTAGTCAGATATTACGAACGTAATTTCCTATTTCGTCACGTGAAGCTGCGCTATCCTGTAACAGAACGTGTAATGCAGGGCTTGTTGGAACAGGTTAGTTATACTGCTTTTAGATGTAAATAAAAGTATACAAATATTAAAAACCTAATTTTTTTTTTTTTTTTTCAACAAGTCGGCCGTCTCCCACTGAGGCAGGGTGACCCAAAAAAGAAAGAAAATCCCCAAAAAGAAAATACTTTCATCATCATTCAACACTTTCACCACACTCGCACATTATCACTGCTTTTGCAGAGGTGCTCAGAAATACAACAGTTTAGAAGCATATACGTATAAAGATACACAACATATCCCTCCAAACTGCCAATATCCCAAACCCCTCCTTTAAAGTGCAGGCATTGTACTTCCCATTTCCAGGACTCAAGTCCGACTATATGAAAATAACCGGTTTCCCTGAATCCCTTCACTAAATATTACCCTGCTCACACTCCAACAGATCGTCAGGTCCCAAGTACCATTCGTCTCCATTCACTCCTATCTAACACGCTCACGCACACTTGCTGGAAGTCCAAGCCCCTTGCCCACAAAACCTCCTTTACCCCCTCTTTCCAACCCTTTCGAGGACGACCCCTACCCCTCTTTCCTTCCCCTATAGATTTATATGCTTTCCATGTCATTCTACTTTGATCCATTCTCTCTAAATGACCAAACCACCTCAACAACCCCTCTTCTGCCCTCTGACTAATGCTTTTATTAACTCCACACCTTCTCCTAATTTCCACACTCCGAATTTTCTGCATAATATTTACACCACACATTGCCCTTAGACAGGACATCTCCACTGCCTCCAACCGTCTCCTCGCTGCTGCATTTACCACCCAAGCTTCACATCCATATAAGAGTGTTGGTACTACTATACTTTCATACATTCCCTTCTTTGCCTCCATAGATAACGTTTTTTGACTCCACATATACCTCAACGCACCACTCACTTTTTTGACACCTCATCAATTTTATGATTAACCTCATCCTTCATAAATCCATCCGCCGACACGTCAACTCCCAAGTATCTGAAAACATTCACTTCTTCCATACTCCTCCTCCCCAATTTGATATCCAATTTTTCTTTATCTAAATCATTTGATACCCTCATCACCTTACTCTTTTCTATGTTCACTTTCAACTTTCTACCTTTACACACATTCTCAAACTCATCCACTAACCTTTGCAATTTTTCTTTAGAATCTCCCATAAGCACAGTATCATCAGCAAAAAGTAACTGTGTCAGTTCCCATTTTGAATTTGATTCCCCATAATTTAATCCCACCCCTCTCCCGAACACCCTAGCATTTACTTCTTTTACAACCCCATCTATAAATATATTAAACAACCATGGTGACATTACACATCCCTGTCTAAGACCTACTTTTACCGGGAAGTATTCTCCCTCTCTTCTACACACCCTAACCTGAGCCTCACTATCCTCATAAAAGCTCTTTACAGCATTTAGTAACTTAACACCTATTCCATATACTTGCAACATCTGCCACATTGCTCCTCTATCCACTCTATCATATGCCTTTTCTAAATCCATAAATGCAATAAAAACTTCCCTACCTTTATCTAAATACTGTTCACATATATGCTTCAATGTAAAACATTGATCTACACATCCCCTACCCACTCTGAAGCCTCCTTGCTCATCCGCAATTCTACATTCTGTCTTACCTCTAATTCTTTCAATTATAACTCTACCGTATACTTTTCCTGGTATACTCAGTAAACTTATTCCTCTATAATTTTTACAATCTCTTTTGTCCCCTTTCCCTTTATATAAAGGGACTATACATGCTCTCCGCCAATCCCTAGGTACCTTCCCCTCTTTCATACATTTATTAAACAAAAGTACCAACCACTCCAACACTATATCCCCCCCTGCTTTTAACATTTCTGTCATGATCCCATCAGTTCCAGCTGCTTTACCCCCTTTCATTCTACGTAATGCCTCACGTACCTCCACCACACTTACATTCTGCTCTTCTTCACTCCTAAAAGATGGTATACCTCCCTGGCCAGTGCATGAAATTACCGCCTCCCTTTCTTCCTCAGCATTTAAAAGTTCCTCAAAATATTCTCGCCATCTACCTAATACCTCCCTCTCCCCATCTACTAACTCCCCTTCTCTGTTTTTAATGGACAAATCCATACTTTCCCTAGGCTTTCTTAACTTGTTTAACTCACTCCAAAATTTTTTCTTATTTTCATTAAAATTTCTTGACAGTGCCTCTCCCACTCTTTCATCTGCTCTCCTTTTGCACTCTCTCACCACTCTCTTCACCTTTCTTTTACTCTCCATATACTCTGCTCTTCTTATAACACTTCTGCTTTGTAAAAACCTCTCGTAAGCTACCTTTTTCTCTTTTATCACACCCTTTACTTCATCATTCCACCAATCACTCCTCTTTCCTCCTGCCCCCACCCTCCTATAACCACAAACTTCTGCCCCACATTCTAATACTGCATTTTTAAAACTATTCCAACCCTCTTCAACCCCCCCCCACTACTCATCTTTGCACTAGCCCACCTTTCTGCCAATAGTCGCTTATATCTCACCCGAACTTCCTGGAGCCTCCCTTAGTTTATACACTTTCACCTCCCTCTTACTTGTTGTTGCCACCTTCCTCTTTTCCCATCTACCTCTTACTCTAACTGTAGCTACAACTAAATAATGATCCGATATATTAGTTGCCCCTCTATAAACATGTACATCCTGGAGCCTACCCATCAACCTTTTATCCACCAATACATAATCTAACAAACTACTTTCATTACGTGCTACATCATACCTTGTATATTTATTTATCCTCTTTTTCATAAAATATGTATTACTTATTACCAAATTTCTTTCTACACATAGCTCAATTAAAGGCTCCCCATTTACATTTACCCCTTGCACCCCAAATTTACCTACTACTCCCTCCATAACATTTTTACCAACTTTAGCATTGAAATCCCCAACCACCATTACTCTCACACTTGATTCAAAACTCCCCACGCATTCACTCAACATTTCCCAGAATCTCTCTCTCTCCTCTACACTTCTCTTCTCCAGGTGCATACACGCTTACTATAACCCACTTTTCACATCCAATCTTTATTTTACTCCACATAATCCTTGAATTTATACATTTGTAGTCCCTCTTTTCCTGCCATAGCTTATCCTTCAACATTATTGCTACTCCTTCTTTAGCTCTATTTGAAACCCCTGACCTAATCCCATTTATTCCTCTCCATTGAAACTCTCCCACCCCCTTCAGCTTTGTTTCACTTAAAGCCAGGACATCCAGTTTCTTCTCATTCATAACATCCACAATCATCTCTTTCTTATCATTTGCACAACATCCACGCACATTCAGACTTCCCACTTTGACAATTTTCTTCTTCTTATTCTTTTTAGTAATCTTTACAGGAAAAGGGGTTACTAGCCCATTGTTCCCGGCATTTTAGTTGACTTTTACAACACGCATGGCTTACGGAGGAAAGATTCTTATTCCACTTCCCCATGGATATAAAAGGAAAAGTAATAAGACCAAGAACTATTAAGATAAAATCAAAGAAAACTCAGATGAGTGTGTATAAATAAACATGTACATGTATGTGTAGTGTGACCTAAGTGTAAGTAGAAGTAGCAAGACGTACCTGTAATCTTGCATATTTATGAGACAGACAAAAGACACCAGCAATCCTACCATCATGTAAAACAATTACAGGCTTTCGTTTTACACTCACTTGGCAGGACGGTAGTACCTCCCTGGGTGGTTGCTGTCTACCAACCTACTACCTATAACTAAATAACTATTGTATTTTCATTGAGAATTGTACATTTTTTCAGTATTTTTTTTATGTCTTGTAAAATCTCAGTATTTGTTGGAGATATGTTCCTAAAGCCACAGTATGTTCTAACTCCACAAGAAACCCCAATAACTACCATTTGTGTTGTACAAGGGAATTATTTTAAATTAATGTGAGTGGTTTTATGCAGCAAGTGTACCTCTCGGTGAGTCTGCTTGTAGCTAAACTCTTAATGTTTGATAAGTGAATTATAACTGCATTATTTACATTTGCATTTTATATTATTATAAAATGCAGTTGGTAGTTAGTTATATGACTACCTAAATTTGCAAATACAGTACTGTACCATACCTGTACTGAGATTGTAATGTTTACTAAAATTGGTTGGTATACTAATAAAGCAATAATGTTATTTAATTATAGTTTTGGGAAAAAAATGTATAGCATAATAATATTAGTTTGTATATTTCAGGATCAGATTGGTGTCTCGCAGCCTGGAGGTTATGTTACTTACATCAGCAACGTAAGGGTTTTTACACGTGTCTTGCATTGCTACATGCTTTCCTTATTATGTAAAAAAAAAAATATTGCTGTTAGTGCATAAGACTGAAGAATCAAAATGATGCAAGAGTAATTAATAAATTTATAATACAGTAGGGCCCCGCTTTACGGCGTTTCGCCTTATGGCATTCCGCTAATACGGCAATGTCAAATTATGACCAAAATTTCCTATGCGGCAAGCGATCTTTCAAATACGGCGCGCCCCACCCGGTTTGTTTACATTCTTCGTGACCACATCTATTATGTCAGGAAACTTTCCAAAATTTCAAGTGTTTTAAAGTTCTGCATATTTTATATGTACTCTGATAATTATACTTATGTGTACCTGTACCTAAATATACTTACACACTGTGCTGGTCTGCAGGTACACATTAAAATTGCTAAGTCTCTCTCTACTCGTGACGCCGATACTACATAATAATAATCACTCTTGGGCACATTAAATGTCTTATTTTACATTAATATAGGCATTTTCATTAATCCATCTATGATATTTTCCTCAAAATTATATATGAAACCCGTTACATAGCATATAAACATGATACATACACTCACAGAATAAAAATTGACGTAAATATGAAATTTGCTTGCAAAACGGCTATGTAGGTAGTGTCGGAAGAATTACGTTTTCTCTAGTCAAACTGGGGGCTAACAGTAGAAAAATATTCTTTTCGTATGCCTTCACTCTATATATAGCAATTCACGACCCTTGTGGGTTTAGTGCTTTTTATTATGATAATAATAATAATAATAATATCTTCATTCACTCTAAAAATGGTGTGTTGCTGTTTGTTTATTCTGTACTAACTTGTACAACTTGTACACAATGTAAGAGTATTTGTACTGTGAGGTAATTATTATAATAAAAAAAATATTGAGGTAAATGTTTTACAAACTCTTACAAACATACGTGAATGAACTAAAAGTAGACACATATTAATACGCATATTTATTTCGCCTGACCGAGTGATCGCCCACTACCTGTTCAGTTTGTATTCTTACATTGTCTGAACTCTGTATATCGTTCTCTCTCTCGTTTACTTTTTCGTTAACTAGTTGGCTCTCATTGACAATGGCTTCTAAGCTTAATTGTGATAAAAAGAGGAGTCGTAAGACTCTTGCTTTAAGTGCCAAGTTAGGGGATGATGGTGTGCCATTCTGATTTTATTCAATAAACACCCTGCCACTCACTTATCACACTTTTTCTTTCTTTCAACACACCGGCCGTATCCCACCGAGGCGGGGTGGCCCAAAAGGAAAAACGAAAGTTTCTCCTGTTACATTTAGTAATATATACAGGAGAAGAGGTTACTAGCCCCTTGCTCCCTGCATTTTAGTCGCCTCTTACAACACACATGGCTTACGGAGGAAGAATTCTGTTCCACTTCCCCATGGGGATAAGAGAAAATAAACAAGAATAAGAACTAGAGAGAAAATAGAAGAAAACCCAGAGGGATGTGTATATATATGTTTGTACACATATGTGTAGTGTGACCTAAGTGTAAGTAGAAGTAGCAAGATGTACCTGAAATCTTGCACGTTTATGAGACAGAAAAAAGGACACCAGCAATCCTACCATCATGTAAAACAATTACAGGCTTTCGTTTTACACTCACTTGGCAGGACGGTAGTACCTCCCTGGGCGGTTGCTGTCTACCAACCTACTACCTATGACCTCTCACACATTAATATTAATATTTTAAGGTAAGTAATAAGTGTACTCTCTGTGTATCTTACCTTTTATTGTGTTTTTAATGCCTATTTCTATTGCTAACTTAATGTAAGTTAGTGTAAACTTGTTGTCTGGCATTTACTGCATATTTTATATGTGCTCTGATAATAATACCACACAGGTAGGACCTGTGTGGTAGCTGGGTGGAAGGACAACATTATGTTTTCTCTGCTCAGTTATCAGAGAAAATGTGTATGAATCTGCGTTTGGCCCAGCCACTCCCCCACTCCACTTTTGTTTACAATTTTCGGCATGAATTATTCATTACTTCTTCCTTCGTTTATGATGACAATAAAAGGTAGATGTTAGAAACGATTAAATTCAGTAAACAAGGTATGTGGATGCTAATAATATGGCTCTGGGCCACAGTGTAGGTAGCCGGTAGGTGTAGCCCAGGGGCTACACCTACTGGCTACCTACAGGCTACCTACACTGACTTCCTACAAATAAATACTACTCACCTCTCTTCCTATATTAAGACTGCACATATTTTAAGGTAAATAGTGAGTGTATTGTATGTGTATTTTAACTCTCTGGGATGTTTTAAATATCGTATATTAAGTATGAGACAGGGAGCCAGGGCTACCTACACCTGACTTCCTACAAATAAGTACTACTCACTTCTCTCCCTACATTAAGATTACAAATACTTTAAGATAAGTAATGAATGTACTGTGAATTTATTTTACTTTGTGTGTTTTTAATGCCTAGTTCTATTACTAAGTTGATATAATTTAGTGCAAACTTGTTGTCTGGCATTTATATGCATTTATAAATGGAAAAAATGGCATTCTGCCTTCCGGCGATGTCTGCTTTCTGGCAACAGCCTGGAACCTAACCCGCCGTATAAGTGGGGCCCTACTGTACCTTTCTATGCAGATCCACGTGAAAGCCAAGTATTCATACACTGCGAAGATGCCTGATGAACTGACATTCCCCAAGCATGCCATCATCCAGAATGTGAACAAGGCAGAGAGGGACTGGTGGAAAGGTGATTATGGTGGGCTGAAACAACACTGGTTCCCTGCCATCTATGTGGAGGAAATTGAAGCAGAAAACATTGATGAAAGAGTGAGTCAAATTTTATGTTAACCTGCATAGAAACTGAGATATACTAGATAACCTTCACAGATGTGAAGCTTTGCATAAATAAAGACTGGTCAGACCAGTGGCTGGATGAGTGACCACAGGGACAGGATGCTGAGAGGAGATAAATGAGAACCTGGGAACACAGCTGGAGGTTAAAGGTACAGATGAACCATGGGATATCAAGAATTATTTCTTCAGTCTCAGGATAGTTAGGAAGTGGAATGAGTTTAGTGAGGAAATGGTGGAGGCAGGCTCTATGTATAGTATGATAGGTCCTGCAAGGTTAAAAGGGAGTAAATCTGGCAAAGGTAATTTCAGAGGTGAGGCCAAGAGCTAGCTAATTAGGAAGCAATGGAGTTTTGAAGGGGTGAGAGAAAGAAATGAACAAGAGGCAAAAAGATTACATAATGGGCTTGGTTATGACTGGGGGACCCAAAGTAATAGTTGTGGTGATATACAGTGGTGGGGGGAACAAGGAGGGAAGGGAGTGAAAATTGCATTTTATTAAATTGCAAGAAGGAATTTGATACTGTATCCCCACTTAAAGCAAGGGCAAAAACTTGAGGGGCAGGTAGGAATAACAGGGAGTGTACTTCAATAGATCAAAAAGTACCTTAGGGAAAGGAAGCAAAGAGTGGTTGTCTGGGAAGAGATTCCAGAATGAGGAAAAGTAACTAGTGGGGTTTTGCAGGGATCAATATTATTACCAGTACTGTTTGTGGCCTGTGTGAATGACATTCCAGGTGGGATTGAATCGCATGTATCATTATTTACTGATTTGAAGCTGAGGGGAATAAAAACAGATGACAGAGGAAAGACTCCAAATGAATCTGGACAAACTGGTTAGATAATAGCTGCATGAATTCAACTCAGAATAGATGAGTACAGATACATGTATACCTTTTAATACTGTACTCTTCCCTTTTCTGTTTTATTTAGAACAAAATTTTATCCAGTATTTTAGAATATAAGAATACACAGATAACCCACACATAGGATATAACTTATGATGATGTTTCGGTCTGACTTGGACCATTAACAGGTCATTGTGTGACCTGTTAATGGTCCAAGTTGGTCCAATTCGGAGCAAAACATTGTCAGGAATTTCATTCTCCTATGTGCGGGTTATTTGTATATTGTTCCAGTCAAGGTATTGTGTTTTATTGTTTATGTAAGACTAGCAGTCCATAATGTATTATTATTGGAGTAACTAACTAAGAGTGTGTATACACACATACAGGGTGGTGACAGCCAGGTGCTGGGCAGCCTTCAGAAGTGCCTGGATCTGCGAGGTGCAGAGGCTACCGTTGATCGCTTCCCTGGCAACAACCGCTGGGGCATCAAGTTTATCATAAGGTATGTTAGGCTTGACTCCCCTTCCTCTTTCCCCTCTCTGCCCTATGTACCCCTTCCCCCATCTTTTCCCCCCCTCATCTTTTTTCTCTTATGGTTTATCATGAACAATATTATTATTATATAATAAAAAAAAGTGCTAAACTGACAAGGGTCATACAGCATCATGAACAATAAATACAGTGGACCCTCGACTAACGATATTAATTGGTACCCGAGAACGATTATCATTAGTCGAGTTTTTTTAACATTAGTCGAGGCAACATGTTAGCGTTAACGTATCGTTGGTCGAATTTAACGTTAGTTGATGCCATCGTTGGTCAAGGGTCCACTGTAATTTTGTTTACAAAATGTACACAATTGTTGCAAAATTAGAGAAAATTTATTTCATAAATTTACAAAACTTGCTTGTGCAGAGCATTCTGGGTAGACTGAAACTAAAATTGCAGTACTTCTGTCCCCCTCTCCTATCTTCTCTTTCCCTTTTCTCTTCTTTTCCTTCCTCCTTATTTCTCTTTTCTCCTTCTCTTTTTTTTTCCCTTTTCCCTTGTCCTCTCTTCCAAGGGTTATACCAGAATTTCTATATGGGAGGGCAAGGAAATTCTTTTTAATGCAGCATTATTATTGTAATAATGTTGGTAGAATTACTGACAATATGTAAAGTAAAAGGACACAAGTGCAACTAATGTGACATTTTATTGTGGCAACGTTTCGCTCTCCAGGAACTTTGTCAAGCTTGTCGGCTTAACAAAGCTCCTGGAGAGCGAAACGTTGCCACAATAAAATGTCACATTAGTTGCACTTGTGTCCTTTTACTTTACAGCATTATTATTATTACTATTTTTTTTATTTGTGGGGGCTGAGGGAATTCCTTTTGGCTGAAGCCCCCCTTCCCCCCCTTCCTTAGTGCTGTCCCTGCCATCTTCTCTCCTCATCATTCGTAATTCTCCTTTCCTCTCTTCTTCCACTCTCCTCTTCTCAAATTTCTTCCTTCTCTCCTGTCTTCTCGATTCTGCTTCTCTCCTCTTCTCTCTTCTTTTTTCTAATCTCTCTTCCTCACTCATTTCATTCCTCTTCTATTGTCTTGTCTCTCACTTCTTTTCTTCTCCCCCTCTCCTCTTACTCTGCCATTATTTTAGTATTAACTGTATCATATCTTTGAATCTTTCTTCTTCTTTCAACGTACCAGCCGTATCCCACCAAGGCAGGGTGGCCCAAAAGGAAAAATGAAAGTTTCTCCTTTTAAATTTAGTAGTATATACAGGAGAAGGGGTTACTAGCCCCTTGCTCCCAGCATTTTAGTCGCCTCATCTTTGAATACTATTTCCAAATTATCATAAAGCTCTTCCTTTGTGGTAGCCTTCAACTTGTGATTGTGAGGAGTGTGTGTATGTGGTGTTGTATTGCAGACTGACGGCACCTACACTGCCTCAGGTCCTGGAGGTGGGCTGCACCTCAGAGCAGGAAGCCAAGGAGTGGAAGGAGAAGATCAACTCAACTGCATCTGTAGATGACGGGGTGAGCTTCTACTATCATCCAGTACAATACACTACAACTTTATTTCTTTTCTGCAGTATACAAAATGTAGTTTACCTGTAATAAAATATTGCTAAGCACAAAATAAAGCCACTAGCATACAGTGCATTTCAAGCAAACTGTTGTGCTGATTAAACCTATGCTGCATGTCTCTTGGATAGAGGTGTCCTCATGAAAGTAATTTTAGTATAAGCTGACATGCATGGAAATGACAGTTGTTAATTGCACTTTAGTGGGAGAGAATATGTTCAGTTTTTAAAATTAATGTACTTTGACATATTGAAAGAAGTGTGCTTCTGAAAATATTGGTAATACATATTGATTACATAAAAAATGCTTAATAATTATTGGACCACAGTATTACAGTTAATATTAATTTCATGCCCAACATTTTGCTTCCAAATACAGTTACTGGAGAAACATTCTGACTTGTATTATTTCTGATAGACACAAACTAGACAACAGAGAGAAACGGAGCTTCGCATAAAGAAGGAACTCAGTGACTTAGTTGTTTACTTTCGATGTGTACCTTTCGATGCCGAGAAGTGCTTCACCTATGGAGGTTGCCACAACGAGATCTCCTCTTTTCCTGAGCACAAGATGGAGAGTCACATACAAAAGAACCCATGTGGACTGCTAAAGTTTCACAAGGTAGGTTGCCAGGGACCATGTGTAAACTATTGTGTTTGTCAGCTAAAGAAAATTCAAATTGTTTTTCAGATAATGGTACTGCCTGAATGAATTTTTTTTGACTAGAAGAGTACAGTATAATTATCTTAAATGTCAACTCATCTTCCCTGTAAGCTATTTAGGCTTGGTACTTGTTACTGTAGGAAGCAAGGGGCTAGTAATCCCATCTCCTGTATACATTACTAAAATTTAAAAGATAAAATTTCATTTTTGTTTTTGGGTCACCCTGCCTTGGTGGGATACAACTGATTTGTTGAAAGAAGAAGACATGGTACCTCACTTGGCTAGTTCAGCTCCAGTGTCTGGTGTGTGCCATAATGTACCTGGAACTTCTTCAGTTAGAAAGAAGTAATTATTATTGATTGGACAAACCTAGTTTTGAAAACTGTGGAGAACTATTGTTATAACAGAGCTTGTTTGAAGCAAGGTAATGCTTTCTGGCTAAAGTAACATCAGATTTTTAGAGTCTGGTTAGAGATGAAATTTACTCTAAAGGTATTCATTTTTTTTTTTTTAACACGCTGGCTGTTTCCTTCCGAGGCAGGGTGACCCAATAAAAGAAACACTTTCACCATCATTGCCAGAGGTGTGCAGATAGAACAGTTTAGATGTTACTCTAAACAGCAAATATCTCAAACTCCTCCTTTAAAGTGCAGACTTTGTACTTCCGACCTCCAGGACTCGAGTTCGGCTAACTGGTTTCCCTGAATTCCTTCACAAAATATTACCCTGCTCTCACACTAACAGCTTGTCAGATTCCAAAAACCATTTCTCTCCACTCCTGTCTAACACTCTCACATATGCCTGCTGTATGTCTTAAGCCCTCTTGTTTATTCCCTCCTTCCATCCATCCATTCCTAAGATGATCCTTACCCTGCTTTCCTTCCAAAGGTATTTGTATACATCAAATGATGTCCTCACTGTACATAAACAAGCAGTCAAAATCAAATTATGACATGGGTAATATTATGTTTTTTTTTTATTAACACATCGGCCGATTCCCACCAAGGCAGGGTGGCCTGAAAAAGAAAAACTTTCATCATCATTCACTCCATCACTGTCTTGCCAGAGAGGTGCTTTACACTACAGTTATAAAACTGCAACATTAACACCCCTCCTTCAGAGTGTAGACACTGTACTTCCCATCCCCAGGACTCAAGTCCGGCCTGCCGGTTTCCCTGAATCCCTTCATAAATGTTACTTTGCTCACACTCCAACAGCACGTCAAGTATTAAAAACCATTTGTCTCCATTCACTCCTATCAAATACGCTCATGCACGCTTGCTGGAAGTCCAAGCCCCTCGCACACAAAACCTTTACCCCCTCCCTCCAACCCTTCCTAGGCCAACCCATACCCTGCCTTCCTTCCACTACAGATTTATACACTCTCGAGGTCATTCTGTTTTGTTCCATTCTCTCTACATGTCCAAACCACCTCACCAACCCCTCCTCAGCCTTCTGGATAATAGTTTTGGTAATCCCACACCTTCTCCTAATTTCCGAACTACGAATTCCCTGCATTATATTCACACCACACATTGCCCTCAGACATGACGTCTCCACTGCCTCCATCCTTCTCCTCGTTGCAACATTCATCACCCATGCTTCACACCCATATAAGAGTGTTAGTACAACTATACTCTCATACATTCCCCTTTTTGCTTCCACAGACAGTTCTTTGCCTCCACAGACTCCTAAGTGCACCACTCACCCTTTTTCCCTCATCAATTCTATGATTCACCTCATCCTTCATAGACCCATCCGCTGACACGTCCACTCCCAAATATCTGAATACATTCACCTCCTCCATACTCTCTCCCTCCAATCTGATATTCAATCTTTCATCACCTAATCTTTTTGTTATCCTCATAACCTTACTCTTTACTGTATTCACTTTTAATTTTCTTCTTTTACATTTTTTTTTTTTTTTTTTTTTTTTTTTTTACCACACTGGCCGATTCCCACCTAGGCAGGGTGGCCCGAAAAAGAAAAACTTTCACCATCATTCACTCCATCACTGTCTTGCCAGAAGGGTGCTTTACACTACAGTTTTTAAACTGCAACATTAACACCCCTCCTTCAGAGTGCAGGCACTGTACTTCCCGTCTCCAGGAATCAAGTCCGGCCTGCCGGTTTCCCTGAACCCCTTCATAAATGTTACTTTGCTCACACTCCAACAGCACGTCAAGTATTAAAAACCATTTGTCTCCATTCACTCCTATCAGACACACTCACGCATGCCTGCTGGAAGTCCAAGCCCCTCGCACACAAAACCTCCTTTACCCCCCTCCCTCCAACCTTTCCTAGGCCGACCCCTACCCCGCCTTCTTTCCACTACAGACTGATACACTCTTGAAGTTATTCTGTTTCGCTCCATTCTCTCCACATGTCCGAATCACCTCAACAACCCTTCCTCAGCCTCTGGACAACAGTTTTGGTAATCCCGCACCTCCTCCTAATTTCCCCAAACACGAATTCCTGCATTATATTCACACCACACATTGCTCTCAGACATGACATCTCCACTGCCTCCAGCCTTCTCCTCGCTGCAACATTCATCACCCATGCTTCACACCCATATAAGAGCATTGGGTAAAACTATACTCTCTTTACATTCCCCTCTTTGCCTCCAGGACAAAGTTCTTTGTCTCCACAGACTCCTAAGTGCACCCACTCACCCTTTTCCCCCCATCAATTCTATGATTCCCCTCATCTTTCAAAGACCCATCCACTGAAAATCTACCCCCAAATATCTGAATCATTCCCTCCTCCATACTCTCTCCCTCCAATCTGATATCCAACCCTTTTCACACCTATCTTTTTGTTACCTCTAACCTTTTACTTTTTCCAATTCACTTTCAATTTTCTTTTTTTTGGCACACCCTCCCAAATTCATCCACCAATCTCTGAAAACTTCTCTTCAAAAACTCCCAAGAGCACAGTGTCATCAGCAAAAGCAACTGTAAACTCCCATTTATGGCTTTTCTTTATCTTTTAACCCCCACGCCTCTTGCCAGCCCCTCGCATTTACTTCTTTTACCCCCCCATCTATAAATATTTAAACAACCACGGTGACATCCACACCCTTTCAAAGGGCCTACTTTTACGGGAAATAAATTTTCCCTTTCCCTACATACCAATTTGGCCTCACTATCCTCGAAAAAAACTCTTCACTGCTTTCAGAACCTCCCTCCTACACCATACACCTGCAACATCCCCCACATTGCCCCCTATCCCCCCGTCATACCCCTTTTTTCCAAATCCAAAAATGCCAAAAACCTTTTTAGCTTATCTAAATACTGTTCACTTAATTTTTCCTGTAAACACCGGGCCCACAAAACCCCTCCTTTTCCCAAAAGCCCCTTGTTCATCGCTTCCTATTCTTGTTTTACTTTAATTCTTTAATAATAACTCTAACAACACTTTCCCAGGTAAACTCAACAGACTTATCCCCTAAATTTTTTTGCACTCTTTTTATCCCCTTTCCTTTTAACAAAGGAACTATGTACTCTCCCCAAAACCCCAGGTACCTTACCCTCTTTTCCCTACATTTATTAAATAATTGCCCCCAACCCCTCCAAAATAATCCCCCCCCTGCTTTTAACATTTTTACTTTATCCCATCAAACCCCGGGTGCCTTACCCCCTTTCTTTTACCTCCTCCAACTTCCCCCACCTCACAACTGGGGCCTTTCCCACTCCTACAAGATTTGTTCCTCCTTGCCCTAGACGAAATACGCTTCCCCATCTTCATCAAAAATTAAACAATTCCCCAAAAAATTTTCCCCCCATCTTCCCAAACCCCTAAATCCCATTTAATAACTCTCCTCTCCTATTTTTAAATGACAAATCCATTTTTCTCTAGGCTTTCTTAACTTGTTAATTCCCCCCCCTTTTTTTTTATTTTCAAAAAAAAATTTTTTTGTAACACCACCCCCCCATTTGCTCTCTTTTACCTGCTTCCCCCACTCCTTAACCTCTCTCTTTTTCCTATAACTCTTCCCCCTGTCACTTTACTTTTTTAAAAACTTTCATAAGCTAACTTTTTCTCCCTTACTACTCTCTTTACATCACATTCCACCAATCGCTCCTCTTCCTCCCGCACCCCCCTTTCCTGTAACCACAAACTTCTGCTGAACACTCTAACACTACATTTTTAAACCTACCCCATACCTCCTCGACCCCATTGCCTATGCTCTCATTAGCCCATCTATCCTCCAATAGCTGTTTATATCTTATCCTAACTGCCTCCTCTTTTAGTTTATAAACCTTCACCTCTCTCTTCCCTGATGCTTCTATTCTCCTTGTATCCCATCTACCTTTTACTCTCAGTGTAGCTACAACTAGAAAGTTATCTGATATATCTGTGGCCCCTCTATAAACATGTACATCCTGAAGTCTACTCAACAGTCTTTTATCTACCAATACATAATCCAACAAACTACTGTCATTTCGCCCTACATCATATCTTGTATACTTATTTATCCTCTTTTTCTTAAAATATGTATTACCTATAACTAAACCCCTTTCTATACAAAGTTCAATCAAAGGGCTCCCATTATCATTTACACCTGGCACCCCAAACTTACCTACCACACCCTCTCTAAAAGTTTCTCCTACTTTAGCATTCAGATCCCCTACCACAATTACTCTCTCACTTGGTTCAAAAGCTCCTATACATTCACTTAACATCTCCCAAAATCTCTCTCTCTCCTCTGCATTCCTCTCTTCTCCAGGTGCATACACGCTTATTATGACCCACTTCTCGCATCCAACCTTTACTTTAATCCACATAATTCTTGAATTTACACATTCATATTCTCTTTTCTCCTTCCATAACTGATCATTCAACATTACTGCTACCCCTTCCTTTGCTATAACTCTCTCAGATACTCCAGATTTAATCCCATTTATTTCCCCCCACCAAAACTCCCCTACCCCCTTCAGCTTTGTTTCGCTTAGGGCCAGGACATCCAACTTCTTTTCATTCATAACATCAGCAATCATCTGTTTCTTGTCATCCGCACTACATCCACGCACATTTAAGCATCCCAGTTTTATAAAGTTTTTCTTCTTCTCTTTTTTAGTAAATGTCTATAGGAGAAGGGGTTACTAGCCCATTGCTCCCGGCATTTTAGTCGCCTCATACGACACGCATGGCTTACGGAGGAAAGATTCTTTTCCACTTCCCCATGGACAATAGAAGAAATAAAGAGGAACAAGAGCTATTTAGAAAAAGGAGAAAAACCTAGATGTATGTATATATATATGCATGTATGTGTCTGTGAAGTGTGACCAAAGTGTAAGTAGGAGTAGCAAGATATCCCTGTTATCTAGCGTGTTTATGAGACAGAAAAAGAAACCAGCAATCCTACCATCATGCAAAACAGTTACAGGTTTCTGTTTCACAGTCATCTGGCAGTAATCTTTTACATACCCTGCCAAATTCATCCACCAACCTCTGCAACTTCTCTTCAGAATCTCCCAAAAGCACCGTGTCATCAGCAAAGAGCAACTGTGACAACTCCCACTTTGTGTTTGATTCTTTATCTTTTAACTCCACACCTCTTGCCAAGATCCTGTCATTCACTTCTCCTACAACCCCATCTATAAATATATTGAACAACCATGGTGACATCACACTTCCTTGTCTAAGGCCTACTTTTACTGGGAAATAATCTCCTTCTCTCCTACATACTCTAACCTGAGCCTCACTATCCTTGTAAAAACTCTTCACTGCTTTCAGTAACCTACCTCCTATACCATACACCTGCAACATCTGCCACATTGCCCCCCTATCCACCCTGTCATATGCTAGATTTTGCATCAAGAGGGCTGCCTTGATACTGTGATCTTATTGCATAATAATACTTTATCTACTAGGTTGGGTTCAGCAGAGTTTACCCGAGGTCGACACGCGTCGACTCCTCCAACTACAATCCCGTACCAATGTGGAACCATGGATGTCAGATGGTGTCTCTCAACTACCAAACAGGAGGTAAATTTTGTTCTTTGGCACTGACACAGTTTCTCATTTCTTAGTTTTGTATGCCAGTTTCTGTACTGATTTAGGCATGAACAGTTGAAATTTGTGCTAATGCTGCACTGATATGCATGTATTTTGAACTTCCTTGTGGTATGTTACAGTGGCTGGCAGTATCTGCTCTGGTACACTTGGCAATATACTGTGTTAATAATTAGTACCAGCTTGCAGTACTCTTACTATGTCAGTGTGGCCAACATGATTACCATGATACTGTGGATGATGTGCTGAGTAATTTAACCAAAAATGTATGCAAAAACACCTATTTTTGAAAATATCTTGTCTAAATAAAACTTGAGAAGAATTTTTCACTGATAAATTCTATTATTTTTTTTTATTTACAGACAAGGCAATGCAGTTGAATGAAGGGTTGTTTCTACAGAATGGGCGGTGTGGTTATGTCTTGCGCCCAGAGTGCCAACATGATCCTAACTATGACCCGTCAAACTTGGAGACGCTCCCCACCACCCACCCCATAAGTCTTTCAGTTAAAGTTAGTCAATATCATTTATGAAGAATAAAAAGGTCACAATACCATGGCTGAAACAATACACAAATAACCCGCACTTAGGAGACAAACTCGTGATGACATTTTGGCTCAACTAGACCATTAAGAAGTAAAACAGAGAAGGAAGAAGAGAAAGGGGTAGAATATATGCAACAATGGAGGCAGGGGCAGGGAGTGGTAAAACTGGAAGAGGTAGTAGTAGTAGTGGTAGAGGTAGAAATAAGGCGGTGGTGGTGATTGTAGTAGTAGTAGTAGCTGTATCAGTTTTATTCCTTACATGCAGCAGGTCATAATTATGCCAAACATTTCAAGCAATGATTATTATTAAGGCTTTCAGATAATTTCTTGTAGTATCATTGCTGTCATATCAATTTTTTTTGTCTGTCACTTTTGACAATATTTGCTCATTGCTGTACATGAAGTGTCTTATAGGCTTCTCTATGACTTTCATTGTAGATTTTTGGCTGTCGTCACCTGAGTAAGCCTGGGAGGGGCTGCATTTCTCCACTGGTTGAAGTAGAGCTTATTGGCTGCGAGTATGACAGTGGCCAGAAATACACCACCAAAGCTGTTCGTAAGTTTTGATCTATTTTTTCTTCTGTATGACAACTTGTGTTGAGCAGAACTTACGTGGAAATCCACTTTATTGTCGCACCAAAAATTTTTTTTAATTGGTTTAATTCACTGGTTATATTCTGGTCATCATACAGTACAGTAGTGTTCATATTAATTGGGACAGTGATGAAATAAGACATTTATTTGGAAAATTAATGTTTATTTGAAAAATACACAGCAATAATATGAAAGATAATTGATTTAATAAGAGATATGACTACCCTTTGCTTTTATAAGCATTGCTACATGCTTTGGCATAGAATTGACCAAGGTTGAATGCATTTTAGGAAGTTCTTTGTCATGGTACCAGGTCCTGATAACAGTAGCAATTACCTTCTCCACAGTTGAACAGTCCTGCATTTGGTTATTACCCATAGATTCTTAATTAGATTGAGGTCAAGAGAGTTTCCAGGCCAATTTAGAATGCTTAGCCCACTTTCTTCAAAGAATATCAGCATTTCTCTGGAAGTGTGGCAGTGATCCTGCTGGAAAATACCTTCACCATCAGGAAAGTCTTTATCCAGTGGGAAACAAATAAGTTGCCAGGAGTGGCTTGTATTTCTCACTGTTCATTGTTCCCTGAACAATCAAGCCATCCAGGGCCTTTAGGAGTAAAACTACCCCAACACATCTTAGGTGGGTGTTTTGGCACTTGTTGAATGTGTCCATTCCGAAGAGGTTCGCCTTTGCTCCATCCCTCTACCACTGATTTGTATCCATGTACTTCAAAATGTGCCATGTCTGATCGAGTGCCCACCGCAGCCATTTTTTCTTCATAGCAGCAGTCAGCAATTGTTTCTTTACTGGTTTTCTGGCAGTTCTGCCAACTTCAAGGAGCCTTTGTCGAACAGTTGAAGAATCAATATTTACACCAGGTGAAGTCAAATCTCTCTGTAAATCTTTGCTGGTTTTCTTGGGATCCTTAACACTATTTCTTATAACTTTGTCATTGTGAGGTGTTGTCTTGCATTTTCTTCCTCATCTTCCTCAGTGCAGCACTTCACAATCACCAGTATCGTCAGCTCTCTTCAGAATCCGACCAACAGTTGACTCTGCTAAGCTCAGATTTTCAGTGGTCTGTCTGATACTCAAATCAGCATGTTTTCTAAGAGCTACAATACTTGCACGCTTCCTAGTTATAACATCCATTGTGAATTTCAGCATAATCATGAATTGAAGGAGAGAATTTGGTGAAACCACGTTCACTCATGGAGCACGCTTGCAGGAATAGCCTTACAGAACAACAGCTGTTGTAGCACTGATGAGAGTCACAGGGTAACACCACAGCTGGATGGTTGCCAGAAGTTGGTAGCAAACTCTTCTGAAAAGAAAAGAACTTGAACTACATGAAGTAAGCCAAAGACGAAGACATATGAGATAATCACAAAGTTTACAAAGAAATAACAAAGTTTACTCCTGTCACAATTAATATGCACACTATAAGATTGTTAAGGGCATCGAGACATGGTTGGAAGAGACTTGAGTCATGGAAGACTTTGAAACTGTTCTGCTTCCTACTATTGGTGTGTCCCCTTTCCTCTGGCTCTGCTGTGTAGATGACATCTTTGCTCTTTGCCTCCATGACTCTAGTCTCTTCCAACCATTTCTTGAGGTCTATATCAGCTTGATTGTGCCTTTATAACAAATTTGTTCTTTACAGATGATAATGGTCTAAACCCTGTGTGGTGCAACAATTTGATATTCCATGTCTACAACCCAGAATGTTGCCTGATACGTTTTGTTGTATATGACGAAGATGTGTTTAGAGAACCTAACCAGATTGGCCAAGCAACTTATCCGGTAAGAGAAGTCTGTAAAAAGCTAAATACTAATGTAATTTTTTCATATTTTAACTGTTACACATGTAGTTTGCAAGGTCTTTCAGAGTATTATTTATGACTGAAATCATTGTAATAAGAACTTCAGTTATTAAAAAAAGTAATCTGTGTTGCTGGCATGATAAATAAATGATAAATACTGTAAATGGTTAGTCAGATTCTTATGTGTAATGTCAGTTTATGTAACAGGAAGTTAAATAACATGAATGAGAAACAAGGCAGCAACCTGTCAACTGTAGATATAGTACTGCGTTTACCAAGTAAGAGGAAGAAGCTCCTAATATAGACTACAGTCTTTATATCCATTAGGAAGAGAGCAAGCAATGTCTGCTTAGGGAGGAAAAAAGATAACTATAGACAGGAACAACTAAATTGCTAATAAGTCAGTTATATGATTATCTAAGGCAGTATTTAAGAATGACAAAAATCATTTTACTGATATTGTATAAATACAATAATCACAATTTAGGTCTTAATTATTCAAATAAATGTTACCTTGATTCTCTAAGATGTCATATTATATTAATACCTGGGTCTTGATGCTGGGAAAGGGCTTTTTTACCAATATATCTGACTATCTCTTATTCTGCAAGAGCTGTATGACTGGTTTAGTGCTTTCCCACCCTGATGTTGATGTTGATTATAATAGTAATAATATTAGAAGATGCCATCATCCAGTTATGAATGTTTAAGATACTAGATATTGTACTACTTTAGTCCCATTTAACCCGTAAACGGTCCAAGCAGATCTACGTTCATGTGTAGTGCTACAAAAGTAGATCTACGTTTTTTTGCATATTTTCAAATATAACAAAAAAATAAAAGTAGATCAAAGTATTTTAACACATTTTCAAATGTAAAAAACAAAAAGATCTACTTTTTTATATACTTTCAAATGTTGAAAATACGTATATATACGTTTGGACCGTTTACGGGTTAAGGGTTGTTACAGCATTTAGCTGAATCTAAGTAGTGGTGGTAGATAAACACACTGTTGTCAGAACGTTCACTTTTGGGCTATACGTACTTTTGATATACTTTTAAAGGGTTTTGAGGGTTTTCTAACTCCCAGAGCCCAGCCCTAGGCCAGGCTTGTCTGGGTCAAATAATAAATTAAGTCTAATATATAAATACAGTCTCCATGGGGAAGTGGAGAAGAATCCTTCCTCTCTGTAGCCATGCGTGTCATAAGAGGCAAGTAAAATGCCGGGAACAACAGGCTAGTAATTCCTTTTTTACTTGTTTTTCTAGTCACCCTGCCTCAGTGGGAGATGGCTGTGTTAAAAACAATATGGTACTTAAAATATGACAGCTGTTGACTGAGCAAGGCTGAATGTATCTTCCTTTTCATGTTTCTGCATCTTGGTGAGAAATGGTTGATGTGGTAAAAAGATTTAATGATTAATAACTTTAAATGTAAATAATGGTTTTTCAACCTATTAACTGAGGAAACTGCAAATGCTGTCACCATTAATTACAATACAGTCTTGAGTGTAGAAAGGAGCTGGTATGTAGGAATGCATAATGAATGTTTATATATATATTTTGAAGGATCAGTTATGGAAGGAGAAAAGAGAATATGAATGTGTAAATTCAAGAATTGTGTGGATTAAAGTAAAGGTTGGATGCGAGAAGTGGGTCATAATAAGCGTGTATGCACCTGGAGAAGAGAGGAATGTAGAGGAGAGAGAGAGAGAGATTTTGGGAGACGTTAAGTGAATGTATAGGAACCTTTGAACCAAGTGAGAGAGTAATTGTGGTAGGGGACCTGAATGCTTAAGTAGGAGAAACTTTTAGAGAGGGTGTGGTAGGTAAGTTTGGGGTGCCAGGTGTAAATGATAATGGGAGCCCTTTGATTGAACTTTGTATAGAAAGGGGTTTAGTTATAGGTAATGCATATTTTAAGAAAAAGAGGATAAATAAGTATACAAGGTATGATGTAGGGCAAAATGACAGTAGTTTGTTGGATTATGTATTGGTAGATAAAAGACTGTTGAGTAGACTTCAGGATGTACATGTTTATAGAGGGGCCACAGATATATCAGATCACTTTCTAGTTGTAGCTACACTGAGAGTAAAAGGTAGATGGGATACAAGGAGAACAGAAGCATCAGGGAAGAGAGAGGTGAAGGTTTATAAACTAAAAGAGGAGACAGTTAGGGTAAGATATAAACAGCTATTGGAGGATAGATGAGCTAATGAGAGCATAGGCAATGGGGTCGAAGAGGTATGGGGTAGGTTTAAATATGTAGTGTTAGTGTTCAGCAGAAGTTTGTGGTTACAGGAAAGTAGGTGCGGGAGGGAAGAGGAGCGATTGGTGGAATGATGATGTAAAGAGAGTAGTAAGGGAGAAAAAGTTAGCATATGAGAAGTTTTTACAAAGTAGAAGTGATGCAAGGAGGGAAGAGTATATGGAGAAAAAGAGAGAGGTTAAGAGAGTGGTGAAGCAATATAAAAAGAGAGCAAATGAGAGAGTGGGTGAGATGTTATCAACAAATTTTGTTGAAAATAAGAAAAAGTTTTGGAGTGAGATTAACAAGTTAAGGAAGCCTAGAGAACAAATGGATTTGCCAGTTAAAAATAGGAGAGGAGAGTTATTAAATGGAGAGTTAGAGGTATTGGGAAGATGGAGGGAATATTTTGAGGAATTGTTAAATGTTGATGAAGATAGGGAAGCTGTGATTTCATGTATAGGGCAAGGAGGAATAACATCTTGTAGGAGTGAGGAAGAGCCAGTTGTGAGTGTGGGGGAAGTTCGTGAGGCAGTAGGTAAAATGAAAGGGGGTAAGGCAGCCGGGATTGATGGGATAAAGATAGAAATGTTAAAAGCAGGTGGGGATATAGTTTTGGAGTGGTTGGTGCAATTATTTAATAAATGTATGGAAGAAGGTAAGGTACCTAGGGATTGGCAGAGAGCATGCATAGTTCCTTTGTATAAAGGCAAAGGGGACAAAAGAGAGTGCAAAAATTATAGGGGGATAAGTCTGTTGAGTATACCTGGTAAAGTGTATGGTAGAGTTATTATTGAAAGAATTAAGAGTAAGACGGAGAATAGGATAGCAGATGAACAAGGAGGCTTTAGGAAAGGTAGGGGGTGTGTGGACCAGGTGTTTACAGTGAAACATATAAGTGAACAGTATTTAGATAAGGCTAAAGAGGTCTTTGTGGCATTTATGGATTTGGAAAAGGCGTATGACAGGGTGGATAGGGGGGCAATGTGGCAGATGTTGCAGGTGTATGGTGTAGGAGGTAGGTTACTGAAAGCAGTAAAGAGTTTTTACGAGGATAGTGAGGCTCAAGTTAGAGTATGTAGGAAAGAGGGAAATTATTTCCCAGTAAAAGTAGGCCTTAGACAAGGATGTGTGATGTCACCGTGGTTGTTTAATATATTTATAGATGGGGTTGTAAGAGAAGTAAATGCGAGGGTCTTGGCAAGAGGCGTGGAGTTAAAAGATAAAGAATCACACACAAAGTGGGAGTTGTCACAGTTGCTCTTTGCTGATGACACTGTGCTCTTGGGAGATTCTGAAGAGAAGTTGCAGAGATTGGTGGATGAATTTGGTAGGGTATGCAAAAGAAGAAAATTAAAAGTGAATACAGGAAAGAGTAAGGTTATGAGGATAACAAAAATATTAAGTGATGAAAGATTGGATATCAGATTGGAGGGAGAGAGTATGGAGGAGGTGAATGTATTCAGATATTTGGGAGTGGACGTGTCAGCGGATGGGTCTATGAAAGATGAGGTGAATCATAGAATTGATGAGGGGAAAAGGGTGAGTGGTGCACTTAGGAGTCTGTGGAGACAAAGAACTTTGTCCTTGGAGACAAAGAGGGGAATGTATGAGAGTATAGTTTTACCAACGCTCTTATATGGGTGTGAAGCATGGGTGATGAATGTTGCAGCGAGGAGAAGGCTGGAGGCAGTGGAGATGTCATGTCTGAGGGCAATGTGTGGTGTGAATATAATGCAGAGAATTCGTAGTTTGGAAGTTAGGAGGAGGTGCGGGATTACCAAAACTGTTGTCTAGAGGGCTGAGGAAGGGTTGTTGAGGTGGTTCAGACATGTAGAGAGAATGGAGCGAAACAGAATGACTTCAAGAGTGTATCAGTCTGTAGTGGAAGGAAGGCGGGGTAGGGGTCGGCCTGGGAAAGGTTGGAGGGGGTAAAGGAGGTTTTGTGTGTGAGGGGCTTGGACTTCCAGCAGGCATGAGTGAGCGTGTTTGATAGGAGTGAATTGAGACAAATGGTTTTTAATACTGACGTGCTGTTGGAGTGTGAGCAAAGTAACATTTATGAAGGGGTTCAGGGAAACCGGCAGGCCAGACTTGAGTCCTGGAGATGGGAAGTACAGTGCCTGCACTCTGAAGGAGGGGTGTTAATGTTGCAGTTTAAAAACTGTAGTGTAAAGCACCCTTCTGGCAAGACAGTGATGGAGTGAATGATGGTGAAAGTTTTTCTTTTTCGGGCCACCCTGCCTTGGTGGGAATCGGCCAGTGTGATAATAATAATAAAAAAAAAAAAAAGCCTAATGGGTAATGATAAAATTTAATCTAGTATTTCTTAAAGAGTAAGAGACAGGCATTAGGAATAGTAAAAATAAGGAGGATAAGTGAATTAAAATTTTATGAACTGATTTACAGCACTGTAGTATAAGGCAGAATTAATAAAATGGGTTAGATGAAAATTTGATTAGATGTGACTAGAACATAGTTGGAGCATATAACATGTGCTCAAGTAGAGAGTCATATTTGTTAATGTATAATGAAGTAAGCAACACCATTCTTGAGGGAGACAAATGTAGGAACAGATGACAATGACTGCTATGACTATGACTATTACAGCTGTTGTAGGGGGAGAGAAAGAACGAACTGAGAGACGTTGACACAGAGTGTACTTTGCATTTGTGCTTCAATATCACTTGACAAATAAACTCAGTTGGACCCATCACAACAAAAACGTTTTGGAGTCAAGAGGTGGCAATAATCAAGAGATGCAATAATCAGGTATGAGTAAATAGGTAATTGGTTTCAAAGCCGTATAGCTATTAAAAACTTTGAGAATTACCATAAATATTTTTTTATCATAAAGTTGCGTTACTTGTCTTCATGCAGGTAACATGTATACGAGATGGTTACCGCAGTGTGCCACTGAAGAATGCATATTCTGAGGAGATTGAATTGGCATCCTTACTTATTCACCTCAAGAAAAACAGTGATGTAAGTATAGTATCTGATTAAAATATTCATGTGCATTATACATTTGATTATTACTGAAAAAAATTATAATGGATAAACCCCCAAGAATAAAGTAGGAACCTGCTTGAAGACTTGTGTGTACAGTATTTAACTACATTCATTCCTCCAAAAAATTATGGTGAAATATTGATTACCAGTAAATATAATTATAGTTTTCCTTCACTATTATCATTTATTGCCTATCAATGAGGTACTGGATCAGTAGCATTTGTGGTTGAGAACTTTTATGCTGCGACTTCTTTAAACACACTTGTCAAAAGTTGAATTAATCTTGAAGACTACTGAGCTTGTAACTTCCCATTGTCTTGTGCTCTCCAATTTAGTAGTGAAAAAACTGACGTTTCACACTACGTTAATTAATATTAGTTTCATGAAAAGCCCATGTAATTTCTCATTTATGCAAGCCACATGGGGGTGGAAATCTTTAGCTCTAGATATTTTACACCTTTGTGCGTCGTCAGGAGCTATGCAGTGTTGCTAGACTAGCAACAAATAGGAAAAATCCTCTCTGAGGCAAGGCAGAAACTTATCAGCTGCAGCCCAGGCAGAGAGTGCCTAGAAAGACAGGCAGTTAGTGATGATCAATGTTTTCTTCTTTGGGCCACCTTGATGTGATGTTAAAAGGCACTGTGCGTGAGCCAGACGAATATACCAGGTACTGCTAGTTATGAAGTATGTACTTATGGCAGTACTGTAGCAATATTAGAAAAAAATACAAAAATTGTTTCCAAAAAGTACACAGTTGTTACAATTTTTTTTATTTTATGATATAGAGTAACAGCATAAAAACTAAAAGAAATTAATTTTATTTTTTTGATTGGGTCCATATATTTATTAATTTTAATGATTACAGGATGATTATCAGACACTGTTGAGACTCAGAGCACAAATCTTAGAAATGCTGGATGCATCAAAACACAAGCAAGATGAAGAAAAAGTCACAATTCTAGAGAGAAAATTAAGCACACTAGATATTGATATTCAAAGATACAAGGCAAATTAATAACAAAGAAAGTCTGATGTTGAAATTCTGAAGCCGAGCATCACTACCTCATCTCTCACTTGTAAGTCACTTTAAAGTATTAAATCTAAATTTAATACTCAAATTCAAAGAAACATTTGATATGGTATTTTTATAAGCAGCTTCGTATCCCGTCTTATAATGGTTAGGAAACTGAGCATTTGATACTGCCTTGATTCATAACTGTTCAAGTATCTGGCTGACTCAGTAACTCTTATTTGTGAGCATTTTTTCCTGCATATCCTTCTTTTGTACTGCCTAGCCAATGTGTGGGGATGCCAGCCTGGCACTGCCGTTCTGATACCCTTGTTTACTTGCTGATGTTCAAGGTTGAAAGAATGCATGTTGGCTTATTTCTCCCAATCACTGACATTCTGCAGGGCCAGAGTATATTTTGCCTTGCTTAGTTCTGAAAATATACCACAGTTGTATATTGAACACGAATGTCTTAAAATTTGCAGTGGCAGCCTTAATCTCCTAATTGTCAATTTTGAAACTTCCTTACTCTTAAACCCTATTCACAGGCTTCAGAATCCAAAAATTCCTCTAGCTTCAGGGTCATCCTAGAAACCTAAACTCAGAGCTTTGCCCCTGAACTTTGCTTCTGGCTCGAGCTTGAGGATCGAGCCTCTGTCACTCCTTGCATTAATGACTTGTACAGGTTTTTGCACTTCATGAAATGCAGCCCCAAGTTTGAGCTACTCTTAACCATGAAATGCAGCCCCAAGTTTGAGCTACTCTTAACCCTTAAACTGTCCAAACGTAGATCTACGTCCATGTGCAGGGGGCTCCGAACATAGATGTATTTTTTTTTACATGCTTTCAAATGGGGAAAATCAAGGTCGGAGCACTACACACGTGAACGTAGATCTACATTTGGACAGTTCAAGAGTTAAGATGCCTAGCTTTTAATATTTTAACCCTCCCTCTCCCACTTTTTGATTCTGTAGACAAGTGTCAGTCCTTAATAAGAAGGGGTAGGTCAACAAAAGTATAACTTTCAAATTAAAGGTCAGTATTGTCAGAGCAGTAACTTAATTAGTTTTTATTATTTTTACATTTAGGACATGCTCTGGATTAATTTTTATGGAAATATTTGTATGTTTCCCTCTTTATAAGCCTAATATATAGGCTGGCAAATTGATATTATTATTCTCTCTTCAGGAACAGAGAAGCAGCAGTGACAATGATGGTTGTAACCTGCTTAACAGTGTCATTAGTGAGTTTTAACTGCCATATATTGTCAGGGAGGCGAGCCTCAGGTAAGCCACTGCTGCTGACATTAGTAAACTCTGTAAACTATGGCAGTGCTCACCACTCTCACGTGGGTCGCCTTTAAAGAATTAACGTTACCAACTGCTAACAGTATAAACAGTGAACAGAGTACAGATGTCTGTTCACCTATAATACTGTGAATGCTCTCCCCACCTTACATTCTCTCCCTCTGCTGCACAGAGGTGGCATTGCTAACAATTGTAAATTCTTGTCCATCCTAAGAATGCTGTCCCACCCTGTAGTACTGTAAGAAGTCTCCTTGTCGCATTCTTTTCCTCTACAGTCCAGTTGATGTCTCTTGGCATCATCATCATTAGAGGTCAAGTCTCTTCCATCCATTTGCCACAGAGCCTAGCCAAACTGTATTTGTAGTTATCTACTCCATCCAGCCCAGATGTGCTTAATGTTCATTATATAACATGTGAATAGCTGGTTTTATGTTGCCAGTATGGAGTCCATATTTTCAAGAAATTTGCCCAAAGTCTGGGATTGGATTGGATAGATTAAATTTTAAAAGCACTGTGATCCATCAGTGATCCAGTACTTTGACCATTAAAAGAATAAATACTGGTACAATTTTAATTTTTTAAATAAAAATTATAAGTAAAATTGAATAAATTAGCTCATTAAAAGAATCATTAGATTAGTTACATAAAAATCATTGTCTAACATTTCTCAGATATCCTTTCAACTACCAGGGCAATTAAAAAAATCCTATAATTATAAAAAATTCCTCGATCTTGAACATAATGTTAGTGTTTTGCAGCTGCTGACACAGTACAGGTTGCATAGAAAAGATACACAACACACTTCTAATCAATAACAGTGAGCTAGCAGTGTGTGCTCTAGCCTCAGTCAACAAAAATTTGATTTGTGATTCTTGTTAGAGGACCATATGCAGTCTTTCATCCTTAATACTTTACAGTATTTAGGATTAAAGAAGTCCTACAGGGCATGCCATTTTCTCTTTGCATATTTCTGAATGTTGCCCATTAAATTACCAGTGCAATAGTCTGCTAAACAGGAGACCTGATATGGCATTCCTAGGCCATCAGACTCGTTACCTAAATGCATACATGCCAAAAAAAACAAAAAGGTTATACAGTACATTCTTTTGCTTAGAATGAACACAAGTCATATATTCTTGAATATTTTTTCTAAAGCTACACAAAAGCAAAGTGTACTAATGCCTTCAGTGCACTTTGTGAATCAAACTACAATTGTAAATTTTCTGTGAGGAATTTAAATAATCACTGTAAGTGCCACCAGGATGGCATGCAGTTCAGCAATAAAAGGTGTAGGATTTCACTGGTAGATTTGCACAGTGAGAATCCCCTGCAGTAATACAGCAAAATCTGTGCCATTCTAACACTGAGTCATCTGCCAAAAAACTTAATCTGTGATGCATTATACTAATTATCCTCTTGCTAACAACATCTAGTCTCTAAAATCACCCAGAGAGAAAGGGGTAGGAAACCAATCTCGTATGTTCCTTCCAGCCCACATACAGTTAAGCAATAGTAGCCATGCTTCATATACAGAACAGCTTGGATACCTTGTTAAATAACTTCATGTCCTGTCACAAAAATTATTGTTAGTAGATTTACATGGAGTGTATCTGATACTGAACATGTACTATACCGTAATCAAAGTTCTTCACGGAAGAGAGCCAGATCACCAGCGTCCACACAAAACTTGCTGGAGATTCTGAATGCCTCCCTGCACTTCTGGATGCTCAGAAATGACCTGCCAGTCATAATAAAGTCTACACCTACACCATAAAGCTTTTAATCTGAACATGGTCCTGCAGTCAGCTTTTTGATAGTAAGATTCCACTTTTAAGTTGTTCAATTAGTGTTGTATCCATTTTGAATTTTAAGGAGATAACTTCCTCAAGACTTTAGTCTTCTTCCAAAAATTTCATTTAATAACTATTAAGAAATAATCATACTTTATATTATTATTATAATCAAAACTAAGTGCTAAACCTACAAGGGTCATACAGCCCTTCATCATACTTTATAACACATGGAAACTTGGGTTTCTTCCTCGATCTATTACAGTGCTCAATCATGGCATTCTGCTCTGAAAATTTGTAACCTATCATTTCAGCTGATTTTTTATCTACAGCCACCTGCGGACAGCTTCACACTACCTCAGGGAAAGATGCCATCATAAATAGCAAGATTATCCACATAAATATATAATTCCAAAATAACAGCCACAATTATTTATGGCATCCATGGAACAGTTGATATTGGAAATACAGTAAACCCTCAGTATTATGAACCACTATGCACCAGATTTTAGATAAAATGGACCAAAAATCTGGCCAGACAAAGGCTTGGCGAGTGTCTGGTAGAATTATCAATGCAATGGACCAAATTTGCTGCATCGCATATGCCCAGTAGTAATACTGCTGAACTTGATCTGGTCTGCTTTATCACAAGTTTGTTTGGTATGAGCTGCTTCCAAGACCTGTCAGTTCTTTTTGTTCTGAGCAAGAATGGCCACTGGTTCAGCCTGCATCAGTTTATTATTGTCTGCTCATGCTCACATACTATCATTTGGTCTCCAATTTTACCTTGATTTGCAGTGTTTATCATTACCAGTACAGTGCTATTAACAAATGCCTTTTAAAGCAAGGGATGGTGCCAAGAAGCATATGACTGAATGTTAAAGCAGAAGCTTTAATGAAGAAGGTAGGGTCAGGCATCTCAGTGACATGGGAAGTTTGTTGTAGCAAAGCAAATGGTGTCTGGTACTGTATATAGAGTATGTTCAAATATGCTGCAGGTGTTTTAATGTTTGTGCTGTTCAGCTTCCCTGTTCTGCAAAAACCCAACAAGGTACATGGGTATAGAATTTGGGGCAAGGAATGGGTGGCTTTGGCACTACAGTAATCGCTAATGCTTGATTAACCTAAAAACTGATGACAAGGCTGATAGTGCACCTACAGACAAAGTTGAGCCAGTCATGCTAATGTTAAATGATAGGGCCCTCCTTCACTATCTCAACTGTATGATACATGAGAGACTGGTCTGTTTTGGTGATTGCAGCCTTTCAACACTCATTTGAGCAAGAACACCTGGCCATAAGCTTATTGTGCTGCACTATTGCTGATAATATGCACCGCTTGAAACTGATGGCAATGTGCTTTATAGGATTGTTTGAAAATATTGCCCCTCAGTTATTTCAAGGGTAAGAAAGACTGGTTTGACAGGGATGTATTTGCTGATGTATTTTCCACTTTTTAATGTATAACACAAGCACCAGCTGGAGGTCCTTAAATTTGAGTCTGGTAAAGTCAGTCGAGACACTCTTGCTTGATAATACATCTGTTCATTCAAGGGCTGGAAGAATTAAATCAGTAGTAATGGTAAAATTAAGGGTATTTTTCTTCCCTCTAATATCACCTCCCTTATGCAACCTGTGGATCAGGGAATTATTGCAGTCTTCAAGAGGCTCTTCTAGTCCAGATACTCAAGATGAATTTTTTTTTTTTTCAACAAGTCGGCCGTCTCCCACCGAGGCAGGGTGACCCAAAGAGAAAGAAAATCCCCAAAAAGAAAATACTTTCATCATCATCATTCAACACTTTCACCTCGCTCGCACATAATCACTGTTTTTGCAGAGGTGCCCAGAATACAACAGCTTAGAAGTATATACGTATAAAAATACACAATATATATTAGTAGAAATTGGGAGGAAGATTTGGAACAAGATACCATGGGTGAATGTACTTTAGATATCAAGAACTATAACCTGAAGAATGCCTCTTCAACCTTGTTGTGTCATGGATGGAAATGAAAACGACTATATTAGCTAGTGGTTGGAAAAACTTTTAAATAATGTTCATAGTTTGATTTTGATAGGTTTGAGGTAATAATTTTCATCGTAACCTGCTGAGGGCAGGAAAAATAGACATTGGAGTCAGATGTGATTGAATGTTGAGTGATGCAGAACTTGCAGACAAGACTATTTATTGGCATCCTCTCCCCGGTAGATAAGGATAGTGGTGATGACAACAGGGATTGTGGTTACTGAGTTGTCAACAGCAGATGTGATTGATGTTCTTATCACAGATTTGATCCAAAGGAAGAGCAACTTCAATTGCTTGTATCAAGAGTTCATCACTATCAAAACAGCCCTTTAAGGGGAGGTTGAATGTGGTGGACTACTGTGCACACGACTGTTTTCTCCACCTGGTGAGTGTTAAGAACACAACTCAAACTCATCTTTAGGCATTCCCATACTTTTTGACAATTATTACTACATTCATGGGAAGAGTACTGAACTCAGAGGGGTCATACAGCACCAGGGAAATGGGAGGCAGTATGTTTTGATCCAAGGAAAGGTAGGGTAGTTGTAATTCTTTTGATCAAAAACCTTATTTAGAAAATGTCCTTCCTTCAGTTAGTGTGCCTTGATGCTGATGAAGAGCTCTGTATAATCCTCCGGGTTTAGCGCTTCCCCTTTGATTATAATAATGATGATGAAGAGCTCCCATTCCCCAAGAGCTATATGGCTTCTAGCTAAGAGTTCAATCTCCCTCAAAAAATATAAAAAGAATAATGTACACCACTCTCATGTTTGAGCCAGCTGGCTACACTGCCCTCACACAGTCTAGTGGGTGAGGCTACTAACACACCACTGCACACTTCTACTCATTTTACACAATTTTAATTCTAAAACTTTTGGTAAGTTGTCAGATGTTACAGTACTCTTATCTTTCCACAGCTTCTTTCAGTTTGGCAGTATAGGTTATTGTTTTATAACCAGGCCAGCTTCACTGTGGCATAATTAGAAATGTTGCTCTCTAAAACACTCAAGTTACTAGCCCTCAGGTCAGAAATGTCAACTAACTCTACAACATTTTCCTACCAATATTTGAGATACTGAATAATTTAGCATAGACTGTTTCATCCACAAGCAACCTGGGAGGTAGTTAACATAATGCCAGTTTCACAAACGGTTATTTTCAGATTTTAATCATTTAGGGTCACGAAAGCTACAGAGTACACACAAAGGGTTAGCAGTAGTGTCTTCCATGTTCATACACAGAACCAATCACCAAAAGTCACTATCACAGAGGAACTAGTAGTGTGTTGCCTAATCAGTCACAGAAAACTCTTCAATCTGTCTGTATTTCCCTATCTTTCATGGGAAATTTCCCGATGTTGATGGGCTCTTGACCCAAGGAATTGAACCAGCCTTCCCCTTCCATGGATCAAAACCTGAATGCCTCCAATTCATCTACATGTTGTACGACTCCTATAGGTTTATTACTCTCCCGTGAATATGATACAGTAGACTGTTTCCTATCGGGGGTCCAACTACTGAGTTTCTAACACCTCTCCATTCACATTTTGCATCCTGTTTCCAGCTTTCACTGTGAAGGTGCAACATTTGTGCCAGCACAGGCAGGATATTTACCCACCCATATGCCTCAGACCTCCATTGTATTATGGTAGACTTGGCTTGTTTACACTCACACTACCACCAGCTACCTTGTGGGTGGGTACCACACCATAACTTTCTCCTGTATTATCATTCCATTTCTGATTTTTTCATCACCTTGTCTCATGGCTGAATGTTAATCATGGCATCAGTAAGGAATGTACTAGTGATACTGAAGGTGCCAAGTAGTAGTTAAGAATAAAATTATGACTAGTGAAGAAAATTGAGGTGATGGACATGTTCAGAGGTGGTGCAGTGTAGCACTTGGGGAATGGGAGGCCTTCAGATTTGATCCAAGGATGAGAATGATTAATCTGCTTCTTTGGATCATGAGACCCCTCACTGTACAATGTAAATTCTGCTTAGATAGTACTTTAAGGAAATCTTTTAACTTATTATAATTACAAATCAGTTAAGCCCACGTGGGTTATGCACTGTCTTTTTAAATATTTTAGATATTTATATTTTATTATTATTTTTTTTTTTTTATTATCACACCGGCCGATTCCCACCAAGGCAGGGTGGCCCGAAAAAGAAAAACTTTCACCATCATTCACTCCATCACTGTCTTGCCAGAAGGGTGCTTTACACTACAGTTTTTAAAACTGCAACATTAACACCCCTCCTTCAGAGTGCAGGCACTGTACTTCCCATCTCCAGAACTCAAGTCCGGCCTGCCGGTTTCCCTGAATCCCTTCATAAATGTTACTTTGCTCACACTCCAACAGCACGTCAAGTATTAAAAACCATTTGTCTCCATTCACTCCTATCAAACACGCTCACGCATGCCTGCTGAAGTCCAAGCCCCTCGCACACAAAACCTCCTTTACCCCCTCCCTCCAACCCTTCCTAGGCCGACCCCTACCCCGCCTTCCTTCCACTACAGACTGATACACTCTTGAAGTCATTCTGTTTCGCTCCATTCTCTCTACATGTCCGAACCACCTCAACAACCCTTCCTCAGCCCTCTGGACAACAGTTTTGGTAATCCCGCACCTCCTCCTAACTTCCAAACTACGAATTCTCTGCATTATATTCACACCACACATTGCCCTCAGACATGACATCTCCACTGCCTCCAGCCTTCTCCTCGCTGCAACATTCATCACCCACGCTTCACACCCATATAAGAGCGTTGGTAAAACTATACTCTCATACATTCCCCTCTTTGCCTCCAAGGACAAAGTTCTTTGTCTCCACAGACTCCTAAGTGCCACCACTCACTCTTTTTCCCTCATCAATTCTATGATTCACCTCATCTTTCATAGACCCATCCGCTGACACGTCCACTCCCAAATATCTGAATACGTTCACCTCCTCCATACTCTCTCCCTCCAATCTGATATTCAATCTTTCATCACCTAATCTTTTTGTTATCCTCATAACCTTACTCTTTCCTGTATTCACCTTTAATTTTCTTCTTTTGCACACCCTACCAAATTCATCCACCAATCTCTGCAACTTCTCTTCAGAATCTCCCAAGAGCACAGTGTCATCAGCAAAGAGCAGCTGTGACAACTCCCACTTTGTGTGTGATTCTTTATCTTTTAACTCCACGCCTCTTGCCAAGACCCTCGCATTTACTTCTCTTACAACCCCATCTATAAATATATTAAACAACCACGGTGACATCACACATCCTTGTCTAAGGCCTACTTTTAAATGGGAAAAAATTTCCCTCTTTCCTACATACTCTAACTTGAGCCTCACTATCCTCGTAAAAACTCTCACTGCTTTCAGTAACCTACCTCCTACACCATACACTTGCAACATCTGCCACATTGCCCCCTATCCACCCTGTCATACGCCTTTTCCAAATCCATAAATGCCACAAAGACCTCTTTAGCCTTATCTAAATACTGTTCACTTATATGTTTCACTGTAAACACCTGGTCCACACACCCCCTACCTTTCCTAAAGCCTCCTTGCTCATCTGCTATCCTATTCCCGTCTTACTCTTAATTCTTTCAATTATAACTCTACCAATACACTTTACCAGGTACACTCAACAGACTTATCCCCCTATAATTTTTGCACTCTCTTTTATCCCCTTTGCCTTTATACAAAAGGGAACTATGCATGCTCTCTGCCAATCCCTAGGTACCTTACCCTCTTCCATACATTTATTAAATAATTGCACCAACCACTCCAAAACTATATCCCCACCTGCTTTTAACATTTCTATCTTTATCCCATCAATCCCGGCTGCCTTACCCCCTTTCATTTTACCTACTGCCTCACGAACTTCCCCCACACTCACAACTGGCTCTTCCTCACTCCTACAAGATGTTATTCCTCCTTGCCCTATACACGAAATCACAGCTTCCCTATCTTCATCAACATTTAACAATTCCTCAAAATATTCCTTCCATCTTCCCAATACCTCTAACTCTCCATTTAATAACTCTCCTCTCCTATTTTTAACTGACAAATCAATTTGTTCTCTAGGCTTTCTTAACTTGTTAATCTCACTCCAAAACTTTTTCTTATTTTCAACAAATTTGTTGATAACATCTCACCCACTCTCTCATTTGCTCTCTTTTTACATTGCTTCACCACTCTTCTTAACCTCTCTCTTTTTCTCCATATACTCTTCCCTCCTTGCATCACTTCTACTTTGTAAAAACTTCTCATATGCTAACTTTTTCTCCCTTACTACTCTCTTTACATCTCATTCCACCAATCGCTCCTCTTCCCTCCTGCACCCACTTTCCTGTAACCACAAACTTCTGCTGAACACTCTAACACTACATTTTTAAACCTACCCCATACCTCTTCGACCCCATTGCCTATGCTCTCATTAGCCCATCTATCCTCCAATAGCTGTTTATATCTTACCCTAACTGCCTCCTCTTTAGTTTATAAACCTTCACCTCTCTCTTCCCTGATGCTTCTATTCTCCTTGTATCCCATCTACCTTTTACTCTCAGTGTAGCTACAACTAGAAAGTGATCTGATATATCTGTGGCCCCTCTATAAACATGTACATCCTGAAGTCTACTCAACAGTCTTTTATCTACCAATACATAATCCAACAAACTACTGTCATTTCGCCCTACATCATATCGTGTATACTTATTTATCCTCTTTTTCTTAAAATAATGTATTACCTATAACTAAACCCCTTTCTATACAAAGTTCAATCAAAGGGCTCCCATTATCATTTACACCTGGCACCCCAAACTTACCTACCACACCCTCTCTAAAAGTTTCTCCTACTTTAGCATTCAAGTCCCCTACCACAATTACTCTCTCACTTGGTTCAAAGGCTCCTATACATTCACTTAACATCTCCCAAAATCTCTCTCTCTCCTCTGCATTCCTCTCTTCTCCAGGTGCATACACGCTTATTATGACCCACTTCTCGCATCCAACCTTTACTTTAATCCACATAATTCTTGAATTTACACATTCATATTCTCTTTTCTCCTTCCATAACTGATCATTTAACATTACTGCTACCCCTTCCTTTGCTCTAACTCTCTCAGATACTCCAGATTTAATCCCATTTATTTCCCCCCACTGAAACTCTCCTACCCCTTCAGCTTTGTTTCGCTTAGGGCCAGGACATCCAACTTCTTTTCATTCATAACATCAGCAATCATCTGTTTCTTGTCATCCGCACTACATCCACGCACATTTAAGCAACCCAGTTTTATAAAGTTTTTCTTCTTCTCTTTTTTAGTAATTGTATACAGGAGAAGGGGTTACTAGCCCATTGCTCCCGGCATTTTAGTCGCCTCATACGACACGCATGGCTTACGGAGGAAAGATTCTTTTCCACTTCCCCATGGACAATAGAAGAAATAAAAAAGAACAAGAGCTATTTAGAAAAAGGAGAAAAACCTAGATGTATGTATATATATATATGCATGTGCGTGTCTGTGAAGTGTGACCAAAGTGTAAGTAGGAGTAGCAAGATATCCCTGTTATCTTAGCGTGTTTATGAGACAGAAAAAGAAACCAGCAATCCTACCATCATGCAAAACAGTTACAGGTTTTTGTTTCACAGTCATCTGGCAGGACGGTAGTACTTCCCTGGGTGGTTGCTGTCTACCAACCTACTACCTACATATTTTATAATTACAATAATTTGTTTTAATGGTGGGGTCTTTAGTCTTATTTCATTTTTTATTGGAATGCAAGCAACATGTTGCAAGACTGCAACTAAGTTGCAGTCTTGCAACATATTACTTGCTCCAGTACTGTGAAAAACTGCACAGTTTCCTGCCACCTTGGGTGGTGAATTTGCAGTCACTGTATTGAAAGTGGCTTGAATGGCCAGATGTGTTGTAGCTTGCAATTTGGGAAATCTCTCCTCTATGCCTAACCACTAAATACCCTTACCACAGAAAGAACCCAGCTTCAGGAAGGACAAACCATGGGTTTTGTGGCATGGTGTGGCAAAAAGATGGTCACACCTGGCCATCTCTCATTATTTAATAAATATGCTAAGGTTTACCAAAATACCGTTATTGCATTTTTAAGTGTGTAGTCAGTGTATTACAAGTCACATTTTTAAATCTAGGGTAATTAAATCTTTAATGACCCTGAACAACATTGAATTGGATGATTGTAACCTAAATGACAGGGACAACAGCTGGGACATAACAAGCATGGATAACTGATCATCTACCAGTATATTGTAAAAAAAAAAAAAAAAATCTGGATTTATTATACAGGCACAACAATTTAACTATAATTGTCATATTTTTCTTGATAAATGTGAGGTTTTATTTTATAACTGCAATATTACTTGTGTGTTAGCATGTACTTGTTATGCTAGTTGTGTGGCCCAGCAGTGTGTACACATTTGTACTTAGTGTAGTATGACGCAAGGCCAGATATTCAATGCTCATTGTTTCTACCATTTTTTTTTATGAGAGAAACATTGTTTTACTTTTATAATTAATAAAAAATTATATTACTGTTTATTTGTTTTAACAATTTTGGTCTGTGTTGAGAACTGTAAATACTTGTACAGCAGGTTAGGTTCCAGGGTACTGCTGTAAAGTGAATCATAGCCTTATTTTTTTTCACTTTCAAATGCATATAAAAACCTGATATGTTTCCACTATCATGTAGTAAGTGAGCAATATAGCTAGGCCTAAAAAATACACACATTACTTACCATAAAATATTGTTGTCCTTAGCTTATAGTGAGTGATGGTTGTATTTATTGTAGGAAGTCTGAATAAATGAAGAATGGGTATATTGAAAACCGCTGTATTAGAAAAATGCTCTGAAAGTAAGTGCTGTAAAGCGGGACCCTCCTGTACTGCGTAGAGCCTTGAAACTAAAGATTACTGATGGAAATTTAACAAAACCAAAGATGAAAGACTTTGGCTTTAATTATTATTGAGTGAAGGCTTAGAAACTTCTAAACTGATTGAGAATTATACACGAAATGAAGGGATCTCTATCCAAGGAACTGGAGCTATCCTCCCTTTCCTTGGATCAGAGCTGATTACCTTCCTACAGGTTTGGTTCTTCCCTATGAATATAATTTATAAACTTGTTTTGCAATCTTAGGATTAATCAGTTTAAAACTGAGGTGATTGAAAAGGCTGAGAGGCAGCTTTATCAATAAAGAACCTTGGCTAAGCAATATTATAAATTATGTGGCAAGATAGTTGTCCTAGTACATGTTAACATGAGCTGAGTTTACCCCTTTTTTTAGTAACTTGATAATACTGATATATTATCATCTGTACACCACTTTGTCTTCCTTAACTTACTCATTACCTCAAGTTATAGTTTCCATATCAATGAGCTAAATCCTTCAGCAAATATTTCTTGATCTCAGTTGAAATACTGGTTGGTGAACTGCATCTAGTTTGCATATTCTGCACTTCTGTTATCTCATACTAAAAAATAAAATGAGAGAGAAAATAAGCACAAATTACAAAATGAGTTTATTTAAAAAATCATATTTACAGAATAGGCATATCTTTCACTGTGAGATTAATGCCATTAGCCATTCAGCTGTAGCTACTCGCACAACAAAGATCCTGCCTTCGTGAAAGCTCTTTTTGTTAAAGAGTCGATCTTCACAAGGAGAGGAGACTCCTTTCCAGGGTAAGAAGCCCTCAAAGAATATGGCAGCTCCAAAATTAACGTTGAGAAGTCCATCTACCAGGGTGGGCACTTGACTGTCAGGTGATATGTCCTTCACGGCTCACTATTTCCACTACTTACGCACTGCCTCTGCATATAATACACGCTAGTCATTTTTTAAATTAACCAAAACAATTATATATATAATACAATAACAATAAATCTGAAATATATAAACATTGTGCTTACTAAATGGCAGGACAATATCTTGTGAGGCTTAGCCCCTAGTGATTCACTAGAAATACTAGGTAAAGCCCTGACACACTAGTCCCCAGAGTCGACAGCAAGCTGTAAACATTAGCATCATGCCATATATGTTGACCTGTGTATGTAGCAGCTGTCATGAACTAAGAAAGACATTAGCACCTGGCAAACTGAAACATTTGTGGAGGGTGTTTTGCCTGTGATGAAGGGGTACAGTTTTATTGCTTGGGAGTGATATGTGGATGTGTTCACATAAACTAAGAAAAAAGTTAATTAAATCTTTAGATTTGACACTGCAAAAACAATTGCAAATTTATTAGTCAGGTATGCCACTGGAGAGTAGACATGAAGTTAAAAGTTATGAATTAATAAAGGGATAAAACTATGTAAAGATTAAATGAGCATCAAATTTAAACAAAAATTACATTCCTGCAGTAGGGGAAAAATAACCAGTAATTAAACAGCTTCATTTTTTTCAATATTAATCTAAGAGGAGGGTAAAGTCCAAGTAGCAAATTTAGTTTTAAATATTTTTTGAATATTAGTTTTAGCAAACTCAAATGATGCACAAGAATAAGTCACAATACACTGGCTGAAACAATTCACATCATACACTTTTGAGAGGTAACTAAATTAAATTTAGTTCATCCTGAACCATAATCTGGTCACAACCGAAAAAATGGGTGAGGAGAAGAGACAGGTAGGTAATCAGGGAAGGGAAAGGAATGGAGAGAGGTCAGCTGATGAAAATGTCAGTAAAGAAGTTGGTGAATAGTAGCATTAAAAGTAAATTAACTAAGAACAAATTATATCTAAAGGGAATGGAGTATCTGGATATCTCCACAATCTTCCATCAGACGTACCTCAAAGGGCTCTAAATGAAGATGCAAGTAAAAGTCAGAAGACAGTAATGGTGTATTCTAAAAATTAGGGCATTGGTGGTGTACTGAAAAGGCAGACATCAACAGAAACAAAATTGGGACTAAGATTATGTTAGAAAGTGGTGTATTGGAGCTGAAACAGACCAAATGTCACCAAAAGTTTCCTCTCCAGTGTTGGTTATAAGAACGTATACAGTCTTCATTTGTTAAGATACGGCACTTCAACTGCACAAATACTGTACATACACACGTAAAGACAACAGACAAGTTGTGTGATTATTACGTCCACAGTATCACTCCTCAAATTCTCTTTCCTACCAACTGGTGCTGCATAGCCCTTGTGGCTTAGCACTTCTTTTTGATTATAATAATAATAATAATACCAACTGGCAAGTATCCACACATTATCCCCTTTCTGTAAAATTACTCTTAATATTTACCTTAGCCTGAAAAGCTCTCATGCTTTGACAAATTCACTGGCCAGAAGTGTATACCTTAACCAGGATAGATGTCTTCAGTCTGAAATGCAACTTTCTTTAATCTCGTCAAACACACACTTAAGTTAGAGTAGGCATTTTGACCAAGAACTTAAGATGTGCACCTTTGATCTAGGCATTAGGTTTATTAACACAGATTAAGATGTCCTTAAAATATGTACCTCAGACTGTAGACAGATACTCCAAAACATGAACCTACTTCCTTGGCTCAAGACATGTTCCTTCAGTAAAGAACATTCTTTCTTAGGAAAATGGGGATGAGGGGAACATAATCAAGAGCAACAAATTCCCTGGTTCTTGTAGACAGTACTTCACCACAAACAAATACTTTAGACAACATCAAATTAATTTAGTTACAATGAAAGTATTAACATTATATGTAAATATTCTAGAAAAGGAAAAGACATACCTGAGACATCAACAAAATGGGTCAAAAAATAAACATAACAATAATTATATGTGAAGAGGCACCACTCCGGCCAGGTGGTAACACTATCATCATGCCTCAGCAACTCCAGCGTCACCTGCCACACACCACACTTTGTACATCCAGTACTCAACAAATTCATGTACAGTACAGCTTGTAAAAAAAAAAATCCAATCCAAGCCCACATGGCTGAGGTTCAATTAGCACATAACAGTGGATATGATTAATTATACTCCCATTATAAGTGGATGGTGAGTAGAAGCTGTGGGGGGTGTATATTGCTCTCTGTAAGCTCTTATGTATATTGCTGTAAACTATGTGGATACTGCTGCAGATTATTACTACTCTCTTTTAATCACCAAGAGTAAACTGCACTGTATGTGATGGTTTGTGTGTCGGCTACTGAGCGTGTCTAGTGCCTTGTGTGTAAGTTGCCATGTGGCACTATACGACCCTCGCAGCCTCTACGCTAGTAGCACCAAAGATAAAAGAGTTGCCAATAAAGGCTTGGTGTGAGCACATCACAGGTCCAGGCTCTGGCAGTCCTCGTGGTCACGTTGGGTCGCCTGCAATCATTGGCATCCTGTACCCACTTCGGCAGGTTCTTGCTACCAGCTGCTCCTAGACTAGTTTTGACAATGGCTTGCTACAATATGTACAATGCAAATTTCTTTACTTGGCTTGGCAAAAATTAATCTGAATCCCTGAATTCTGCCTGTTCAGTTTTGAAACTTTCATTGCACACCACTTTATCATTCCACATAACTAAGAAACCCTTAAAAGTGTCTATTTCTAAACTCTGTCAGTATTTCATGAGGAAATGGGGGCTGAGAATGACAATTCCATTCTTCCAAAGATCAAACACCATCACAATTTATTCTTTTCCCATAGTTTAAGTGGAATACACAACCCACTGTATTAATAGATTCTTGCAATTACTAACATTGCAAATGACTTCATAATATTTATGAATAATTAAATCCTGTTTAGCTCCTTACCCTCATGAAATCTACACTTCACTCATTAGTAAAGATACTGTATATGCTTGTGTATCAAACTAACAGAGGCTAGAAAAAATATTAAATTTAGCAAATACAATGCACTTATAATATACAAAATTGGAAAAGCATTATCTGAAAATTGCCAAGCAGTATAATGAATTTCTTACCAAAATGTGTGTACGCAACACTGCCACAGTCACTAACGCTTTGGCATTATTTTGTGAATAGCAGTATAGCGTGTTATTTGACAAGAATACATTAGTTGACTGTGAGCAAATGTGTACTGGTAGCCGAGTCAAGAGACCATAAACGTGGTAGCAAGGACATACTGACAACGCCGACGACGAGTGTCTGCCTACACACAGAACCTGCAAGTATCTCACACTGCTCCTGGCCACACCTTCACACATTATACATCTCTCACTTTATTTCTAAATTGAGGTAAGAAATTAAGCCTATCTGCTCCAAGGCTCCATCACCACCGGACCATGTGGCTTGGATTCCCACGGCCCGGCTAATCTCCCCGGTGGACTGGCTTCACATTCATTATTCTACCTAGCTTCTCACTTTCCTCTTCACCGGGGATCAATGCTAAAAATGTCCTTCTTGCTTTGCCCGTTTTGCTTTTCATTACCGAAAGTTAGGCAGAGGAATTTTGTTTCTGAGGCACCAACGTTGCCACAAAAAAATTCCTCTGCTCAATAAACCACTTCATGACCAATTGTACACACTATTCTTCTTGGTATATCAAGACACTTATTTACATATATTTCTCAGTCCGCCTTCCTAATCTGTGCAAATATCTTGCCATCAAAAAGCGGGAGGATCTCTGAGTCATCGGTGATTTCCTCCTGGATCACTCCAAACTCTTCGCACTGCTTCTTGAAGAAGAATCTGAAAGATTAAAAAGAAGTATTAGGTCTCTATGGGAAGTTCTGCCAGGAAGCAAACAGCGACATTCCATTCTCTCCTCTAATTCATTCATGCTCCAAAACAATAATTCAGTTGTAGGCAAAAATTATACATGCATCTTGCTATTAAGAGTAGTCTTGTACCATTTCTTGAAAGTATGCACTAAGAAACTGCATAAAAATATAAAAGCTAATTAAAGTATTTAACCGTTTAACTGTGACATCCTGCCTTGGTGGGAAATGGCCAATGTGTTAAAAAAATATACAATACAGTAATGAAATCACGAAACTAAGTGATTTTAAATCGTTTACCAAACTGAGGCAGGCCAGGACTCAACCCTACGAACCTTGTACCACCTCCAGAGACAGCACAATGTACGCATCACCTTACCTCTGGGCCAGCTATCCTACGAAGATCTTTGTAGGATCACTGGCCCAGAGGTAAGGTGATGTGTACATTGTGCTGTCTGGAGGCAGTACAAGGTTCGTAGGGTCGAGTCCTGGCCTGCCGCAGTTTGGTAAATGATACAATACAGTGCAACATATATATTTAGATTTTTAAAAATTCACCTTAAAGAAATTTGCATTTCATATGGAGATAAAAAAAAAAAGTATAAACTGAAAAAATCTGCTAGCTATTGGAAGCTTTAAATCTAGTACTTCAGGTTGAGGATTAAATATCAAATGAAAATATTCTTTCTTAGGGAGAAACAAATATACTGGTAGAGTCTACAGGTAAGCAGACATTAAAATATTACCAGTAAGTATATATATATGCCAGGAGCAAGGGGCTAGTAACCCCTTCTGTATAAATTAATAAATTTAAAAAGAGAAACTTTTGTATTTCTTTTTGGGCCACCCCACCTCGGTGGGATACGGCCGGTTTGTTGAAAGAAAGAAGAAGTATATATATGGGAAAACAATGGAGAACTGACATGCTTCAATAATCAAAGGTAGATGTGGCAATAACGAGGCATTACTCGATAAAGACAGATAGATAATGTAAATGAAACTGGAAGCCTAGAGGTCAAAGCAGATAAACCTGAGAGTAATTAGTGAGACTGCTATACCCAGCTAACCATTTCTTGTGGAAAAGGAGTTAGAAATAAATATCTAGAAGATTATATAAAGTAAACCTTGTAAAGGTATGCCAACTTGCAAGTTATTAACTGGCATTTCAGCTTACAAACAAGTTTGTATAGAAAACAAAAGTACAAAGGATGGTCATGTTCACACATGTTCATACTAATGACTAAATGATGTTTTTGAGAGCGAGTGCATGCGTGTGCAATTTTGAGCATGTATAGGAAGAGCACTTCTTGCACACCACTGCACCATATCTGCTCTCACTTAAGAAACACACATCATATTATTGAACATTTTTCCATTAACTTCAGGGAATGAATATTAGTTCAAATAGCTGACTTCAGCAGACACTATATACAGTACATATAGTATATACTAGAACTAATCAACACACACAAACATGACTGCAGAGTAGCAGTAAGCACATGTTTCAAGGTAATTAGCACAAAGAATAAAGGCAATACTGTGACTGGAACAATTGCTGCCACCCTACTCACTCCTCCAGGTCAACCACTCCCATCCTGTGCCCCCCCCCCCCTCTTGTATTTATTCTGGCTTCCTTCTTTTTTCACTTCTCTATGTGACTAGTTAATGGTCCTAAATACAGGTTATTTGTGAATTAGTACATGCAACTCCTAAGCATTAGTGATATCATTATTAACCTAACATAAATATCACTCATCCAAGAACTTGGAGAAAATAACAGAGGCTTAAACTGTGATCTCTTGGGACCCAAATCACCAACTGCAGCCATTATATTTTTAAGATCTATGTGAGAAACATTTAAAGGGTTAATAAGCAATATAGTGTAACACACATTTGATAACGAAAACAAAAGCTACAGAAAAAGAAGAGATACTACAGCAGTAAAAAACAAAATAAAAAGATACTCTGATGTTGTGGATCACTCATGAAGGGCTAAAGTTTATGACTACTGTACAAACTGACCTTATAGCTTCAATGTCATGCTAGAATGTGTAGATTATATCTACAGTACTTTAGGTTGACAGTTTAATTTATGAATAATTTCCCTGAATTGAGAAAAAAATAAAGCCACTTGAATACAATACACTAGCTGGAATAAAATACATGCATATTTGTAATGCCCTACCTATAGTTTCCTTTCTTAGGGAGATGCTGTTTGAAGCGCTTCAACGTGACTGGGCGAGTGGGAACCCGTGTGACAAATGGCACAGCATCGTCGTGAAAGTTATATACAATAGTGGTACTCTCTGCTGCACTTGTGACCGAGGAACTGCCTCCCACATTGCCAGTGGGACCTGAGCCTCCGCTAGCGGTTGCCCCACCACCACCACCGCCACCACCATAGCTGCCACCACTGCCACCGCTGCTGCTGCCACCACTTTCGCATAGCACCCCTGCAAGCCGAGGATTCCACATAGCTAGTTTGACCTCAAATCTACAAAGACATTAACAAACAGCAAATACCCTGTACCATAAACAAGTACAGAGGTAGTTAAATTTGACCACAATGAAAGAGAAACAAACCTCCAAGCCCTTTCTTGATATCACTATTACATTCTCAAAGAACAGTGTTCCTTAAGAATGTAATCAATATACAATATCACAAGAGTATAAAATAGGATTTCTCTTTCATCATAGATGAACTGTATATTAAAGGTCATCCTGCTTTGGCAGATGACCAGCATGTTAAAAAAATTACATATTTTATATTGTTGCATTAGTACAGATATACACAACATACGGATGCAGACTTACAACTCAAACATTTACCCAATGCTGCCTGTCACATTTAAGTACCTGACATTTCATGAAATACTATTACTTTACATCAATTTCATGCAGAAATAAGTAATTTCAGTTCTAAGGTCCAGGAAATTTTATCTGAGAACTGGTGATAAATTACAGGATTTCAAAGTAAAACTGTACTTTATATATAACAATAGTCATGCTGCATCTCTAACAAGCAGAAAAAACTCATTTTTGTTGGGTCCATGGACACAATCATGTTTAGGTCAATGAACACTCAAGACTCTGTCACCCAATTTGCTATTCATGACCTACCAGTTTCCCACATGAAGGAGGTACCTTTCTCAAGGCTATTTTCCAGTACAGTTCTCTCAACAACTCTGAACTTGCTGTCAACAAATCTGATCCAATTTGAGGTCAACAAATTGTTTTTCACCATCTTCTTTCCATTACTGTCAGGTGTGGGAACTAAGCTAGTACAATTATGAATCTAGAATACACACTTGCCTATGGAGAGAAGCCCAGTACCTGTGAGGACTGCCAGGCTGAACTACTGATTCACCATAGCTTAACAGACCACCTTATTTATCAAAACATGCATAAAATTCATTGTCAATATTTCCATCATCCTGACTCAATCACTAACTACCTCACCTAAAGTACCCCTTCAACTCAGACTCTCACCTTGGTTTTCTAACACAAACTAACCTGCTGCAACAACTTTGACATTAAATTCTCACTCACTACTAACCTCCAACTCAACACCTACCTTTCACCTCGCCTCACCACAATGCTGTGGCACCAATATGGGTTTAGCACCGAAAGGCACATTTTGACCTTAGTAGCTGACCAGTGACAACTGTATCCTAGTTGATGACAAATAACTGTGACCTACCTGGAGGTGTTGGCTGAGAGTGTCTGGAAGGTCTTTGTCGCCTCAGTGTAGAACCGTTAGAGCCAGAGCCACAGGGAACTGGAGCAGAGGCAGCATCTGCATGGCAGGGACCTCGTCCACTTCCACCATCTGAATGTCCCCGGCTGTGACCAGAGCTGTGGCTCGAACTGTGACCTGCTGACCTACTGGAGCCATGACTTCCACCACCCCTGTAGATACACCAGTAGCACTACTATAAATGACTGTCATTTTTATTTTATCAGTCCTTGTTAAACAAGCGGCTTTTTTATGACGTATTCATCTTTTGCAATAATAACAACTGAACTCCTACGAGTCACAATAGTAATAATTTACAATTGTACTTAATACTGTAAGAAAGAACCAAATTATCATTTTTAACTGATGGGTAGATTGGTAAGAAGCAAATCTGAGCTGAAGACAAAATTAAAAGAAATGCAACAAGGGAATGGTGAAGTATATAAATTATGTAGCTGATGCATAAGTGAATAAATAGCTGACATGAACAAAATGATGGAAAGGACATACAAGTGAGAGAATATATACCATACACGAAAGAAAGGCATAACATCAACAAGACATAAATAAACATGTTTCACTGAAAGGTGGGCTCGGTTCACTACATAAAAACTTTACTGCATCAAGTGTCTAATTAACTCATGCATACTAACAGTTGAATATGAGTGGTCAACTGGCATTATGAATACTGTAAAAGGATGTAGAGAGATGGATAAATGGACTCGAGAAAATAAAATGGATGAAAGCATAATGCTTCATCCTGTTAGGAGGAAGCATTAAATCCATGGAATCATACAGTGCCTGGGGGAATGGGAGGCAATCAGATTTGATTCATGGAAGGGATGATCAAAGTAAATAGAAACAAGTGGTTTTGGGGATTTGTCATACTGTCAGTGTGTGAGCATTAAAGAAGGTAATATTTATTTAGAGATTAAAAAAAAAAAAAACTGGTTAACCAGATCAGAGTTCTGTAGGTGGAAAGTGCAGTGCTTGTACTCTGAAGGATGAGTGGGGATGATGCAGTTTGAAAGATGACTTGAACTGTGATATCCACACACATCTGAAAAGACAGCTTTTGCAAGAGTGATGGTAAATGTGTTTCCTCCTTTAGGTCACCTACCTTGATGGTAAATGTCAAATATGGAAAAACTTAAGCCTGCTGGGTATACTTACCTACTCCTCCTCTTGGTGTCATCTATATGTGCAAGATGAGGCTGGTTTGTTGCCTGAGACATGTGTGAAAGGTGGCCTGAGTGGGACACATGCAACATATGGCCAGAAATGTCACGTTGCTCAATGCCCGATGACCCCATCCATGAACTGCCACCCCTCTCTAATGACCCAGAACGTCCACCAGCCAGGCTTCCACTGCCGCCAATGCTACCACCCACGCTAGTGTTGCTTCCACTGGTGCCAGTTCCACCTATGCTAATACCACTCGCACTCCTCCGTCCTCCACTGCTACTACTGCGTCTGGAAAAAAAAGGGGGGGTTATCCAGCATTATCCTGAGTCAGTGGTTTTCAAGCATTTTCTTCCAAGTGGTTGTCAACATCTGGCAATACTTGTCAGTTTCCTCAATTCACAATCCTTATATTCTTCTTTGCTGCTGCTTAAATCTAAACATCTTTTAAAATCACATTCCCTTGACTTTCTTAATTCTTAAATAACTTATTACTTATAGAGGAAGGAAGAGAACAAATCAACAACCCCCAATTTTCAATCTCATTTTTCTTTAATAAAACACTGTAAATACAGCTAGCCCAAAGACTTAACACTACAGAACTCCACATCAGTGGAGAAACCACACCTGACCAAAAATTAAGAAATTTTATTATGGAGAGACTAAAGGAACTCAAACTATCAATCACAAAAGAGAAGAGGACCAGAGGAGACAAGATTGTGATGTACAAAATACTCATGTAACTAAACAGATTGGAGAGAGAGAGAGAGAAAGGCTGTTCAGGATAAAAGGAGGCAGAGGGCATAGATGGCAGTTTAAATTGGAGATGCACCACAGGAGCATTAGGAAATCATTTTTCAGTAGTCAGTAAGAGGACCAAGCAAAATGAGGTGTTGAGGGAAGCCAACTTGATACACAGTTTCAAGAAGACAGATGTCTTCTTACTCATCTTTATTGTGGCATGTGTGCAGCATATGTAAGGTGGTGTCCCAATATCTAACAACCAAATAAAAGTCAATATTACCATGTACAGAAGAGGGTAAGTAAGTAAATAAGTTTATTCAGGTAAACACAAATACAGTTACATAGATTACCGTACATAGCAGCATATGTGTAAAGAACCTAGGATAACCCCCAAAAAATCAGACAGAGTGACTTATTTCCACTGAGGAAGTGGTTACACACCACTTTCTTTTTCAGCAGTAAGATTAAGCTGAAAGAAATAAGGATGGAGCTGAATCAAGTAAAACAGCCAGAAAAAATGCACAAAAGAAATAAACAGTTAATAAATGAGCAAAGACAAATAAAACAAAGTCCCAGAAAAGACTGAAAATGGATAGTAGTATAGTGGGTATAGAGAACATCCTCTAACTTCAAAGTACAGAGAGATGCAAACACCCTTAAGGAACTACAATATTCCCCCCACTGTCAGACATAAGCAGCTTGTTAATGTTATTTTGCTCATTCCAAAATGTTAGCATGGGTTAATTAGTTGCTTGTTTTACCACACAAGCCATCTCCCAATACAGTAGGGCTACAAAAAAATAAAATAGTGATCAATGACCATCACTCCTTCAACAGCTGTCTTGCCATAAGTGTGCAAACATCAAACTACAAATGATCCTTCAAACTGCAACATCTCCGCCTCTCCTTCAGAGTACCTCCTCTCAACTATTAATTTCAGCCAGCTGATTTCCCTGAATCCCTGCATCAATATTACCTTGTTTGCACATCAACATCACATCAAACCCTTAAAATCACCTATATCTGCTCCCCAATCTTACAGACACAGGTTTACTGGAGGCTTAAACCCTCACCACTTAAAAATCTTCATCCTTCCTCCAACCCTTCTTAGGATAACCACCTCCTTCCACCCCAGTTTTATACACCTCTTGGTCATCCTAGTTTGCTCCAGCCTTTCTAAATGAACAGACTGCTCAACAATCCATCCCTCTGCCCTTTGAATACTACCTTTGGTAACCAGTCTTCCAATTCTTTACATAATAGTCACAGCACACATTGGTCTTAAACATAACAAAGCCACTGTCTGCAGTCTTGTTCTTGCTACAATGTTTAGAGACCATGTCTTGCATACACACACAAGTGTTAGTATCGCTATATTCAGATACATTCCCTTTTTCTTCCTCCACAGATATATATAACCTATGCCTTCTCTCTGCATTAAAACTCTCTACTACTTTTAGTAACCTAGTCCATATTTCATTCATCTGCAACAATTGCCATATTGCTCCTCTATCCACCCTATCACATGCCTTTTCAAAATCCGTAAATGTGACAAATGATGCCTTACCTTTACCTAAGTAAAGCACTGTTCACTTGCTGTGTGTGTTTCAACGTAAACGCTTGCTCTAAACATCCCATAAATCCTCATTATTACTTTGGAGTCCTACTTTTTGCCATATTCCTAACGCCTTCAATAATAATTATACTCTACACTTTACAGCCGCCGCCTTCTTTCAACGCACCGGCTGTATCCCACCGAGGAGGGGGCCCAAAAGAAAAAACAAATTTTTTTTTTTAATATAAGTAAACACGAAAGACGGGTTATCCCCGCATTTAGGGCCCCTTTTTACGCCCTGGCTTATGGAGGAAAATTCTTCCCATAAAAAAGGGAAAAAAAAAAAAAAGAAAATAGAAGAAAAAGAAGTTTAAAAGATGGTTTTTTTTTAACCAGGTGTTAAAATCCAAAAAAATTTCCCATTTCCTCCTAAAAACTTTTGCCCCCAAAACCGACCCCTACCTTTTTTCCCAACTAATTAACCCTCCCTTTTAAGGGAGGGCCCAATTTACTCCCAAGGATCGGCCCCTTTTCCCCAACTCATAAAGTGTTAATGGTAAAAGAAGTAATTAAAACATTTTATTACAAAATAAATGGGGAATTTAGGCCGGTTTTAAAACCCCTTTACCCCCCCTTAAACCCTGCCTGGGACCCTTAAAGGGGGTTTTATCAGTTGAAATTTGAGTATCTTTTTCGTATTCTTCTAATGTTGAAACACCTCCAAAACCTTTGGGTTTGGGAAAGTTTTTTAATTGATAAGTAATTTCCTTTTTGGGGAATTTTTTCTTTTTTTTCACCCCCCTTTCCTCGGGGGGAGACCCACTTTTCCCGGAAAAAAAAAAAAAAAACCCTTTATGGACCCCAAAAAGTTGGTAAAATACAAACCCCTCCTAAACAAAAATTTTATGGCCCAAGACCTAAAAACCACCATCTTTTAAAAAATTCAGGCTATCGTTTTAAAATCATGCGTGTAACTTCCCTTGTTGCTGTACCTCCCCTTAAAACTTTGCCTTTCCCCCAAATTTTTAATAATCTTTCCCCCTTTTTATCAAAAACCTTCCTCCCCCAAACTTTTATTCTCTTTTCACACCTTCCAAAATTCATCCACCCAAAAATTTGTCTACTTCTCTAAATTCCCTTAAATTCCCGGCCCCCTGGGGTTTTTTTCTTTTCTTTTACCCCTCCTTCAGAGTGAGGCACTGTATTCCATCTCCAGGACTCAAGTCGCCTCCCGGGGTTTTCCCGAATCCCTTCATAAATGTTACTTTGCCACACTCCAACGCACGTCAAGTTTTAAAAAACCCATTTTTCCTTCACTCCTATCAAACACGCTAAAAGCATGCCTGCTGGAAAGCCCAAAGCCCCCGCCCAAAACCTCCTTTACCCCCCCCCCCAAACCCCTTTCCCAGGCCGACCCCTACCCCCCTTCCTTCCACTACAGACTGATACACTTTGAATCTTTCTTTTTTCCTCCATTCTCTCTACATGTCCAAACCACCCAAAAAACCCTTCCCTCACCCCTCTGGACAACTTTTTGGGTAATCCCGCACCTCCTCCAATTTCCAAACTCGAATTTCTGCATTAATTCACACCAACATTCCCCTCAGACATGACATCCCACTCCCTCCAGCCTTCCCCTCGCTGCAAACATTCATCACCCACGCTTCACACCCATTAAGAGCTTTGGTAAAATTTACTCTCATACTTTCCCCCTTTTTTGCCTCCAAGGACAAAGTTCTTTGTCCCCACAGACTCCTAAGTGCACCACCACTCTTTTCCCTCATAAATTTATATTCCCCTCATCTTTCATAGACCATCCGCGCATCCACTCCCAAATATTGAATACGTTCACCTCCCCAAACTCTCTCCCTCCAATCAAATTTTCAATCTTTCATCACCTAATCTTTTTGTTATCCTCAAAACCCTTTACCTTTCCTGTATTCACCTTTAATTTTTTTCTTTTGCCCCACCCTCCCAAATTCATCCACCAATCTCTGCAACTTCTTCAGAATCCCCCAAGAGCCGTTCATCAGCAAAGACAGCTGTGACAACTCCCACTTTGGTGGATTTTTTATCTTTTAACCCCCGCCTTTTCCCAAACCCCTCGCTTTACTTCTTTAAAACCCATCTAAAAACATATTAAACAACCAGGTGACATCACACACCCTTTGTCAAGGCCTCTTTTAGGGGAAAAAAATTTTCCCCCTTTTTCCTACATACTCTAACTTGAGCCCACTACCCCTCGTAAAAAACTCTTCACTGCATTCAGAAACCTACCTCCTACACCAAAATACACTTCAACATCGCCCATTGCCCCCTACCCACCCTTCATACCCCTTTTCCAAATCCATAAATGCCACAAAACCTTTACCCTTTATCTAAAACTGTTCACTTATAGTTTCCTGTAAACCCTGGGCCACCCCCCTTTTCCTTTCCTAAAGCCTCCTTGTTCATCTCTACCCTTTTTCCCCTCTTACTCTTAATTTTTCAATTATAACTCTACCATACACTTTTCCAGGACACTCAAAAGATTATCCCCCCATAATTTTTTCACCCCTCTTTTATCCCCCTTTTCTTTATACAAAAAGGAAAAAATGCATGCCTTGCCAATCCCCAGGTACCTTTCCCCCTTCCATACTTTATTAAATAATTTCACCAACCCCTCCAAACTATATCCCCCCTGCTTTTAAAAATTTTTATTTTATTTCCCCTCAAACCCGGCCCCTTTCCCCCTTTCATTTTTACCTACTGCCCAAACTTCCCCCACATCACAAATGGCTCTTTCCCCACTCTCAAATGTTTCCTCCTTGCCCTATACACAAATCCAGTTCCCTATCTTATCAAATTTAAAAATTCCTCAAAATATTTCCCTTTCCCTCTTCCCAAAACCCCTAACTCTCCATTTATAACTCTCCTCTCCTATTTTTTTAATACAAATCCATTGTTCTCTGGCTTTCTTAATTGTTAATTCCCCTCCAAAATTTTCTTATTTTTAAAAAAAATTTTTTATAACATTCACCCACTCTCTCTTTGCTCTCTTTTTTCATTGCCCTTTACCACTCTCTTAACTTCTCTCTTTTTTCTCCATATACTCTTCCCCCTTGCATCACTTCTACTTTTAAAAAAATTTCATTGCTAAATTTTTCTCCTTACTACTTCTTTACATCTCATTCCACAATCGCTCCTCTTCCCTCCTGCACCCACTTTCCTGTAACCACAAACTTCTGCTGAACATCTAACATACATTTTTAACCTACCCCATACCTCTTCGACCCCATTGCCTATGTTTCCATTAGCCACTTCCCCCAATAGTTTTTTATTTTACCCTAATGCCTCCTTTTTGTTTTAAACCTTTTCACCTCTCTCTTCCCTGATGCTTTTTTCCCTTGTATCCCATTACCTTTTACTCTCATGTAGTACAATAGAAATGATCGATTATCTGGGGCCCCCTCTATAAACATGTACACCCCTAAGTCTACTCAAAGTTTTTTATTCCCAAATACATAATCCAACAAAACTGTATTTCGCCCTACATATTCTGTATATTTTACCCTTTTTTCAAAAAATATGTTTTACCTATAACTAAACCCCCTTTTAACAAAGTTCAATCAAAGGGCCCCCTTTTATCTTTACACCTGGCCCCCCAAATTTACCTCCACACCCTCTCTAAAAAGTTTTTCCTATTTTACATTAAAGTCCCTCCCACAATTACTCTTCATTGGTTCAAAGGCTCCTATAATTCACTTAACATCTCCAAAATCTCTCTCTCTCCCCTCATTCCTCCTTCCCAGGTGCATACACGTTATTATACCCCTTTTGCATCCAACCTTTTCTTTAAACCACATAATTCTTTAATTTACACTTCATATTTTCTTTTCTCCTTCCTAACTGATCATTTAAAAATTTTGCTACCCTTCCCTTTTCTCTAACTCTCTCAGTCTCCCTTTTTCCCATTTATTTCCCCCCCCTGAAAATTTTCCTACCCCCCTTTAGCTTTTTTTCGCTTAGGGCCAGGACATCCAACTTCTTGTACATGTATGTGTTTATATTATATACTTTCATACATTCCCTTCTTTGCCTCCATAGATAACGTTTTTTGACTCCACATATACCTCAACGCACCACTCACCTTTTTTCCCTCATCAATTCTATGATTAACCTCATCCTTCATAAATCCATCCGCCGACACGTCAACTCCCAAGTATCTGAAAACATTCACTTCTTCCAAGCGTGCATGAGCGTGTTAGATAGGAGTGAATGGAGACGAATGATACTTGGGACCTGACGATCTGTTGGAGTGTGAGCAGGGTAATATTTAGTGAAGGGATTCAGGGAAACCGGTTATTTTCATATAGTCGGACTTGAGTCCTGGAAATGGGAAGTACAATGCCTGCACTTTAAAGGAGGGGTTTGGGATATTGGCAGTTTGGAGGGATATGTTGTGTATCTCTATACGTATATGCTTCTAAACTGTTGTATTCTGAGCACCTCTGCAAAAGCAGTGATAATGTGTGTGTGTGGTGAAAGTGTTGAATGATGATGAAAGTATTTTCTTTTTGGGGATTTTCTTTCTTTTTTTTTGGGTCACCCTGCCTCGGTGGGAGACGACCGACTTGTTGGGGGAAAAAAAAAAAAAAAAAAAAAAAAAAACATGTATGTGTAGTGTGACCTGACCTAAGTGTAAGTAGAAGTAGCAAGACGTACCTGAAATCTTGCATGTTTATGAGACAGAAAAAAGACATCAGCAATCCTACCATCATGTAAAACAATTACAGGCTTTCGTTTTACACTCACTTGGCAGGATGGTAATACTTCCCTGGGTGGTTGCTGTCTACCAATCTACTACCTAGGACTTTACAGCCGTATTCCCTATAATTCTTATATTAACTCTTGCCACCTTTTCCCCATATACAAAGGAACCATGCACGTCCTCCACCAATCTTTAGGTACCTTCTCATCTTTCACACCTATGCTCAACGAATTCACTAACCACTCCAAAATTATGTCTCCACTTGCCTCTAACATTGCCTTCTTAATTCCATTTGCCTCGGCTGCTTTACTTCTTTTCATTCTACCCACTGTCTTATACATGTGACCCATATTCATTTTTTACTTTTCCTTACTCTTACCAGACATTATTCCTCCCTTCCTAATGTTTGAAATCACAGCCTCCCTTTCATCAACACAGCTCCTCAAAACACACTCTCCATCTGTCCAGTACCTCTACCTACCATATTCCCTCTTTTGTTCTCAACTGCATGTCAATTTGCTTCCCAGGCTTTAACACATTTATCTCTCCAAAACAGCTTCTTAATCTCTGTAAAATTTGCCAACAAAGACACCCATTCTCTCATTGGTTCTTCTACACTCTTTCACCACTCACCTAACCACTCTTTTTCTCTCCATATACTGTGCCTCTCATATGCTAATTTTTTCTTCCTTACTGCATCATTCTATACTCTGCCTCTCATACGCTAATTTTTTCTTCCTTACTGCATCATTCCACCAATCATTCCTCTTCCCACCTGCACCCATCCTCTTATAATGCCAAATTCTGAAACACACTCTAGTACTGCATTCTTAATCCCTTTCAGTGGCTGTCACATTAATACCAGGGGTCCCCCCTCACTTAGATCTATTCATAAGGTCTAGTAGCTTTAACTTTTGCACAAGAGGCCTGGTAGACCTACATATAAGGGAATGAGTCAATGCAGTCGGTGTGCACAGCATACAAAAATCATGGCCCTTACAATGCATTGTACAATGCCATATTTAATACGCCTTATTCACCATGCTGCGTAAATCCAAAGGCCCCACTCCCAGGTGAAATGAATGATTTTTATTCTCCAGCGACAGCTCCAACAATGATGATTATGGAACTGATGAGGAATTCGTAGGTTTCAAACATATAGTGATCAAAAGTGATGCTCAGGACACTGCAAATAACGCTGCAAGATAGTCACTGTATACCCTCTTGTCTGAAGTTTGATCACTTCCTAATGACAATTTCTGCTACAGAACAGAAGAAATGGTTTTAGAACAGATATTATGATTGTGCACACACAACAAGGCACCCACCAAAGTGCACACACATGCACACTGTGTGTAGAAAAGGTAAAACACCATTGTGCATGGAAACTTGTTTCAACAGTTCTAGGACCATGACCAGTGCCTGTATATATGTACATAAATGTAAGAACTGTAAAACATTTGCATGTGTGTGTGTTTAGTATTAGTGGTGTTGGTACTGTGTTACATATAACACATGGATATGTGTACAGTGTACATGATATGGGTCTTATGGGCCACAAAAGTTACTGGAAAACATAAAAAATTTAGAAACCCCAAGATACAAAAAATTAAAAGGAAAAATGTGGGACACGCATTAGTTGCTGATGCTGCTGTCAGCTGGTCATCAACCTTCAACTTCATGCCTTCACATCTTGGCAACGATTAATAGGAAATATTTTTATTACCATCAGAAAAATACACTCTTAATTGATAAGAATTTTTTTTTACATGGGCACCAAGAGCAATTTTACTTTCTGGGCTTTGGACAATCTAGCCCATACTGCAACACCCACTCTCACATCATGGCTCGGGACAGCCAGGCTACTGCTTCACAAAACAAGATTAAACATGAAAGCTTGGAGTCATCTACAATCAAAATACTACCAAAAAACAAAAACTATGTAATGTTTACTTTGGTAACTCCCATATAACTCATCTTGGAACAAAGGAAAGCCAGTGTGGGCCAGTAGCTCCACTGCAAGCAATTAAACTTACACAAACTGACCCATGCTAGGCAGGTCTTACTCAAATCCAACTTTCTCAGTCATTTATCCAACTCATCTTTTAAAACTACACCTGACCACCTGCCCAGAATGCCCTATACAAGCTGCAATTTTTCTCCATGTTCTCTATGTACTTAAAGCACATTTGTAGGTGAAAAACTATACCAAGAAAGACTTTACTGCAGTAACTCCTCCCAACAAACTCAAACACTGTAGGTACTTACACAATGAAGATCATTATCACATGTTAGTACATACTGTACTGTGCAAACTTTAGAGGCAGAACAAGAGACAGGTAAAAGAGAGAGGGAGAGTACAACACACAGAAAGAAACAGTGAAATTACTGAAGAAATGTGCTGCGAATGCACCAATCAGTTATGTGTGAGGTACAAGGGAAAGAGTTCAAGTCACCTCAGAGTTCCGGGAGAGGTGGCCCCAGCGGCCGTGTGTGTGGAGCGGTTTGCTGGAAGCCATGGGTCCCACTCAGTCTCTGGGTAAACACTAGACGAGTTCATACTCCCACAAAACTTATCACTCTCCAGCAGCCACGATGTTACTCTGAAAATGTACACACCAGTGCCAGTGGTAACTAACACAGCAGATGCTGTAGGCACAGATGATAAAAGGAAAGAATAAAGAATAAAAGATAATGAAAGGGAAAAGGTGAAAACAGATATAACAAAAGAAATAAAAAGAAACAATAAAACTTTTGCCTACTTCACCAAGTGCAACAAGCACCTCACATTTGTGCTATTTTAAGAGATACAGTCTTTCTTCTCCACTAATATTTGTGTCTGACATCTTTAAATCACTGTTACAAATTACAATGGCTTGCAGAAAAGCAGGTGGCAAAACTTAAGCTATCACAATCATTGAATACTGAGGCCCCTCAAGGAGGATAGGTTTCAGCTTGTGTAACTCTACAGTACTGCCATAATAGCAATAGTACTAACAATAGTATAGCAACAGTACTATAGATAAGTACATGTAATACGAAGCAAGCTCCAACCAAAAGCATAACTGGCAAAACTTAATAAAGCCATCAAATGCTGGTATTGCATGCAAACATTCAATAACAAGACTGTACAGTCAATACTACAAATTTGCAGGAGTTATATCTCTAAGAGGACTTAGCACATTCAGAAATCCCTAAACATTTTCAAGAAGAAATTTGATAAGGTCCTTAAGTTAGGTCCTAATCAGCCAGGTGTGATGCCTGTGTTGGACTATATGCCAGGTGTGGTGCCTACGTTGGACTATATGCAGCTGGAACTAACAGCCTGATTAATCAGGCTATCAAACAGGAGGCCTGGTCTGGGATCAGGAAGCAGTGGCTGTGACCTCTGGAATCTACTACAGGTTACCCCAAAAGTAACCACTCAATGCTAATAAAAAAATATTTCAACTTGTGTTTCAGAGGCAATTTCTCTCTAAATATTGCTTTAACCTCAGTCATATTGGCCTCAATAAAAATTATTAAAAATTCCAGAAAGAACATTTTTAATGACACCTTGTAGTTAGTTTTCAATACAGAGGTTCTGCACTAAGCCTCCTTTACACATACATACGTGTATATTTTTTTTTCAACAAACCGGCCATATCCCATTGAGGCAGGGTCACCTAAAAAGAAAAACGAAAGTTTCTCTTTTTAAATTTAGTAATGTATACAAGAGAAGGAGTTATTAGCCTCTTGCTCCTGGCATTTTATTCGCCTCTTATGACATGCATGGTTTACGGAGGAAGAATTCTGTTCCACTTCCCCATGGAGTCCTTTATATATATACCTCGATATAATGGGTATTATTAAAACAATCACGAAATCTCAAAAGTTAAAGCGCTGAATAAACAAGTCATGAAATTAGAGTACTGCGAATTTGTAGAACTGCACATGCTTTATTATCTAACATGTCCGCTGTGCAGCAGCAGCAGCATCACCTCAGTAAGTTCCTTCATTTTTGTGTTTCTATATGTGTACATCACTCATTGAATGATTAAATAAAAGCTGATTCTATTAATAAGTTAGAGATGGATCCCATTCCCACACATTCTGTAAACTTCTTCAGGAGTGGCTAATGCAACCTAGGACATACATACATGTATATCCAACCCTTCAAGGGAGGAGGTTCCTTGATGCTGGTGAGGGGCTCCTGATTTAAGGAACTGGACTTGTACACCCCTTCCTTGAATTGAACCTGAATACCTTCCATTCCCCAAGGTTCTGTATGGCCCATATGGGTTTAGTTTTTTCCCCAATCCCTGATATCAATGTAAAAAATAATACCATAACCAAGCATGCATCAACTTAAAAAGGTATTAATCTTCCCAGATAAACACCAAAGAAAAACAGTTACAACTACACATGCAAAGGTTATCCAAAAAGGTAAAATGCAATTATTTACAGTATAAAGTACAACATGTAAACATTCATGAAGACAAATTCTATTGAATCATTTGAGAAAAATATAGTAAAAAAGGGAAAAAATAATACCAAACTCCAGAAAAGGAAAATTTAAGAGAAATGACCAAAGAAAACTTGCATGCAAAAACAGAATGCCACTAATGAATGATATTGGCATGACCTCTTATTATTTAGCATTTTTTAACACAGGTCAGCTCCCATCAAAACAAGGAAACAACCATCAACACCTATGAAGGTTTAATAAGCTTTCTTTCAGCTTGATGCAGTCAGGAGAGTGAACAAAACCCAGCAGGCTTCAGCAAATATTGTACACCAACCATGAGCAGTGCAACGTGACCTCACATTTAAGTTACGGACATCAACAACTATTTACGCTAGTCTCATGGTACAACCAGGTTATAGTTGTTCTGATGTATGCTGATATCATCTAAGATTGCTTCTACAATAACTACATGCAATTTAACAAATATTTTATTTTTTTATGATTTGTGGCCCATTTATGTCAGGTCTCTTAATTTAGCTATTTTTCAAAATGTAGGCCAAGTCAGAAGCAAAAATCCTTTGCAAAAGCATGAACTCAGTTTTCACGAATGGCACAAATTTCCATATATAGTACCTATATCGTATAATGAGTCAGCTGCAAGGGAAAAAACTCCAAAAACTTTAGGACAACAATGCATAAACATTCTATACTCTTATCAACTTACTGTATAAAGTGCTGCAAAATCCAAAAGCTCTTATGTAATGCAAGTGTTGCACATAAGTAGCATGCCAAGTCTTCCTAAGCTTGAACTGGTATATCAGTAATAAACACCCACTCATTCAAACCTCTTCACTTCTAATATACAAATACCTTTGGAAGCTGAATGTTTGCAGAGAAGTGTTACCATCACCCGTAAATGGTCTCACCTCTCAGTTGATGATGCAGACGGAGTCAGCGAGGGGCCAGAGTCTGACACCACCGACACACCTGAATCAGTCAGGTCTGCCGGTGCACGGCGCGAACTGCTCCGCCTCCCACTCGGTTGTCGCCTCCCAGAACTGCCGCCATCACTACTGGTACCTGTTCCAGAAAAAGTGAAAAATTACAATAATACAGTTTAATAGATTACAGAGTAAATCATAACTTTTTTGTGGGTGCAATTAATAGACTGGATAGTGAAAAGTAGACACAGTAGTGTCCAGAGATGAGGCAGTAGCAAGATTTATGGAAAAATTAGTCAACATGCTGATGGATAAAACAGGACACTCAGATACAGACAGATGAATTAGTACACACACACACACACACACACACACACACACACACACACACACACACACACACACACACACACACACACACACACACACACTCGACATGCAAATACAGACAGATGGTTTATATAAAAGAATAGATATAGATGAATGGATAAAATGCAAGTGGTTTAAGATGGTGTTTGCTCCAAGTTTCTTTTAAGGTTACCACCTTATTTCACTGAAAATTTCTATTGTATATCAGCACTGTTGGGTTGCATTACCAGAATAAACAATCTGACTATTTTGATCAGAGAAAGTTTTGGAAATAATATGCTTGTGGATTTTTATAAACAAGTATACATAGTCTTTCTCATAAGCAACGTAAATGTGAACATTAAAGAACAACTTGTACACCCTAAACATATTGTCACTGGTACTGCCTCTTATATTCAGACAGCTACTATATATGTTATTTGTTAGTAGTTCTGGGGATTATCTTCCCTACTACCCACTTTCAGACCAGGTAACCATAACTGAGAAAAATATACAGTACTATGCAACACTAAGTATGAATGTACTCGCTCCAAAAATTTTAAAAGAAATGCCAAGTTCAATGTAAACTTAGGAATTAATTTCCATGAATTAAGAACTTGCTTATAAAATGCTCTATAGTAAAGGACATTACTCAATAAAACCACAAAAAAAAAGTGATTATAAAACCCATTATTTCACAAAAAATGTTTTATACATTTTCTTCCTTTTTATTTAATAGTGTTATTTCAGACATAATCTGAAAGTGTGGTCCTGCTTGGTGTTAGCACTAGCCTTCAGCTGTGCTGTGCTTGGTGTTAGCACAAGCCTTCAGCTGTGCTGTGCTTGGTGTTAGCACAAGCCTTCAGCTGTGCCGTGCTTGGTGTTAGCACAAGCCTTCAGCTGTGCTGTGCTTGGTGTTAGCACAAGCCTTCAGCTGTGCTGTGCTTGGTGTTAGCACTAGCCTTCAGCTGTGCTGTGCTTGGTGTTAGCACTAGCCTTCAGCTGTGCTGTGCTTGGTGTTAGCACTAGCCTTCAGCTGTGCTGTGCTTGGTGTTAGCACTAGCCTTCAGCTGTGCTGTGCTTGGTGTTAGCACTAGCCTTCAGCTGTGCTGTGCTTGGTGTTAGCACACGCCTTCAGCTGTGCTGTGCTTGGTGTTAGCACACGCCTTCAGCTGTGCTGTGCTTGGTGTTAGCACTAGCCTTCAGCTGTGCTGTGCTTGGTGTTAGCACTAGCCTTCAGCTGTGCTGTGCTTGGTGTTAGCACTAGCCTTCAGCTGTGCTGTGCTTGGTGTTAGCACTAGCCTTCAGCTGTGCTGTGCTTGGTGTTAGCACTAGCCTTCAGCTGTGCTGTGCTTGGTGTTAGCACTAGCCTTCAGCTGTGCTGTGCTTGGTGTTAGCACTAGCCTTCAGCTGTGCTGTGCTTGGTGTTAGCACTAGCCTTCAGCTGTGCTGTGCTTGGTGTTAGCACTAGCCTTCAGCTGTGCTGTGCTTGGTGTTAGCACTAGCCTTCAGCTGTGCTGTGCTTGGTGTTAGCACTAGCCTTCAGCTGTGCTGTGCTTGGTGTTAGCACTAGCCTTCAGCTGTGCTGTGCTTGGTGTTAGCACTAGCCTTCAGCTGTGCTGTGCTTGGTGTTAGCACTAGCCTTCAGCTGTGCTGTGCTTGGTGTTAGCACTAGCCTTCAGCTGTGCTGTGCTTGGTGTTAGCACTAGCCTTCAGCTGTGCTGTGCTTGGTGTTAGCACTAGCCTTCAGCTGTGCTGTGCTTGGTGTTAGCACTAGCCTTCAGCTGTGCTTGGTGTTAGCACTAGCCTTCAGCTGTGCCAAGTCTCACTCGCTACCATCAACCTGTAACACATCATGTCAACTTAATGTATTAAAAATAAATAGTCCTGGGTAATCTCCCTCCTTAACGAGTTTAGTTCCCACAAGATTTATATGGATAAATTACTAACAAATTTTTGTTTAAACTTTATAATGCTACAATGTAATAGAACAGTTTTAAATACAAAATTTTATCGAGATCTAAGCAATAGTTTTGGAGATAGGTATTTTTCCATTTATTTTTTATGGATTTGGATATTTTACCATGAAACAGTACATCCCTATATTAATTTCCCCACCCTTTCCCCCCAAACAAGTTCCTACCCATGCCTATTGGATACTCAAGACAACCTCTCAATATCGTCAAACCATCTTCATAACCCTTCCTTAGATATCCTCCTACACCTTCCATCTACTATCTATTTAATGTCTAGATCCTCTCAACAACACCTCTTCCACTCTTCGAACTGTATCATTCATATCACCACATTGTCTTATTTCTTCATTTAATGCAAAGTATTTGTTCTTGTCAATTAAGAGTATTTTGGCTTTTAATTCATGTACTGCACTATTTGCATAGCACTATTACATACTTCAAGGTTGAAAAACCTATTTTTCTCAATAAAATAGATCTCAACACAAACAATATGTACACAACCACATTTTAATGTACAGGCATATGCTCTCAGCTGTGTAGTATATGAATATTGTGGCTCTTTGTAACGTGTGGAGCTATGTAGTGATCTATCTAACGAATACGTTGTGCTAAATCAACAAACCTTTAGCATCAATCTATTTCTTCATTTAGCATTAGCTACTGTGCACAAAAATGAAGATTACTAATTGCTGCCTCACCATGCCACTTACCAGCATAGTTCTCCATATAATCTGGCATAGAACGAGACTTGGGTAGAGGATGGAGCCCAGCTCTCTCGCTGCTTTCATAATAGTCGGCTACATTGCCCGAGTCTGACGAGAAGGTGGAGTAGACGTCCTGACCCAAGAAGAACGAGATAAACTGAACGTATCGCTCTCTAATAAGTGACAATGATGAGAACTCTGAATAAAATCAATTATAGTAATGTGTAATGTAGTTGTTTCACTTTACAGTAACATTCACTTTTAATATGTATTAAGATAGTAGGAATTATTAATATTAAGTTTGTATTTAAGGCAAACTTGTACTGAAGTATAAATGGGATGACCATAGCCCCTAACACCTCTCCCTGACTATTTGTGAGTATGTAGAAATCAGGAACAGTTCTGCACCACATAGTTATGAACTCTCACACAGCAGCAGCACCACCAATCTCTATCTTTGCCAGTTTTGTGAACTGGATCATTTGATAAACACAGGTGTTTAGGAGTATAATATTACTAATGGCAAGCATACCCAGTAAGTAACTGTTCAATGAGCAGGGCACTAGAGTACATCATGTGATAAAACAAATAAGGAGAGAATCTGAACTTTTAATTTAACTGGTTGCCAGAACAGACAGAGGAAAAAAGAGAAAAAAAGATAGAGAGGTTGTGGGGGCGAACTGCAAACTTAATAATTCTGAGTATTCCACTGGGCTTTCAGATGACCTACACTAATGGATTTTCTGTCAGTGGTACTAGCCCTTGTCTGTAAATATATGGTTCCAACCCCCCCCCCCCACCACCACCACCACCAATATTGCAAGTGCATTAAAGATGCTTACCCTTGTAACAGACACCAGATCAGTAATGTGTACTAAATTCAACAGAGAGGAAATATTAACACATTAATACACATTACCCTTATACTGTATATTAATTAATCCAGGTACTTTATCCATAGACATTTAGCTACATTAAAATTAACCGTAACATTTACTCATTAATTTACAGTATAACTTTAAAATATCATCTGTCACAGCTGTCTCCCACCAAGGTCAGGTTACCCAAACAAATAAGAAACATTCACAATCATTCATTCAATAGCTTGCTTGCCAGGATACATACATTACAATGAAAAGAACTGAACAACAACATCCCTACTCCTCTTCCAGTGCTGGCACTGAGACTTCCCACCTTCAGGACCCAAATCCAGAAAGCTTGCTTCCTTGATTCATACTACTTACCCAAACTCAAATAAGTTGCACATAGGAGAGAGGAGCTTACAATGACGTTTCAGTCCAACTTAGACCATTTACAAAATCCAGGTAGGACGAAAATGTCGTCGTAGGTTATTTGTGAATTGTTCCAGTCACAGTATTGTGCCTTTTTGTTCTTTATTTAACCATACTCATTACTTGCTTCCCTTATCCACCTTATCATTCACCACTCTTTCCTCCTCCCTAGGAGATAGCCGACATCACGCATGCTCTGCCCTTACCCCTACTTGCTGGCAGAAACTGTGTGGTACCTTCGGCATCCTTCACTTCACCCCTTCCTCTCTACTAACTAATCAGTATTCCATCCTTACACCCTGGCTACCTCTCTCAGAACACTGAATTAACAGAATACAAATTAATGATAGGAGTGAGTGGGGCTAAGTGTGCTTTATGACAACATGCTGTTCGAGTGCAAGCAAGAAAACATGTATGAAGGGATTCAGGGAAACCGTTTAGCCAAAGGTGGAAAGTAGTCCCTACACTCTGAAGAACTGGTGGGAATACTACAGCCTGTAGAGGCATCTGGTCTGTAATGTTGGCACACACATGGCAAGGTGGTGATGGAGTGAGTGATGGAAAAAGTTTTTTTTTCTTTTTTTCAGGTAACCCTACCTTGGTGGGAAACAGCCAATGTGTTAAAAATAATCATCATCAGGGTTACTAACTTCCCCATTAAAATTATTATAGTAATAAACTGTGGCCCACCATTAGAGAGAATTGGTTGTATAGAACACAGGAATGCCAGTCAATGAAATGTTTTTACTAAGTGAAGTATCTGTAACAATTTTTTTAACACACTAGCCATCTTCCACCAAGGTCCCCCCCGCACACACCCACCCGAAAAATACGAGGAAACGCATTCACCATCATTTAATCAACCACTGTCTTGCCACAAGTGTGCTGACATCACAACTCGGATAGTCTTCCATATTACATCACCCCTCCTTTAGAGAGCAGGCACTATATTTGCCACTCCAGGACTAAAGTCCAGCTAACCAGTTTACCAAAATTCTTTCATGTTACCTTGCTCACATTCAACAGCATGCCAAGACAAAACCTTCTTGTCTCCACTCACTTCAGACTAATGCACTTGTCACACAGGCCTGTTGGATGTTCAAGTCCCTAACACTCAAAACCTCTTTTACTCCTTCCCTCACTCCTTCCTAGAAATGACCCCCTACCCCTCCTTCCTTCCTTCCTTCCTTCCACCTCAGATTTATATACCCTCTCGGTCATTTTATTCTGCTTCATACTTTCTAAATGCTTCACTGAAAGGAATTTTGTCTGTAACATACAAGGAAATTAATTTGCTGAATGAAATAGTCTAAAAAAAAAGCTCATCTTTAAGTGACGTTACATTCAATAAATGAAAATATCATTTGTAGATAAAATTTTATAGAAAAAAATACTTACACGATCTCTGCGGCGTGCATGGTGCAAGTTCTTGTTGATGGCGTATGGGGGGAGCATGTGACCAGGTGGCAGGTGAACTGGGTGGCCAGAAGGAAAGTGAGCTGGGTGGCCAGGTGGCAAATGGCCAAGGTGGCCAGGAGGAAGATGGGCCGGGTGGCCAGAAGGCAGATGAACCGGGTGTACCACCTGCGCTGATGGCAGGTAGTTGCTGCCGGAAACATACATGGACGGATGGGTGCCCCCGACTGTGACACTGGCCTGCAACATACACAATACACTGAAACATCCTTTTGAAACATGCCAACTTCTACAGACAATTCTTGCTTCTATACAATATATTCAAAACAACCTCACCTTACTATATTCTTATGAGGAACCTCACACTTTCTGTAAGCTTACAAATACTAGTTTCCTGAGGTTAATTTAGCTATACAGTGGTACCTTAACTTACGAGTTTAATCTGTTCTGTGACCTAGCTTGTAACTCAATTTGCTTGTATATCAAATCAATTTTCCTCACTGAAATTAACTGAAATGCTATTAATCTGTTCCAGCGGAATTCCTCTTCTCGAGAAGCAGGAGAATTTTTTTTTTTTTTCAACAAGTCGGCCGTCTCCCACCAAGGCAGGGTGACCCAAAAAAGAAAGAAAATCCCCAAAAAGAAAATACGTACTTTCATCATCATTCAACACTTTCACCACACTCACACATTATCACTGTTTTTGCAGAGGTGCTCAGAAGCATACACATATAAAGACACACAACATATCCCTCCAAACTGCCAATATCCCAAACCCCTCCTTTAAAGTGCAGGCATTGTACTTCCCATTTCCAGGACTCAAGTCCGGCTATATGAAAATAACCGGTTTCCCTGAATCCCTTCACTAAATATTACCCTGCTCACACTCCAACAGATCGTCAAGTCCCAAGTACCATTCGTCTCCATTCACTCCTATCTAACACGCTCATGCACGCTTGCTGGAAGTCCAAGCCCCTTGCCCACAAAACCTCCTTTACCCACTCTCTCCAACCCTTTCGAGGATGACCCCTACCCCGCCTTCCTTCCCCTATAGATTTATATGCTTTCCATGTCATTCTACTTTGATCCATTCTCTCTAAATGACCAAACCACCTCAACAACCCCTCTTCTGCTCTCTGACTAATACTTTTATTAACTCCACACCTTTTCCTAATTTCCACACTCCGAATTTTCTGTATAATATTTACACCACACACTGCCCTTAAACAGGACATCTCCACTGCCTCCAACCGTCTCCTCGCTGCTGCATTTACCACCCAAGCTTCACACCCATATAGAGAGTGTTGGTACTACTATACTTTCATACATTCCCTTCTTTGCCTCCATAGGTAACATTTTTTGACTCCACATATACCTCAATGCACCATTCACCTTTTTTCCCTCATCAATTCTATGATTAACCTCATCCTTCATAAATCCATCCGCCGACACGTCAACTCCCAAGTATCTGAAAACATTCACTTTTTCCATACTCCTCCTCCCCAATTTGATATCCAATTTTTCTTTATCTAAATCATTTGATACCCTCATCACCTTACTCTTTTCTATGTTCACTTTCAACTTTCTACCTTTACACACATTCCCAAACTCATCCACTAACCTTTGCAATTTTTCTTTAGAATCTCCCATAAGCACAGTATCATCAGCAAAAAGTAACTGTGTCAATTCCCATTTTGAATTTGATTCCCCATAATTTAATCCCACCCCTCTCCCAAACACCCTAGCATTTACTTCTTTTACAACCCCATCTATAAATATATTAAACAACCATGGTGACATTACACATCCCTGTCTAAGACCTACTTTTACCGGGAAGTAGTCTCCCTCTCTTCTACACACCCTAACCTGAGCCTCACTATCCTCATAAAAACTCTTTACAGCATTTAATAACTTACCACCTATTCCATATACATGCAACATCTGCCACATTGCTCCTCTATCCACTCTATCATATGCCTTTTCTAAATCCATAAATGCAATAAAAACTTCCCTATCTTTATCTAAATACTGTTCATATACATGCTTCAATGTAAACACTTGATCTACACATCCCCTACCCACTCTGAAACCTCCTTGCTCATCCGCAATCCTACATTCTGTCTTACCTCTAATTCTTTCAATTATAACCCTACCGTACACTTTTCCTGGTATACTCAGTAAACTTATTCCTCTATAATTTTTACAGTCTCTTTTGCCCCCTTTCCCTTTATATAAAGGGACTATACATGCTCTACGCCAATCCCTAGGTACCTTCCCCTCTTTCATACATTTATTAAACAAAAGTACCAACCACTCCAACACTATATCCCCACCTGCTTTTAACATTTCTGTCATGATCCCATCAGTTCCAGCTGCTTTACCCCCTTTCATTCTACATAATGCCTCACGTACCTCCCCCACACTTACATTCTGCTCTTCTTCACTCCAAAAAGATGGTATACCTCCCTGACCAGTGCATGAAATTACTGCCTCTCTTTCTTCCTCAACATTTAAAAGTTCCTCAAAATATTCTCGCCATCTACCTAATACCTCCATCTCCCCATCTACTAACTCCCCTACTCTGTTTTTAACTGACAAATCCATACTTTCCCTAGGCTTTCTTAACTTGTTTAACTCGCTCCAAAATTTTTTCTTATTTTCATTAAAATTTCTTGACAGTGCCTCTCCCACTCTATCATCTGCTCTCCTTTTGCACTCTCTCACCACTCTCTTTACCTTTCTTTTACTCTCCATATACTCTGCTCTTCTTTTAACACTTCTGCTTTGTAAAAACCTCTCATAAGCTCCCTTTTTCTCTTTTATCACACCCTTTACTTCATCATTCCACCAATCACTCCTCTTTCCTCCTGCCCCCCCCCCCTTAACCACAAACTTCTGCCCCACATTCAAAATACTGCTTTTTTAAAACTATTCCAACCCTCTTCAACCCCCCCACTACTCATCTTTGCACTACCCACCTTTCTGCCAATATCGCTTATATCTCACCCGAACTTCCTCCTCCCTTAGTTTTTTACACTTCACCTCCCTCTTACTTGTTGTTGCCACCTTCCTCTTTTCCCATCTACCTCTTACCTAACTGTAGCTACAACTAAATAATGATCCATATATCAGTTGCCTCTATAAACATGTACATCCTGGAGCCTATCCATAAACCCTTTTTTATCCACCAATACATAATCTAATAAACTACTTTCATTACGTGCTACATCATACCTTGTATATTTATCCTCTTTTCATAAAATATGTATTACTTATTACCAAATCTCTTTTTACACATAGCTCAATTAAAGGCTCCCCATTTACATTTACCCCTGGCACCCAAATTTACCTCACTACTCCCTCCATAACATTTTTACCCCTTTAGCATTGAAACCCCCAACCACCTTACTCTACACTTGATTCAAAATCCCCAGTTTTCACTCAAAAATTTCCCAAACCTCTCTCTCCCTTTTTACTTTTTTCTCTTCTCCAGGTGCATAACACTTTACCTCCCCCCATGTCATTCGATTTTTTAGGAAAAACACATTTTTATAACCCATTTTTACATCCAATTTTTTTTACTCCACATAACCCTTGAATTAATACTTCTAGTCCCTTTTTTTTCCTCCAAGCTTAACCTTTCAAAAATATTGCTATTTTCCTTCTTTAGCTCTAACTCTATTTGAAACCCTGAACCCAATCCCCTTTATTCCCCTCCTTGAAACTCTCCCACCCCCCTTAGCTTTGTTTACTTAAAGCCCCGGACATCCACTTTTTTCTCATTCATAACATCCCAATATCTCTTTTTTATCATTGCACAACACCCTGCACATTCAGACTTCCCCCTTTTTCAATTTTCTTCTTCTTATTTTTTTATAATCTTTACAGGAAAAAGGGGTTTCTAGCCCTTGTTCCCGGGATTTTGTTTTACTTTTTCAACACGCAGGGTTACGGGGGAAAGATTCTTATTCCACTTTCCCCCTGGATAAAAAGGAAAAATAAAAAGACCAGAAATTAAGATAAAAAACAAGAAAACTCAGTAGTGGTATAAATAAAAGTGTCTGTATGTGAGTGTGACCTAGTGTAAGTAGAAGTACAAGACATCCTTAATCTTGCATATTTATGAACAGCAAAAGACACACAATCCTACCAAAAAATTTAAAAAAATTTCAGGGTTTTTTTTTTAGCTCACTTGGCAGGAGAAATATTCTTAAAGCCCCAAAATCAACTCTACCCTTTTTTTTATCTATCCAATTATCTAATATGACATGAAAACAATAAAAAAAACAAAAAAAAGATATAATTCTAGAATGAATAAAAAATGTCTTTTTTACGAGGGTGGTGGCCACTCCCGCTCTGACCATATCTTCCCCTTTTTCTCCTTCAGAAAATGGAGTGTTTGTGAGGCTAACTGCACTAGATCACTAGTTTCATAAGGAAAAAACTGACACAATGTATTTATAAATAAGAAATATTGTATAAAAACATAATAAAACACAATAAACTGGTTTTATGAAGTGTATGTATTTACCTTGGAGAACAGACGCTGGCAGAGGCGAGTGTAGAAAAGATAGTCTACTTGCTACACTCTTAATGCTACACTTTATCGCTACCTTAATTGCTGCACTCTTGACTGGTGCTATAGCCTTTATCGATTCCTCTTGCTTTAGTATCATACATAACTTAGAAATACAGTGGAACCCCGCTTTACGATCACCTCCCAATGCGACCAATTATGTAAGTGTATTTATGTAAGTGCGTTTGTACGTGTATGTTTGGGGGTTTGAAATGGACTAATCTAATTCACAATATTCCTTATGGGAACAAATTCGTTCAGTACTGGCACCTGAACATACTTCTGGAATGAAATAATATCGTAAACTGGGGGTCCACTGTACTACGGTGGTACTGCCTGGCCAAGTCCACAACTCGCACACCTCGATCGTGTTTATCAATGATTTCATTCTTTAATTCACTGGACATCATCCTCTTTTTCTTCTTGGCACTGTCCTTTAAGAACATAAGAACATGAGAAAGAAAACTGCAACAGGCCTACTGACCCATGTGGAGCAGGTCCATGTCTCCCCCCCCCTGGATTAGCCCAATGACCTACCCAGTCTGGTCACCTCCACTCAAGGAAGGAGCACGGCACCAGACCCAGCAGCACAAGCTAGTCAGGTCCAACTCTCACCCACCCACACACACTCATGTATTTATCTAACCTATTTTTAAAACTACAC